TTTTTTTTTCGTGCAACTCCTTCAAAATGCTTAATCGAAGCGAGGCTGGGATGACTGGCTTATACTCAAGATTTTCGTTTGTTGTTTTCGTATAGAATAATAAATTATCTATTATTTCATTTTTTTGCTCTATTTCTTATCGCATCGATATCTGTATGCTCAAAGCTTTTTCGGGGTCTTTCAAATAAGCATAGATATTTCCAAATTCAGGATCAGCTTTCAGTTCAGTAATAACCGTATCTCTAGAATCTAAAATTTTTGAAGTCAAACACAGCGCATTTAAGTTCATTTCCTTCATCGTCCAGTTTTATACGAGAAAGTGCGTCAGCTACATTGTTTTCCTTTACCCGGTTTATATTTTATTGTGATATTATATTCTTGGAGTTTTAAAGCCCATCTTATTAACCTGGGCGTTAGGTTTTTTCCCGAGTAAAGTCTACCAACAGCCGCATGATCCGAAAAGACTGTTACTGGCGATTTGCCGAAATAAACTCGAAATTTGTGCACAGCCATTAATACGGCTAATGTTTCTCTTTCTGTAGCTGTATAATTCCTTTGTGTCTGATTCTACGTTTTACTAAAAAATGCCAGCGGATGGTTATTTTGCATAAGAACCGACCCACCGCATAGTCTGACGCATCTGCCGCAATTTCCAGGTTTTCGTCCCCCTCAGGGAATTTTAAAACAGGGGCATTAATAAGCGCTTCTTTTAATCTTTCAAAAGCTGTGTTAGCTTCCGCTGTCCACGTAAATTTACTCTTTTTTCTTTTGATTACTAAGAGTGGTTCAACAATATTAGCGAAATCTTTTATGAAAGATCGATAGTAAGAACATAACCCAAGGAAAGATGAAAGTTTCTTGGCGGTGTTTGGGCGGTGGGAAATTCTTAATAGCTTTTATTTTTGAATCTTGCGTTTCTATACCCTTTTGCGAAATTTTATAACCGAGATATTTAAGTTCTTTAGTTGCGAACTTGCATTTTGAGGCGTTAATTGTAAGACCGGCCTCTTTTAGTAATTTAAAAACTTGTTCGAGGTCATTAATGTGTTGTTCCAACGTACTACTCGTTATAATTATATCATCTAGATAAATTAAAGTTGATTTTCCTAGGACAGGCTTTAGAACAATGTCCATAGCTCTCTGGAATGTTGATGGGGCCCCACACAACCCAAAGGGCATGCGTAAAAATGCATAAGTGCCCGATTTTGTTATAAACGCGGTTTTGTGTATATCTTCGGGTCTCATAGCTATTTGATAGTAGCCAGACGTTAAGTCCAAAGTAGACATATATCTTGTCGATTTGATCTGTCTAATGATCTCGTCTATAACCGGCAAAGGGTAAACTGGAAATTTGGTAATACTATTTAGTTTTCTGTAATCAATAGCAAACCTCCAAGCCCTTTTATCCGAAGGAGGAAACTCGTTCTTTTTCCTACATAGTACGACTGGACTCGCGTACTCACTATTTATGGGCGTTATTATTTTATTCTTTAACATCTCCTGAATATGTTCTTCGATGATTAGGTCTTTTTTTTATCATAACGATACGGTTTAGTCCTACAAGGTTTTTTCGGCATTTAATTGAATCTTATGAGTCACGATTTGGCAGTTTCCTGGTTTTTCTGAAAACAAATGAGAAAAATTACTCACCACTTGCTGTATTGCTTTACTTTCCTGGTCATTCAGATGGCTAAGGTCCAATTCAGGTGTCTCCACAGGTTCCACCACCCTCTGGTCCATCTCCAACACCACGGAACTATGTTGAAAATTTAATTTGGCCCTCGCGGCCCTTAAAAAGTCCATACCTAAAATAAGAGAGTGTTGTAGGTCTTTCACCACAAAAATTAATACTTTGAGATTTTCCTCTTTTACCTGTAAGTTTAATGATAATTTCCCGATGCAGTGACATGTTTTTCCTTGCGCCGCTATAATTTCCGTATTTCTGGTTTTTAAATAGTCGTATCCTATAAAAATTCTTTTTGAAGAACTTTTCACTCATAAAATTTCCTTCTGCTCCTGTATCGATGAGGGCTTTCTACTGGTACATCGCCAACCAGGACTTGTATAATTGGTAGCTGTGAGTTTTTTACGATGACCGTTGTTTAAATGTCTATTTGAGGGTTTTTTTTAAAACTTCCGGGGTCTGGACCCTCCCTTTCACAGGCCCCTCTACTCGTTTAAAGCTTTCCTTTCAATCTGTGTCTTCTGGGTACGCGGATGTTTATTTTCAAATTTTCTTTTTGGGCCTTGACCTTCGAGTTTCGATGCGTTAGCTTGATAGTTCTTTCCCCCATATGAGCGATTTCCATTTCTGGTTTCCTCCTTCCTTCGGGTATGTTGAGAATATGTTTCCCCTCTCGCTTTTTCCGCTATTCTGCGATTTTGAAACTTCACCGCCAATTCGAAAAGTTCCTGCAATGTGCTTGGGTTTCTAATTTCAAAGTAGTCTTGGACAGAGCGGGTAACAATCTTGGTAATATTATTTCAATTATCTCCGCATCGGGTTTTTTTTCCATACAGCATATCCGTTAGCTTGATTTTTCGTAAAATAAAGTCCGTCAATTCTGCTGTATCCCGTTGATAGAAACTATATAGTTCGGCTTCCAGCCGTGCGCGATCTTTCACTATGGGGGAAGGCCTTTACTAACGATTTTTTGAAATTTTCAAATGTATACGTCGGGCTTCCAAATTCACCTAGAAGAAATTTGCCTATATTTTTCCACCATAGCGCGGCCTGTCCTCTTAGTGCTGATGTGGCGATGGCAACTTTTTGTCTTTCAGGCACAGGGTAGAGCTGAAAGTGGTTTTAGTTTTCTAGACCTTCTAGAAATACCGCCACCGCCAATTTTTTCCGTCGAAATGGACGTTTGGCTTGATTGATGCTCTCAAAGTCTGGACCAGGTATCCAAATCCTTCTAACTGAGTTGTCATTTCTTGGTGTTGTCCAGCGGCTTTCCATCCAATTTTCGGCCATTTCAGTTCGATAAGTGTTCGGGCGCCAATATAACGTTGCGCGCGCCTCCAACTTGCACGCAACCAAGAGGTGACTGTGAAAACTTGTATAAAAGATAGAGCCCTTGTGAAGGGTTTAAGTCCCTTTTTATTCAACGTAATAAATTACAATTGCGTTCTCTTGACGCTTACAGACTGGTGCCAACTTGGCAGTCAAAATAAAAATAATAACCTGAAAAGAAAGTAAAGACAAGATTCTAACTACGAGGCTCTCTAAAATAACTAACTCACCGTGTTTCCCAATACTGCTGCTAATTCAGCAGACTTGAAGCTCACTGGAACGATTACCACTACTTCCCCCCGCCAAGCACATAGGCCGCAACGCGGGGTTCTTCAATTCTCGCTAACTACCTCCGCGCTCGCTAAGTAAGAATATCACACACCGAACTTGTTTCCTTTCTATTTAAATCATAATACTTCCGCTGATAATTTGAATGCTTGCGCGTTCTACTCAAATTTACATATTCTGGCATTGGCAGTTCCAGGGGAAAGTAAGGCTTGACAGGAAAGAAAATTTAAACTTAAAATAAATGTTAGTTAAAATAAATATAAACCCTACAGGGTAGCGGCAGAAATTGTAATTTTATTGCTATTGTATATTAATCATGTTTTTTGCTGTAAACTTTTCTCTTATTTCATACAAAATAAGTGCACGAATCATTATGATTGTTATATTTACAGATGTCATTAAAACATATAGTTTAAATTTTAAAATAAAGTCTGAAATATGATCTATAACGTAGTGCTACGTTTTTGAACTGCAAGTATAAGTTTACGTAATATTGCGTGACATGTGACAAAGGGTGGAAGGGGGTATGTTGAAGTGTGACACTTTGTGACAAAGAGAGGGAGGGGGGCCCAAAATGTTGCAGAAAAGTGTGACATCATTTATGGACAGCCCCAAATGAGCATAGTTGCGTATTTGAAACACGTCGGAAGATTTTCTTTGTATGATATTGAAGGAAAGGAGAGTACACACTATGTTTTTTTCGGCTGTGTTGCGTTGTGTTGTTTGGAGGGAAACAAAGGAAAAAAAAAATCGGAAAATAGAAATTTTGATGCAACACTATACTATGAGTAAAAATGTCGCAATAAATTTAAAATAGAAAATTAACTATAACTAGCCGTGTAGCAACCCGATAGGATGCAATTTCCTAAGTAAATATCAGAAATTTAATGATCAATCTGTTTTAACATGGACACAAGGAGGGCATATCACCATTTCGCAAATACAACCAGATACTACTGTCCTCGTACCAAAACCGAAGTGAGCTGAACCCTCATCGATCCTCCAGTAACGAATACCGAAAAGCACCCGTTTCGGTACAGAAGTAACGAATACCGAAAAGTACCCGTTTCGGTACAGAAGTAGCGAATACCGAAAAGTACCCGTTTCGGTACAGAAGTAACGAATACCGAAAAGTACCGATTTTGGTACTGAAGTAACGGGTACTTGGATATACCGATTTTCAGTACCCGTTACAACTAAGTACCCGTTACAAAATACCCGGTTCGGTAGTATCGACTCATCACTACACGTAATTAAAAAATGGCTGCCATAACATTACGGAAACAGATTTGAATCTGGGTTGTTAGAAAACCTCTAACAGCGCCAGTATTTGGCGCCAAATCAAACGGCATCCTTTTCTACACTAGAATCAATATTTCTTTACATATTAATAATAATATACCTTCACAGGATGAAATAGTGCTTTTATATATATGAGAGAATAAGTTATATGTAACTGACAGTGGACAATCGATTTTCTAGGGTAGAATTCTAACTACACAATATAATTAGATTTTGTCTTTTTATAAAGCAATAAAAGAAAGAGAACTCAAGTGTTAACATATGTAAAAATAGTTAGGACTTTCAATAGATAATAATTCTTTCAAATATATACAAGTAAAGAAAACAGGTGGGAGAAGTTGATCACCACTATAGATATATATCTCTAGAGAAGATTAAGCAGATAAAAATAATGCACCTGAAACTGTTAATTTTCCGGAACAAGTTTCTGATCCGAAAGAGTTGGAAATTGTGCAAGAATATTTTCCACTGTCATCTTTAGTCGTATTTTTGATGACGAGAGTCAAAGAAGCGCCATCTTCTTCAGTCTTTAGCTCTATGTGAGTGTGGTCGATTGTCAATTCATCACTGTCAAAAGTCCTGAAAAGCAAAAAAAAAATGAATTTATTGATTACGTAAATATGGGACGAATATAGATCAGAACTCTAAGCAGAATGCGTCCCTGATGCTATTTAATATGTTTACCGAAACAGGAAATCAACTTATTTATTTAATTTTTGATGCATTTGCAAACCTTTAATCGCAGAGTTTCAAGCGTCAGCTTTATGCAAGCATATCTTAATTCGGCACTGCGTTATGAAACATATTATATGTTATATTACAGTTTCTTATTATTTCATTCGTTGATATTTGTTTTATATTACGCAAAAGCATTACTACTCCTTTCAGAAAAACCACTCCATTTCTACACTCAAGGTCTAGCTCTGAAAAGTTTATTTAACGGTAACAGATTAACACAATAACGGTAACAGATTGTCACTCAGCTTGTCTCTGAATCTCAGCATTCATACTGATCAACATGAGTATGAAATGGCATACTCCTCTTACCACTTCACACTGTATCTATAAAACTGGAGGAGTTGTTAAGTAGGTAACAGAAATATTCGTTTGACTTCTGCAATAGAAATGAACAAAAGTGTAAAATTTGAATATATATGAAACAATTCTGCAAATAACTTGCCAAATTTATGTCAATATTGTATTTAATTCATAGAAATTTAATACAAAAGCTATTAAATCCTGCAAAATATTGAAGATTATTTTTTGCCTGAATTAATGAGAGATAAGTATTTATACAGGTGACAGGTGACGGAAGACTGGGACGCCTGGTGTTTAACAGTGGTAAACAGGCATATGTCCCACGCCTTCCCCTGTGTAGAAGCAGCAACTTTATTTAAATTAATAAAAGTATTTACAGTGCTACAAGAGCAGATGAGTGATTGTGTTACATTACAGTTCAGGATACATTAGCATGTCATAAATAGTCAAGTGCAAGACATAAAGAGATAGGGTCTTAAATAAATAAAAAAAAAAAAAAAAAAAAAAAAAAAAAAAAAAAAACGAAAACAACACATTAATCACATAAACATAAGGCGTAATTAGATACCAATACTCTTCACTCAGTTCATAAACTTTGCCAGTGCGTGATAGTGTTGTATATTGGAAATACTGAGGTATTTGGAGATTCTATACTTACTACAGGGTGTACAGACAGTGAACAAAAGCTTAGTAAAAGCATGATACTTGATAAAATACAGGACAAAATACATGCAATGCATTGATACAATACATGAGACACGGAATACATTGATAAAATACAAGAGACATGAAATACATTGATAAAATACATGAAACATGATGCAACTTTAGAAATAGTACACAACACTAAAAATGTGATATACAGAGCGGAATACGTATACAAAGGTATTAACAGAATACAAAACAGAAGATAGTGCATTAAAGATTTAAGTACAATGGATATATACATAATGCGCAGATGCTATTGCAAAGATAATTTGAGTATATAGAATTTGCGCAGTTCGTATAAATTACAGGAACAAATGTTATAATGAATGCAGATACATTGTTTACATGTGCAAGTGCTAATACTTGAAGGAAGAATGCGCTGAGACACTGATGGACGCTGATAGAACTGAGACACTGAGGGATTGGTGCACTACTGGGTACTGATGGTAAAATACATTTATTGGTGTATTAATGACGAACTGAGAGGCGATTGGCGGATTCAGTGAGGAGAGCAGATGTCCTGACCCATCGCCCTAGTGATGCTGACAATTTGACAAATTTTGGATATTGCAGGCTTATGTGTAATAATAAATCTATTAAAAGCTTCTCTATTGGAGGTTTGGCTGGGGAGATGATGAGCAGTTGTCAATTCACATTCATAGAGGTAGTGATCCGGGGTGCCGTGACCTCCGCAGACGCATTGGTCAGTTAGAGATATGTTGCGTTGAAAGAAGTAGCTGGGAAATGGGCCATGACCTGTTATGAATTGTGTAAGGGGTGCAATGGCGAAGTGCCTTTCTGTGCTGACTTTGGGTATAAAGTCAAAGGTGCGTCTTCCTGTGGGGCTGAGGTTCCACTCTCTCTGCCATAGCTGAAGACACTGTTTTCTTAGAATACTTTTCAGATGTGAGGGTGGTGCTGGAAGGCTGTTGAATTGGGCGTCTGAGTCTGTGACCGCTTGCTTGGCTAAGCGATCCGCAGCCTCATTGCCCTCGTTGTCCGCGTGGGCCTTTATCCATTTCAGTAGCAAGTTAATGTGTGCATGCCGTTGTAGAAGATGCTGTAGTGAGATAATTAGAGGTGAAGTGTGCTGATGGTTTAGTAGTGCCTGCAGTGTTGAGAAGCTGTTCGTGTGGAGGGTTGCATGCGTGATGTCTTGATGGATGATGTGTTGAGTTGCTGCCGTGATAGCAAGCAAGAACCTCAGCCTGGAAAACGCTGTTCTGTAGTTGTAGGCGACCCTTCCATTCTTGTCGACGTTGTCCGTCCTGGTAGTAGACATAGGCACAACCTACGCCGTCCTCCTGCTTGGACCCATCCGAGTAGAAGTGGGAACCTTGCGTGGGAACTTGGGTTTCATTGGCATTCGAATGACGTGAAAGGTCTATCTTGACACCTTTACCTTTGACAGCCGGATGAGTGTGTAGGGGATGGCCAAGAGTTTCATACTGTATGGGGCAATATGTTGTGTTGGAAAGTGAGGCGTCCTTTCGCAAGTGTATTACTTTTGTGTAGACTGCCTCCATTTCCACTATGATGTGTAGTGGAATCAGTCCCTGCAAGTACAGTCGCTGAGCTGGTGGCGGTGGTCCGATAGGCACGGGTGAGATTGAGGGCAAATGGTCTTTGTAGGCTTGTTAGCAGCTTGATTTTCCGGACGCTCATTGGCTGGGCCCATGTGGCAGCAGCATAAGTAGCTATTTTTTCAGCTACAGTATGGTAGAGTAGCTTTTGAATATGGTGACTTTGCCCCCAATTCTTCCCCTGGAATGTGCGTGCTTTTCTTGCAATAATTGAGGTTTTATTCCTCAGCTCTTGTACATGTGGGAGCCAGGTGAGGCCAGAGTCCCAGGTGAGGCCCAGATACTTCAATGTCTTGACAAATTTAATGTTTTTCCCCTGTAGTTTGATGCAGGGGCGTCTCGATGGGTTGGTGCCTGCTTTTGGAATAAAGAGGGCTGTGGTTTTTCTGTAGAGATTTTGAGCTTTAAGGCAGAGCATGCATTGTCAAAGATAGAACATGTAGTAGTGCTGTTACTCTCCAGCTCCTTCCGCGTACGGCCTTTGACCAGCAGAGCAGCGTCATCGGCGTATGCCACAACAGAGGTGTGTTGTGGCCAGTCTGACTCCAGAACAGGCATTGAATGTTAAGTTCCAGAGAACCGGTCCGGCACAGGAGCCCTGAGGGCATCCTCTTTCCTGGCGTTTGATGGTAGTGCCGTTGTCATTGACTATCAGGAAGCTCCGGTTCTCTAGATAGCTGCAGAAGATGTTGAAGAGATTTGAAGGGCAGAGTGTTTTCCGAAGTGCTTGTTTTATGGCGGCCCACCAGAGTGTATCAAACGCACTTTGCAGGTCAATGGAAATAAATGCAGTATGGTAACCTGCTGTGCGGTTAGCTTGTAATATGTCTGATGGTGCAGAGGGCATGTGTTGTGGAGAGTCTGGGACGGAATCTGAACTGCTTTGGACTGAGGAAATTAGTTGAATAAAGATGATATGAGAGCCTTTGGACAAGTAGTTTTCTCATAGATTTTCCCCATCGTAGATAATAAGCAGATAGGGCGATAGGAGCGCGGGTCTTGTGGGCTCTTATTTTTCTTCAAGAAGAGAACCACTTGTCCTTGCTTGAATGCCTGAGGGAAGATCTGAAGGGATAGAAGTGTCTGTTGAAAAAGAGGCGGAAGAAGGAAGGTCTTGCTTTATGGGCTATCTTGATGATTGCGTAGTCCAAGCCGTCCGGACCAGGTGCTTTTTTATTGGGTAAGATTCTGAAGATGTGTCGAATTTCTTTGTCCTGGAATGGTACATCATATGGCGTATTAGGGGTGCTGATGTTGTCTCTGATCCGACGCTGAGCAGGCGTATCTTCTTCAATGTTGTCATCTGGGAAGATGGCGTCCAGGATGTAGATAGCTGTGTGCTCGGCTATGGTGATGTCAGCGGCTGGAGGTGGTGTCTGTATGTGTATCTGAGCCGGGCGGAAGACTTTGCCTGTAGTGAGCTTATGAAGTATCCCATATGGGTTAGTGTTGGTCGAACAGAAGTTCCGCCAGCTGTTGATTTTTGCTGCCAGGATATTGTTTTTGTAGATGGCCCTCTCTCTTCGGTAACTCAGCAGGATTCGTTGTTTTTCATTATCATCTGTGGTGCTGCGTATCCGGCGTCTAAGAGCTCTGCACTTTTGCCGCTGTGCGCGGAGTTCTTTTGTCCACCATGTTAATCCTTGAAGTTTTTTGGCTGAGCGGGTGGGTAAGAACCTGCTGCATGCTTCTTTTAAGGTTGAAAGCAGGTTGTCTGTATAGATTTCCATTTCTTCTCGAGTGTTAAGGCTATTGATAGTGTCTTCTTCGTTACGGAGGATAGTAGAGAAGCTGGAGGAGAGGCGACGAATTTTGCTGCCTGGGAGTTTGAATCTGGTGATGACTGGAATGGTCGTGTCACAGAGTACAGTGAAGTGTATAAATTTATGATCGGAACTGCTCTCGTCTTCGCTGACTGTCCAGCCCGGTATTGTTCGTGCTATGTTAGTTGTGCAAAAGGTAATGTCTGGCCAACCAATGTTGTATGAGTTGTCATATGTGGGTGGTGCATCTGGGGTGTTGAGGAGGTGGAGGTTGTGGGAGGCTAAAAAGTCTTCCAAAGTGCGGCCCTTTTCATTAGTGTCTGCGTAGCCCCATATGCTGTTGTGGGCGTTGAAGTCGCCCCCAGCAACAATTGGAATTGTGGGACTGCGGCGTAGGATGCCATGTAGTGTGATAAGTAGTTTGGCGGCGTCGTCGAAAAGAGAAGAGTAGGCTGAAATGAAAATTAATTGGGTGTTCTTGAAGGCCAACAGGATGGCTACTACGTCTCGCTCCTGATGGATAACCGGAGGGCTCCAGGTGGGGTTGCTGCATGCAATGGCCGCTCTTGGAGCTTGGTCTTGTGGGTCTGCTTTCTTTTGATAAAGTTTCCAACCTATGGGGAGACTGGCGACTTCGCCCTCCCTGGTGTAGGGCTCTTGGATAAGTAAGATGTCTGTATCGTGGGTGATAACATGTTGAATTAGTTGTGAGGTGGCTGCTTGGGCCCTTTGTAGATTGATTTGAATGCAATTTATTTTATCACCAAGACGTGTGTGTTGTGTTGTGGCCTGCGGCGTCAGTGGGTAGTTGGCCGGAGCATTATTCATACTTAGTGCTTCGTTTGAGTCTGGCGACATATCTTCCGTATGTGGGGCATGTGAAAGTCATATGCAGGGTGTGCGCATCGGGGCTGGCCTGGCATGATTGCGGTGGTAGTTCCAGTCGGCACAATTGATACAAGTTGCCTGTCGGGCATTGCAGTCCTTGACTGTATGACTGCCTGAGCAGTACGCACAGTAGGTCTTATTACGGCAGTTCTGCTGTGTGTGCCCGAATTCTTGGCATCTGTAGCAACGCTGGGCATTGAAGAATTCAGATATCCGGTGTGCTCGCCATCCGAGATATAGCCGTCTTGATTACATAAGTTGGTGGTAGGTGGTGGGGGCACATTCCAGAACCGATTTAACCCCATTGCCCCGGTCCTTGAGTCTGTACAATACCTTAAACATTTTGCTTTGATTTAAGTAATTATTTTTCTGGTTAATTAAGTCTTATGTAATAATTGTTTAATATTACTATATGTAACGTTTTTAATTCTCCTAGTGTGAATTGTGTTATTGCTTATATTTTACTCAAACTGTCTTACGGTGATATAGTGTTGCATACCATACCGAAGTGCCTTTAGAGACTAAAGAAGTGATCTGTTTCTACAGTGATGCTAACCTTGAGTTACTATTGTTATTGCCAAATGGAGTTCTGATCCTAATGTCTTTTCTATCGTGTCCTGTGAGACGTCTGGTGAGATGTCGTGTATAGCAACTTTGGGTAGTCTAGTAAGAGGAAGTTTGGTGGTAACTAGTTTCTTGCCCTGTGTGCTTTTCAGTTTTATGTTAAGCTTCTCCACGTCTTCTGGGGTGGCACAGTCAACAGCCAAGCCTTCTTTTTGGATGGGTCGGAGTGTTGTGATCTTTACCCCTAATGTAGGGAGCAGGAATTCTGCACTCAGACGATCCTTGAGTTCTTTTGCGTGTGAGGTTCGTGCTCTTCTTTGGGTACAGAAGGAGTGCATGCTTGGGCAACGATTTAGTTGCCTGTGCATAGGTTCTTGTACTTGCAGAGGGCAAGTTAGAGATGGCAGAGGCAGAAGGTGCAGATACTGTACTGAGTACAGAGTCAGTATTGGTAGCTGTGCTGGTGGTGTGAGGCGGAGTGATGTCTGTTGGGCCTCTTTCCGCTAGGTCCTTGAATGCTTCCAGGATATTTAGCAATTGCTCCCTCAGTTCTAATGTAAGCAAGTGTCTGCCTCTTTTATAGGAGACTGCAATTTCTGAAGCTTCTGCGTAGAGTGAGTTGATCTTTTCTTCGTAACTTAAGTCCTCTGAGTTGAGGATTGAAGTTGCGTCAAGTTTTGGTTGGTAATTAGATGCGTCAAATTTACGTTGGTAAGCTGGCGTGGCTGCATCAATAGACATCATGAAGTGTACACTGATGGCGGTGCACTGTTAATAGTGCAATACGAGCACTGTTGGTGATGCACTAGGATATGTGCGCAGCAATAAATGATGCTGGGCAGCGCTAAGAGATAGGACTGAGTGGTAGGGACACGTAGGGAGAAGTGGATACCAACTGGTTACAAGGTATAGGGCACGGTACGTACATTAATCAAACATATAACAGTTATAATACAATATGAGTATGCTATGGCAAGTGACATATATTCTTCAGTTTGAGTAGACTTTGACAATACTGCAGTGGCAAAGTATGAAAGTGAGAATACCAGTAATATTGAGACAACTGGTATGATCTCACTGGAGACACTAATAACACTATTATCACACTTGTATATCACTCTTGCTTAACTTTCACTTTTAATATCACACTTGGCTTAGCACTCACTGTAGAAACACAGATCACTTCTTTAGAAAACCCTCTACTAAGGCACTTATCGGTATGTAACACTGTATGCCAACACTAATATCACCCGCGCGTTAAGACAGTTTGAGTAAAATATAAGCACATAACACAATTCACACTAGCACATTGAGAATTAAAAATGTTACATATACTAATATTAAACAATAATTACATAAGACTTAATTAACCAGAAAAATAATTACTTAAATCAAAGCAAAATGTGACACGTAACAGCACTTCTTAATTATTGTTGTAAACTATCAATTACTACCTACGCAGCGTAGTAAATCACAGGAGCTGCGTCACATACAACTGCAATTTAATTTAATTGAGAAACGTAATTACAAAAACCAGAACATAGTAATAATACTGTAAATTGAAAGATTAGAGTCTCTACCGTAACTTTAACACTGTACTTTACGCTATTGTAATTGTACTACATGGAAATTAGAAATTAAAAATAAATTAGGAAATTAATTAATTAAAATATTAGGTGTGATGGAACCAGTAAATTAGTAGCTTACTGTCTTTATAAATATAGCTGTCAAAATACCAACAAAATGTCCTTGACCAAGTCAGAATAAAGGGCACACTTCGAAAGGGAAAGTGCCTGCCAATTAGCTGACCTCACTACTAATTAAATCTCGAAATAAAACAATAAGTGCCTACCTTGGCCGTTAAATCATCATCTGTTCCTCTTCTGTGCTTGTCAGGAACGGCGTAATCCAGATTAAGATGCAGACACTTATTTAAAAAAAAAAAAAAAAAAAAAAAACACTCGCACGTAAACACAAACCGTTGAATAAACAGAATCTAAGTCCTAATTAACGCGAAATTAATAACTCCAGAAATAATCATCCGTAAATTACAAAAATTATATCGCCGTGATCCTTGTCACTAGTAGATGCTAAAACTAAAGGTCCCAATGAGTTACACTAATTAGATGCGTAATTAGCAATTTTGTACTTCTTATCTGCAGTCTTCTTTCTTTCCTTGTTCGGTGAAGTGAAGGGAATCACCGTCGACGGGGGGTCGCTGGAATGCGGCGCCGTTGAACAGGCTGGAAAGGTCAGAGGTCACCGGACCTCGTGGCTGGAAGATTAATTAACTTTAAAAATTAATTTCTCGCGTGCTTTTAATCGGACTGACCTGTAACTGGTGTCTATTTAAAGCTGAAAAAGTCCTCTCTCTGATGATATAAGTTTCGAAAGGTGGCGAGCTTCGACGGCTGCACGGCGATTACACAAAGCACATCTGCTGGGCGCAACCACGTTGTTCACTGTACACAAATACTAATTAGTCCGTAACTAATCAACCGATGATCACAATGACATAAAAATGGTATCCATGTGTCCGCACGAGTATCCTCTATCCGATACAACAGAAATTAGTACCTAGAATAAAGAATTTCCTCTGCTAAAGTTGTAAAAACACGGAACGCGAAAACACACGACCTGCTACAATCGCGCCACCTATCGCCTCCCCACGATATTTACATTTATATTTATACATTTATATTAACCAGTTATTTTATGTTAATTGGCTTTTCTGTTTTGCTCGCTTTCCGTTTTTCCGACAGAATGCAAATTTTAGTTCGCGCGTATTCAGATGAGGTAGAAAGAAATAGTATTTAAAGGAAATGTTTAGATTGTTGAATCAGAGCGTGTTCCGCCTGCTGAAGCCAAGTTACTAGTAGAAACCCTTAATAGCAAGCTGTCTACATAGTTGAGTTATTCTCGCTATTAGGTTTGAACCAATTCGCACGTATCCTCTTTGAGTAGCCTTTGGTTAACTTACAACTTAGATTAATTGAAATTTAAATTTATTTCTCTTTGAGTTACACCATAAATACAGTCTGGTTTTGTAAGCCTAAGAAGCGCCTTCTGTTAAGTTATCTCAGTTAATAAAAGAATCTTTTACATCCTTCTTATTTTCTCTGTTTACTTACTGAACATAGCGTTAATTCACTTAGCTTTCAGATTTGAGACTCAAGCAGTTTATGTTTCTGAAGAAGGTGAAACTCTGTAACTGTTTTAGAAAATGTTATTGATGTTACTGAGAACATTATGCGGAAAGATTAAAAGTGGTAAATAGGAAGATTAAAGTAGTAGTAACTGGGAAGATTAAAAGTAGGTTAAAAGATTTATTTTTCTTGGAAAAGAAATTAAAAAATTAAGAAAAGATTTCTCATCCAGAAAGAAGAGAGAAACTACAATAGCAGCTTACCATTTGGCAGCTGGTGTTGGCTTTCCAGTGAAACGTAACTGTTATATTCTTAATTTTTCTTAATTTGATGATAAAGAATTTGATTTAAAAATAACAAAATGTTACTAAGCTTAAAAATAATTATTTATATCTTCCCAAATCGGTAAAACAAATGTTTGTTTGTAGCGAATTTAATTAAGTGATTCATAAAAATCAAAATTTTAATTTGTAATTATTCAAAATTTGAGCTACACAAGTTTGGTTATATTCTTTTTGGGCCTATTAATTCTAGTGTAATATATTTTGGCTTTCCGAGTTTACGCGAACTGCGTCTTCAATCTTGTACACGCAAACAATGGATAAGTATTTTTTCTACGTAATAAACTCAGTTTTTCATGTCAAAAATTAATTTGATTTCTTAGTATTTAATATCATTAGTTGCAGAAAAATTAGCTCTTTAATTTGGCATAACTTTCATTTTTCTAACTTTAATTGCATTTCAGTTATGAGCTTTAATTAGTAGATTTTTCTTCGTTTCGCTTGTGATTTAGTTAAAGGGGGATGAAATGCCTTCTTTCCGGTTGAAAAGTCACTTTTTGCGAGTTTTCAGCGTTCTTTCGTTGGGACCCTTGCAGGGTTGTTGAAATTCCTAATTTCCCCCGGTCACAGGTGGTGTTTATTTGGCGAGGGTTTGGCGACATAGATTTTCCGTTGAGGTTTCAAAGTAGTGGTTTTGGCGAGTTTGATAACATGAGGGTATGCTGTTGGTTGCAACTATTTCAACTTTCGGCGAAAATGGGTTGCGCCAACTTGGCAGTCCGGCGCTCTCCCTTTTAACGGGTTGTTTTGTGGGACGGACACACTTTTTTACACTTTTTTTGCACTTTTGACTTACCATCGGACGCTGTCTCGTTGGCAGCTGAATTTTATTTTGGAAAATGCATTTTTCCGCCTTTGGATCTACGGGCCTCTTGCCCTGGAGTTTTGAACGAGGGACTTAGTTGCACGCATTCATGACCTCGACTAAATTATAGGCTCCTCATTGCCGTGCCTTGAATATGTAAGTTACTCAAAGATAATTAAAATAGAAAAATGCAACGAAGGGTGATGCCTAGTTACTGGTGCCGTTAAGAAGAAATTTTCAGTCTCTCCTCCATGAATAGAGTTTCATCTGCATCGATGTTCCAATCTTTAAGAATTATTTTTCGCCCTGCCAGATTTCCTGCATCGCTAGCTCCGGGGTGTCCACGACAAAAATGCTAACTTCAATATTGGATTGGACATCAAGAGAACCTCCTTAGTGCTTCTTAAATCAATAGTAACTTCTGGACTTTTTGGAAAATTATCTACCTATGAACTCTTCTCATTTTCTACTACGCTCAGCAGCCGTCCTCCTTGGCATCTTGATAATTTTTTAAATATGAGGGCATTTCTCCTCCTCCTGTTCACTTGCAGCTTGTATTTCATCAGATAAGTTTTTTTATTTGTTTTCTTTTATTTGTTGGTAATTCAATAAAAAATAAATTTCTAATAAGTAATTCTAACAACTAAAATAGTTAATAGTGATTGAAATAACTTAATTAGTTGAATTAAAAATTTTGTAGTTGAGTAAATTAACCTAATTCTAATGAAATCATTTTTGTTTGTCCATAAAGTAAATTATTAGATTGGCCAAGGAAATATATCATTATTTAAATTAGTTAATTGAAAACAGTGAATGTAAATTAGTCAGATTGGTTAAGGAAATTATATTCTTCATTAAATTATTTAATTGAACTTGTGAATTTCTTTCTTGGTGAAGATTAAAGGTGTCATTATTTGAGCTTCTTTGCTCCTCTTAGGGATTAAATTGCTTGTAGGATGTAATAGCCTGATTTTAATTAACATATTACCCGGTTAAATCATTCTTTTGAAAAATAGAAAGTTACTATGTGCAATAACCAGAATTACATTGGTATTGATTACTCTGTGTGAAATGATCAGGTTTACCTGAATGTAATAGCAATAATAGTTTGATATTATTGAGTCTAAGATAGAAGTAATATTACTCTGAAGGGGTATGCATTTTGTAGGAAGCAATATTTTACAGTTCAGCTTGAATATAATTTGCTTACTAAGTTAATTCTGCATTGTGTAATAATCAATATGTTAACAGTTCTGATTGAATATTAATTGCTTACAAATTAATGGACTAAGTAACTCTTAAAAATTTAATAAATAGGCTCACTTTTCTAGATCAGTCAATGTTTATTTATTTCTTTTGTGTGTGTGCTCAATGATTTTCACCCGTCTCATTCTCAAATTGATTTCAGGGTTAATCCGAAAACACAACGCAAATGTACAGGGCTTATTGATATTAGTATATTACTGTTGTTAAAAATTTTAAGTGTTATGTCAACAGAGTAGGAAACCATAACAATTTTGGTACCATGAGGTTAAGGACATAACATTATTGGTGCCCTGTCATGATTTTAACCCGTCTCATTCTCAAATTGATTTCAGGGTTAATCCGAAAACACAAGCAAATGTACAGGGCTTATTGATATTAGTATATTACTGTTGTTAGAAAATTTTAAGTGTTATGTCAACAGAGTAGGAAACCATAACAATTATTTTGGTGCCATGACATTTTTGACCATAACACGTTCGTGACTGCTTTTAATACGGCATCAAAAGGCTTATCTTTCACAAAGGAATTTCTGCCACATAAATTCCGTTAAGATAGAACTCTAGGTTAATGTCAAACAATGACCCTTTGGGTTTTGTTTCGACATTTAACAGAGCCCCATAATCGTTCAACATTTTAGGTGTGAGCACCCGTTGTTGGATCAATAAAATTAAATGTGTGATTCACGATTAAATGTCTGTACCTGGCTTTTTCAAGCTCGTCAGCAATCTGAATACTATATTGTCCACCCTTCCACTGCGCAGTCTACGGTTGTTGATAGTAACGTGCTTGCTTCCCGAATTAGAATTGCAACAAGAGAATACACGCGCTGTGACGTCGTGAGTAATGGAAGGCGATGCATCAATTTCCTTTATTCACAATGCAAGAAGACAGAGATAAAAAATTTAATTAATACATTTTAACGGATATCCGAGTTGGTGGCACGATCAGAGACGTTAGGCAAGATGGCACTCGTCACCACTGAACGAATAATAAATCTCCACACCTTCGCTCGCTGGCTGAGCTTCCCAACTCACTCTGCGACCTCATGTCGAAACCCCTATTGTTACACTTGCGCAGACACAGTACTCTGTAACGTCGTTGCCATTCAGAATTCATTATAGAGGCATAACCCGTCGAATATCCCTTGTTGTACGTAAATCTACCCAACCAGCGTTGGTTTTTCTCCGCACGAACACAGTCTAGTCAATTTGGACTATTTTTCCAGGCCCACTTATTGGTCCTTTAGGTTGTCGAAGGAATTCGTCTTTTAGGTTGTCACAAATTTCTTCCAGTCAATCGTGGTATTTTGACAGATGTTGAGCTGTTTATCGTACCACTTAAGCGACTGTAGTTCCTCTGACCAACTGTACATGAAACGCAGCGCTGTTAAGAATGGTATTCTGGAACCACTATACCTTGTAGTAAAAGTTCCTGTTATTAAATGCTGTATTTTTTTGTTTGTTTACAAGTTTTCATGTTGCACTTCCACATACTTTCGTTTACATATAGGCTCATTTTGTGGCTATTTACGTACATTCGATTGCCAGATAATATATCTTTATCTTAAAAAAACAATACGGTATCTTCGTCACTCCTCGGTAAGTTAAAAATAGCAGCATTTTTTTAGAATGTTTAAATTGAAAAAGACTATTACGATATTACGCGGTGTGTCGAATTCGGCAAAGAAAAATGGAAAATGAAAGTACCGTTTTTTACGTAATTGGACAACATTTTTCTGCAATGTTTAAACCGAAAAAAGACTATTATGATATCAAGCGATTCGTCAAATTCGTGAAAGTATCGTTTTTAACATAATTAGGTGGTTTATCGTGCGGGACCGTCAAAATCAAGTAGTACCAATGAAAATAAAATAATTTTCATGAAATCTTCTCTTTAGTATCCCCATACCTGAGACTGTAAGTTTGCACGTGGAAGTGTCGGATCCTTCGGAATTCGTGATGGTGCACGAATATTTCCCGGCATCCTCTTTCTTTGCATCTTCTAGAATAATTGTCAAAGCATCCTCAGCTTCTTCGACAGATTTCACCCGGTCACCGTCGATTACCAACTCGGCCCCATCTTTAGTCCTAAATTTTGAAGAAAAATGCTTATTAATACCCAATAAATGTGGACTCACAATTTAATTAACAAGCGAATCTCACGATGTTAAGCTTTAAGTGATATTTGACATACATAAGTTTACAGAAATTTCTATAAAATTTTATAGGTAAACCTCTGTAGACATGGTCCTATATATAATGCTATAAAACTTTTATTAAGCTTTCGCGGAACAGAATTCTAGAGAAATGTTACTTTGCATACATAAATTTGATAACATCATACAGAAATTTGATAAAACTTTAATAGAATGGAAATCTGCAGAAATCTGCGACGTTTTCTAACTGTAATCAAAGTAAATTTTCATTTTCTGATATTTTGTGCGTTTTCGAAAATATACCTAATTTTATCCTTGTAGTTTCTCTGGTGTATCCAAAAAAAAAAAAAAAAAAAAAAAAAAAAAAACAGGTATCTGTCCTAACATGTCATAGTTTGATCGTGCTGTGTTCACTAATAATTCTGATATGTCTATACAATGTCACGAATCTATTGCAACTATGCCTAAAAATAAATGACCAGCTCTTACATTCCAGCTGTAGCAAACAATAACAGTAACGTAAAACCGATCACGTAGTTGATACGATTTTCTCATTTTAGGCAAAGAAACCTTTTTTGGCCAGAATAAGTTATCACGTCTCTCTCACATTGATTTTAAGACAAAGGGTTAAATCATTTCTCAATAGAAATTTATTTGCCTTTTTCCTTCTAGATGAACATTTTCTAGCCTTTGGTTTTATGTAACATTTTGCGCAATATTGGATATAGAATATAAATATTAAATTTTGTAAAAATTTAAAATCAATTTAAATCATAAAATTAATTAAAAGATTTAATTTATGCTTGTAATTATAAAAGTTTAATTTTTAAAATTAATGCTTTTAACTATCGTAGATATATATTTCTGATAAGAGGCATAGCCTCTTAATTTCTTAATTTCAGTTAAATTTAACTCTTGTTTAAAATACATTTATTTTTATTTGAATGTTTTTTGATCAAAACAATATTGAAAAAAATTTTAGAAAACGAAAAAGAAAACTCGTCTCATGCGGTAATTTTTATTCACCCCCCGCCTCCATATCGTAGATCATTTAAAAATTTAAATAGATTAAAAATTTCTGTTAAAATTCGGAAATTTAACTCCTGTTTTTAATCTCAAATAAAAACTTTGCGGGAGGATTTTATAAAATTTTTCTATAAAATATTTTATAAAATGGTAAAGCAAGGAAACCTAGTTAAAATTCTTTCGAATTACGACACATGATCGTCTATAAACTAGACCTGATATTTTTCAGTAAAATTATGTTTGTTGGTTTTATACTGAATCTATAAGATTCCAGGTGTTGGATCTTAACAGAAATTCTGTGCTGATTTTTTTCCATCAGAATTGCTGCACAAGTCTCTGTAGAATAGTTAAACATATCTTTATAGCATCCCTGTATGTAAATAAGCGGAAAATGTATCTAAAGTTTTATAAACTGCTCTTGAATATCTGGTTTAATTTACAGAAAATTGTATCTTTGAGTTTTAATTAGTTAAGAGACAAAAAAGTATTGAGAGAAATCTTACCATTTTGCTGTTGGCTTAGGCTTTCCGGTGAATTTTACCATAAACATCACAGTTTGTTCTTCTTTCACAAACTGATCTTTTAGGCCTTTCACAAATTTTGGAGCATTCGTTTGTTCTAAAAGTAAAATAATGTTCCTTATATAATGAATTTTACAGCAGCTTTCCTCAGAGACAGAAAAAAACTTCAAACACTTTACTTTTGAAAATTATTTTGCTTTAATACTTTTGTTAAATTTGAGACTATAACTTTTATGCTTTTGTAACTAATAAATTCGCTAAGATTTTGACGAAACATATTACGTTTTACTTCCTGTACACGAAGTAAAAGAAGTGCTGTACTCGCGAAAATTGTACGAAAAACGAAAATATTAATTTTAATGATGTTGATGTTCTTGCGTGACATCTGTATGTAGAGACAGCATAAAGGACTCTGTTTTTCCAAAACAGATAGTCAAATGAATTTAACATGGGTTCAAAAGATATTTTTTCGTAACGTCTATACGTACATATATATGTACTGGGTGACCCAAAAGTCTTTTAATATTTGAAAATTAAATAATTTACGCAATAATGTAAGTAGAAAGGTAAAAATTTACAGATGAGCTAAAATCACTGAGGCTACTCATTTTTGACTTATGTGCCATACATACATTGATACGTACATACAGACGTCACGAAAAAAATCTCTTCTGAGTCCATTTTAAATACATTTAACAATCCATTTCGGAAAAAACAACGAGTCCTTTATTCTGTTCAAGCAAAAGTATCGTTGAAATGTCTTCGAGAGCGGTCGAAATGTATATTTTTGTTCATTTTTGTTATTTATATATATATACCCAAAATTTTTCACAATTACAATAACTCCTTTACGTCGTACAAGGAAGTAAAAATGAGGCAAAAGGCAGTACTAAACTACACCCTGTTGAAGTGATTTTTAATAACAAATCGGCTTAATCTAAAGTGATCGTACTTTCTGTCCAGTAATAGGTTTAATTAACAGTGAATTAACCTCAGTTTAAAGCGTATAATAGAGAAACTTTGGCATTTTTAACAGATTCAGGCATTAAGAAGTAAATCCTTATAATTAGAACTTAAAAATATATTTTTCTGTTACAGACTTTTAAAACAACTGGGTGCCCGTGAGCATTAAACAATAAATTTTGCAAATCACTTATCTTCAGACAAATGCTTAATAATACGCGTTGCATCAGGAAACGAATCCTATTAAAATATTTATCACAAATATACTAAAAAATTTTATAAAGCGGCAGTAGGAAATCAGGCTACCAAATTCGATCTCATATTCAGGTCAGGGATCTTCACAATTCATCAATTCGTTTCCTATATCTTTAGTGACCCGCCCCCACCGGCAATTGTTTATTGTACTGCCTCCGATCCGTACTATGGCGGTTTCGGTATCGGGGTATAAAAACACGAGCCTGGCGGTTTCACTTGCTTGCCCAGATGGGACGAAATCTTGAGACGAAATTTCATTCTTCTGAAAGGTCTGGGTGGGTCGGCGTAAGTTCTGTTTTTTCCATAGAATATGGCAGCCCACGTTGCACTGGCGGAGCATTTTAATGACCAGTCAGATCTCCAGGCATGCATGTTCTCCGCAACTGTGATTCCTGAGATCTGGGTGTGGTAACTCCGCGCTCTCGGGGTGGTAGCAATAGTTATAAAGAAAAACTATAAATTCTGCGTCTCGGTTTTGGGCCACGGTAGTAGCATGATTAGAATACTTCGACTGGCGATCCCTCTGCTTAATATGGCGGTTTCTCAGTTGTGATCGTCCGTGCAGTGCCGTATAGGCGGAGCACGTAAGACAAACATTACTCTGTCTTGATCTTGAGTGATGTTCAACGGAGACGAGGCCTACTACTAACTTCAGAAACGTTTTAATGAGTGACATCCTAATGCTTTTTAAAGTGATTTTCTTGTGTCACCATGTATTAATCATCCACGATTCTTATTTAGTGTTGCCATTTTACAAAGCATAGCGCTGTCCTGCATTGGTTGCTATTAACCAGTTGATCGCTCAAATCACCAAGATCCAGTGACCATCATCGTCACAAAAATCTTTCAGCTTGATTTTATTTTAACATTACATGTAATTTTTTTTTTACCACTCCGTATTGGGCATTAATAGTTCAAAGCTTACCAACGATTAATGGCTCTGAAGCTCGCACATGCTTTTCCCTTTAATTCTTATACCTAAAAACTTCCTCAACAGTATTTTTCCAAAGTTTTGGAACTCTTATATTACAGAACATTACTAAGCATTTGGTTTCTTTATCTCGTCAATTCAGCATATCATTTGAAAGCCTGGGAAAAATCTTCGAATGAATGACTTCAAGAAATAACAGCATCGCACATATATCTTTCAGGTTTCTTTGTAAAGAAAAGAGTGCGCGTTATGTAACGAATATACCTAAAAACTGAAAAAAATGTAGTTTGATATTATAGGTGCCCTTATACTCCGAAATATATGGTAAATGCTCTTGAGGCACTAGCTTCTTTTTTTCTTAATTCTCACTTATTACATCTTGTGTTAGCGTCTCGTAAATTTTGTTTCCGAACGAATCTCAAGCATTATGTGAAGACAAAACTTGAAGACAACTCGGTATGATGAAATTAACATGCTGAAATCTTTCTAAATTCTATACTTAAATAGACAGAGTTGCCATTCATAAGTTCCGCAAGCGGAAAAATTTAAAAAGCAGATCTAATAGTGCACTAACTTCACGAACAAATTCCAGTAATGAAAAAAATAATAATTACCTTTAACAGTTACATCTGCGCTCGTAGTTGTGGAGCCACCAGGATTACTAATTACACAAGTGTATTTTCCTGCATCGTCAGCTGTGATATCATTGATTGTTAAAGTTACCGAATTGTCTTCTGTGGTTACCTCGTAATGATCGTCGTCGATTGCAATATCTTGGCCGTCCTTTTGCCTAGTAAGTATAACACGGCCAAACTTAATTCTTCACTGCATGTGATTTCACACTTTATGAAAATTTGAGAAAGAATAAAAATAAATTCTGACATTGGAAATTTCACTATACAAGAGTAGATTAAAGGAAAGAGAAGAACGAAGAAAAGAAGAAGAACGAAAGAGAACTTCTTGAAGAAGTACGAGGGAATAAGTTTCAAACGTTTTTTACTAGAGACAAATTTCGACATTTTATAAGAATTACTTACAAAGATAAACTTCATGAAGGACTATAAAGTACTACTTTAAGATTTTTATTTTTATTTATTTTTTATATGGTACTATATGGCACACTATATGGCAATGTAAAAACCTTTGATTTATTAATAAATACTAGATAAGGGCGGACGTGGGCAGAACCGATTAACCGTAATGGCAGACGGAAATGGTGCCCACGTCCTTCGTTACTACTACTACTACTACTACTACTATACAAGAGTATACTTGGAATTATATTTTAATTATTATCTCAAAAGGCGTTAGCCCAGAAGGGCTATTAATTTCGTTTTGCCATTTTGCGTTGGTTCACTATAAATGCCGGTTCACACTTCAAATTTTTACAACCAAATATTATCGCTCTGTGTTTTATATTTAAAAAAAATTAAATAATGAAGAATCTGCATAAATGTATGTATGTTTTTCGCATTGTGATAAAACAACGGTATCTAGAGCTATCGAAATTTGGTTAACGTAATCTTCCACCGAATATGGGCATCTGGAAGCCCGAAATTGGAATTTATTTTATTATTGATTTCATATTTTGTAACACTTTAATTGTGACACTGTAATTTTTTATTAATAAACTCAACGATTTTAAAGCGAGCAATGGCAACACTGTACGAAAGAAAAAACTTTTTTATCTCCAGCGAGTGAGACTGTGTAACGGAAATTCTAAAGATGCGCTCATCTTAAAATTATTTTGCGATATTGCTGTTGAATTGAATTTTATGGTTTAAATGCAAAGAACATGATGTTTAATAAATAAAGGAACACCCAAAACGTTAAAAAAAAGTCCTTTTGGGCGTAATATAAAATCTGAAAGCTTTTAAGATTTTTCTTTTAAGTTTTTTTAATAGGTTTAACTAGTATCAAAGCGCTCTAAAAATGCCTTCAGTTTTGTGAGATAATATGCTTTTTCTTGAAGGAAGTTTGTAACATTTGACGCGTCTGAAGTTCAAACAACGTACTAAAAATGCTTCAAAACTACTACTGAAAATTTGCTTTTTGCAGTTTCAGTACATATACTTTTATCATTTTGTTTTAAAACATATGAAGCTGAAAATTAATATAATCAGTTAAGGTAAAAACAATTGCTTACAACTATAGATGATTGCCAACTTTAATATAACAGTTTTAGAATACATAAGCAGTCCATTATATAAGTATACAAGACTACATAGAGGATATTACCTAAGTCTGTATTGCAGCAATATAGTTTCTGTCGAATAACACCTATGCAGAACGATATGTATAAATGTTTACCAAAGGTTTTCCTGTACACCATAAGTCTACGTAATAATTTTAAATACGTCTCATTTAAAAAGCAGATGGATAAAAAAATGCAGTAACTAATTTTAAAATTAACTTTTATTTTGATAGAGTCTGCAATTCGATGAACTTCATTCCACTTTTGTATTGTTTCCTTTCAAGATTTAGAGCCTTTTTGCTACGTTATTTAATTCTTTCGCATCGATAGAGGCCAAAATCTGCTTCTCTCAAACATCTGAAACGAGCTTTTGTTAAAATGGATTTTCTTCCCCATGCCAAGCAGACAATGGACGCAGGTGTTCGGGCGTCCTGTCAATGTTTGAAGGCGCGGGCGTTTCGGGCGACTGCGCTGTGAAACAGTTAAACTCTCACTGCTATTACATGACTAAAATGATACATGATTCTTATGATTACGCATTTTATATGATTCCTATAATTACGAATTTTAAATTACGTTACTCTAAAACATTTGTAATTAATAAGCTAATTCAAGCTACTGTGCCCATCAAAATTGCTGATTGCTGAACACTAGAAGCATTATTATCATATTCATTTTGTTTACTTAATTTCAATTAACGATTAAACATATCAGCAGCAATATAGTATATATTATCTTACCATTTAACGATTGGCTTCGGAGTACCGTCAAACTTTAACGTAAGGTCAACGCTCTCATCTTCTACTGCTGTAACACTTTTCAGTTCTTTCAAGATCGAAGGGGGCGTTACAGATTCTAAAATTGAAAAGAATTTGGAAAAATGAATTCAAAAACTGTAATCAATAAGTACCAACCATACAATATAATTTACTGTTTTCTCAAACCGCCAGTAAAATCTATTCACCTATGTGAAATTTCACAAATTATTCTACATCTAATTTATTTAATTCGGAGAAAATTATTTATAATCTTTCGCCTTCAAGCATTAGTATTGTTGGAAATATTTTTAAATATCCGTTTTATACATATTTGTGTAACTACTCATTCTCAATACCAATGCTTAAAGATAAAAAATAACTCCAGTGCAATTATTTTTTATCTTTAAGTATTGTTATTATTGAGAATGTTTTTGAATATTTATTTATATATATATTTGTTTAACTTCTTTGAGATTTTTTTGAATATTCGTTTTATATATATATTTGTATAACTTCTGCATTATGCTCTGGTGCAAAATCTTTCATACGTAAGGTGATCGAAGAAACATTAGACATTTGAAAACTATTTTTTAAAAAAAATTCTATTTTATTGCCTTTGCAATTCATGGCTATGTAATTGCCACAGGATTGCTCAAGAAAATGCAGAGAATTTTATTTCAGAAGTAATCAAGTTACAATTTTGTCCGCCAATGGACTATTCGGTGTCGTGGAATATAGCGTAAGTGGTTCCTAGTCAACACCTTTTAGATCACAGCCTGTTACTTTTTTTGCCCCATGCATTCCTTTCACCATTGCTAGACGGTCGTTTCGACTCCTCTCCTTTCCAAAACTCGAAACATGCGTGTATATTTATTTTACTTAGATTATTTTTATGTATTTTATAAATTAAACAAGAAAAGTTGTAATAATATCGGTAATTACCAAAACATGAATAAAAATGGATTTTTATATTCATAAATTAAAACTAAATACTAACAGGTAAATAAAAGGCTGACAGCATTCCCCTCCCACCTCCTGAAATTCCCCTTGGTTGACAAGCCCTGTTCCAGATAGTTTCTTCGAGATCGTGTTGTCCGAGCGGATGGTGGAACTAGCGGACAGTGGGGGCTCATAGTTGGGGGAAGCGAAAATATAATTTGGAAGGAAGTTGGGAGGGGACGGAGCAAAGAGATATAACGCGTTCTATCATTCGCGTTTTTAAGATGTTGAAACCTAACGAAAGAACTTAAATTATTATTACCCGCTTGCATACACGCGTGACATTAATTTTGATTCAGTTTTTAAGCTGTTTATGTTTTGAAGCTATCTAGTTTTTCATCAGTCTGTTATTGTATTTAGTGATTTCAAACACAGTGTTAAGCTGCTATCACACGTCGTTTTGTTTCGGAAGAACAACTGTTTGGAACAATTTTTCTGCTTTGTCACAAGAGCCAATCACCATAGATCGCTTTGAGGTTCACACAGGGGGAAACTGGTTCGTCATTACAAACAAGCTGATAGCGTTCGAAGCTGATAACTGATTGGTTGAAAACGAACAACTTGCAATTTTTTTTTGGAAAGGCAGGGAAAATTCGCACGTCTTTCTTTCAATAGTAAACCAGGCAGAAAAATTGTCCGAAACAGTCGTTCGTGTGAAACAAACACCGTGTGATATGGGCCTTAGTAGATAACTAATTTAATTAATAATATTACGCTTTTTGTCTTGACCTGTTTCTGCTGCTAAGACATTATATTATATTATAAAAAAATATAGCAAATGATGGTGGAAAGTAAAGAATAATGTTATACAAGCAGTTATCGTAGGTAAGGTGACGGCTTTAAATCTTTTTAATATAGCACAACTAACTACAAAAAACTATGGTCAAGAAGAAAAGAGAAAAATCTCAAATATGAATTAGGTAAAACCGAAGTGAACTATCAAATTGTACTTATTTTTGTTCTCTGTATCGGGGTAGAAAACGGCAAATAACATGAAATTTTAAAATTTAAGTTACGAATACATTTTTAGCAATATTTTGCATTTCTTATTTGTGAAATACGTATTATGACTTTTTTTTTTTTTTTTTTTTTTTTTTTTTACTTTTTCATGCGAAAGTATCGTAGTCGCGAAAAATTTCGGGTATCATATTTTATTGGAACTCATATCCATTTTGACCGTTCCCGAATCCATCTTCAGGATGTTTTTGCAAGACGTCTGTACGTACGGCTAAAATAAAGGAATCTTTTCCAAAACCTATTGTAAAATGGATTTGAAATAGATTCAAAGGTAATTTTCTCGTGACATTTGTATGTACATACGTACGTACTTATGTATCTGGCATAACTCAAAAACTATTAGCCGTAGAACAATAAAATTACTATAACATCTTCGTGTGCACCTCCCTTTCTAATTGCAATCGGCAATACCAAAAGTACATACATATAGTACACTCATCCACCCCTTACGCTGCTTAAAAGCCCTTACCCAAGCTTTATTTTCGCCATCGTTGGCCATGGACATACACTTCCAGCTACAGAAGTGTTTTAAATGACCAAAATGTTCATGTTTTGCAATGGCAAATTTAAAAAAAAAAATTATTTTCAACAAATAACGATATCTAACTTTTAATGTTGTCTCCCTGGTCCTATACTGTTTGAGAAAAAATTGTATTATGAAAAAATAAAATTAGAAATTTTACACCTGTACGACAAAAATTGACGGATTCGTTACGGATGGTATTCATCGAAACAATACTCCCGGATGAGGGCCATCGGTTGGGTGCGGTTCTCGCGAATTTCTCTGGACAGCACTCGTCGGTCCCTATCTCCCAGTTTCGTTGGTCTGCCGACTCGGGGCACATTTCGACAATCACCGCTCACCTTCCACTTCTTAATCACATAGGCCACTGTCGATTTTGGGTACTTCAGATCGCTAGATATGTCCCTTAAGGATCGGCCACATTTGTGATACTCGATAATTATACCTTTCTCGAAATCAGAGAGCTCTGAACTGCGAGGCATCTTGCATGCGACTAAAGCCGATGCTGTTTCCTACACGATATATACCGGCGGAGTCCGTGACGTACCTTAGGACCGCAGATATCGTCATTTGCATAGGTGTCCAAATACTTATTGGTAGTCAGTGTACTATGACTGCAGTGAGTACAAACAGATGTGATGGCAAATAATTATGAATTAAATTATTAATTGTATATAATTATGTTATTAATTGTTAATTTATAATAACTAAAGTGCTCTGAATGTAAATAGTAGTTGCATTTAACACTGGCAGTTCCTTCACACTTTTATGTCAGGCCTATGACTAAACCATTTCATGACTGACATTGAAGGCTTTAAACTCGCAGACAACTGCAGAGCGGTTAAACTGGCTATTTTCGTTGAAATTTTGTTACGATATGTCTAGCCGCGGTAAGATAGCTTCCCCGCAAAGCAGGTTTAGGGCTGCCATAAAATGACAAAGGAGGGCAGGGTTGCCACATTTAGCGAGAAATCGTCCATTTGGGATATTTGACGACAAAATTGGTGATGTGCCATAGACGGATGTAGAACATTCTGGAATGAATTCTTACTAGTTTAGTCCAGAATGTTCTTGAGCACATACCAAAAGCTGTAGGTGGAGAGTCAGTCCGTGCGAAGTGAGTGTCTCGTCTAGCGAGTCAGTGACAGTCCATCGAGTTGATAGTCAGTCAGTGAGTACCGAGTTAGTCATCGAGTGCACCCACAGAGTCTCTTAGTGTATCGCGAGTTAGTGCATCGTTGAGTTTTCATCTTAGAGTGTGTTCAGCTCCAGAAACGACTGAACCAAGGAGTTGGGAGCTGTACTCTAGTGTATCGTCGAGTGCATCACGAGTTGTAGCGTGGAGAGTCTCGAGAGTATGTGGAGTTCCGAGAACAATCGCGCAGAGTCGGGAGCTGTTCTCTGGTGCTTTGCCATGAAGCTGTCTTCCCCATGATAATCTGATAGCCTGAAGGCTGTGTCGCTGATTGTTTCAGCATGTTTATAGTAGTACTTCGTACTTCGACGATTGTAAACATGATTTTGGAGCTGTCTTGAAACATACTGACAATAAAGAGTGTTTTGATGCTTCATCAAGTATCGCCGTTATTAACTGCAAATCCACGAACCCGTACGAACGTGAAGAGAGAAAAAAGTAACAATATGATAGCCGAAATTTTTCGGGATTACAATACTTTCTTTACTTCGTACAAGGAAGTAAGAATTTGCTTCTTTCAATAGTGAACGTAATACTTACACGTTTCAGTTTCTATAAATATCGCTAACTCATATTAACTCTATAAATACCTGAAAAATTTTATACATGCCAATTCTGTAACTGATGAAAAAACAGCAGTATTTTGATCAGAATATATATTCGGTATTACCTGATACTTCTAATTTGCTGCTAGTCTTTTGTGATCCAGCGAAATTTGTGATTGTGCACGTGTATTTTCCAGCATCCTCCTTTGTCGCTTTATTTAGCACCAGCGTTAAAGAATCCTCAGCCTCTTCGTAACGTTGTTCGAAATGCTTGCTATCTATAGTCAATTCAGCTCCATCTTTGTCCCTGAAAGTTGCAAATAATTATATCTGAAGACTAGATTTGGAAATGCATTGTCTAATCTTTAAAAGGATAGAAGTTTTTATCATGTCATATGATGGACACAATATAAAAAATGCACTGTTTCAATTTCTAACCTTTAATTACACTTTTTCATTAAGGGATTTCTAAAGAGACTCTAGTGCAGAGAATTCAAATTTATATTGCAAAATGGGGGTCGAATGTACGACCTAAAAGCAGTTGATTGATTGGACCTTTTCTTCTTTTCCTTTAACAAAATAAGAGTGAACACACACATACATGCATATGCATATATAACCAGGATTTCCTTTACCTAATTTACTCAAACTTTATATATATGTAAGATATAAGAAAATACGAAAGCTGCTTTAAAAAAATTAAATAACAATATTTTGTTTTTGTATAGTGGCGAGCTTGAAATTGTGCCTTCCTGGCGCCGATCTTGGCGTCAAAAAAGAATCGCCGAAAAACAAGGTACACCCAACTGTAAACTTTTACCTAATTGGTGACCTCAAAATTAATGTTCTGGATTTGGTGATCTTCCTCTAAATCCCTCTGTTCTCCTAAGTTCGAGATTTTTCTATGTTATATAACGCTACTGGAAAAGGGCAACTAAAACTAACATTAACCAATCATAACTTGTTTCTAGAATCGCACCTACTCTGGTATAAATACCTCTGCGAGCTAATTGCGTCAATATTCTTCTAGCTTCTACCTTGCTAATATCTCCTCGCTTTGCTTCTGTAAAATGCCTGCGTCATTTGTTTTTAAGAAACTAAAGTACATAGCAATTTATCGTATTTTATTATGATTGAATCATATAAATGTATCGGATTTCATTATAATTGGATAAATATCTACGGAGATGATTTTATATGCGTGGAAATAATGACTGGAAATTCTTCAAGTTCATTGTTTTGTTATCTTCATCTGTAAGCCTTCACCATAAGCCGCAACGACTGCAAGTTGGTTCCTCTTCTATGTTTCAAAATTATTACATAGATATATACATAGTGACTTGCTGCATGAAAGGTGCAAAAACAGTTAAACAAAATGTGGAAACAGCAATAGAAAACGGAAAAAGTAATTTATATCTTTCATAGCATTGTCATAAGGGGGTTGCTGCTACGTAAGAAATAAATACCTTGGTCCGTTTCTGAAAGGATGATGACACAAATTACAAGTTTACTACTCAGATTAATCTCATAAAATTAATCATAGCAAAAAACATTAATCATCAAAATTAAACTGAAGTGAACAAACTGCAACATCACTAGAGCTTAAATTTTTGGGGGCTGGTATGGAAGTAATTGCCATTGTGATAGCTTATCAAATTTATAATACAAACAAATTGAAGTTTTTTCTTTTATATTTCATACATTTTAGTACATCATGTTTCATGTTGCGTTTGGAACAGTTTCTACTTTTAATTACATTACAGTCAGTTAAGAATTTAATACTGATTTTATTATATAGTACATGTTCGGATTAACTAGTCGAACTCTAATCCTACCATATATTGAATTACTTTCAATTTCAAAATAATTGTTGCTCGACTGCTACAGTTTTGAGGACTAACTCTTCATTTTTATCTGTTTTTTTGGTATTAAGTTTTCATGTATTTTACTTTTCCATATTTTGAATTACCTCTACTTTCATCGATTTTTATAAAAACTCAGGCTACTCGAACTTTTTCTAGATTGATAGCTTATTTATGATTTAATATTGCATTTTTGCAATTTTTGCACTATTTACCCCAGCCGGTAGAGGCTGGTCTGATAAACGCATGAATTACTACGATTAAATTTCTGAGATTAATTTAAGTATTAAAATCTAACTTGTGATTTGTGAGATTGTCAGTTCAGAAACAAGCTGAGGTATTTACTTCTTTCGTTAGCCTAAATCCTTGAAGACGAAGACGATAAACAAAATTATATATATAATATCAGTATTAAGGATAAGCATATTAATATATATATATATCAGGTTTTAATGGAGGTTTCCACCACCGCAAATATCGCTTGCGCAAACAGTTCACGTTGGCCTGTTTAATCATATCTTGTTGAACGATACTTTTTTTTCCTTTGAGAACATACAGACTCCCCGTGCACCACATATGTACAACACGGGGCTTACAGAAGTAAGTTAACTAGAACATTAAAGGTTACATGTATAAATAAAAATTAAAAATTACATGCATAAATAAAGCGAACAAAAGCAGAGAACAGCAGTCTGGACTTCACGAAAACAGATAAGTTCACTGGCCAAGTCACTCCGAACATTTTCAAATCGTTCTGTAAGCATAATCTATTGCCATCAAATGTAGGGCACGAGAAAATCAAATGTTCCACATCCTGAGGAACTCTTTTTGAACATTCACATAAATTGTTTGATCGTAGATTAAAACGAAACAGATAACTTGCAAATTTACCGTGACCAAATAAAAACCGAGACACTTTAAAATTTAACGAGAGGAAAGACTCGGAATTCAGTCTATGGTAAATAGAAGGAAGGAACTTTTTGGTGACTTCAGCATTACAAGATGAAATGTATTCCTCATTCCACGTAGCTAAAAGCTTTTTATCATGAAAGGACTTCCAATAATTCTTTGGAATGCTAATGTTGATATTAATGGGTAAATTTAAGGCATCTTTAGCTAAGAAATCAGCTCTTTCATTTCCGTAGAAACCACGATGAGCACGCACATAAGCAAAGCAGATATCAAAACCTCTAATTCTAAGTGAACTAGCAGTTACTAGGGTTTCGATAACTAATTTATCGCAGCTGATAATACTGTTCAAAAGTTGAAGAGAAGAAAGAGAATCAGAACAAATAAGGTACTTTGAGGATGTTGTCCCATGATCCTGGATCTATTTGACGGCAAGAAAAATGCACAGAAGTTCTGCTTGAAAAACTGTACATTCATTCCGTATACGGTGTCTAAGAAAACAAATCTCGGAATGGCCTTCAAAAAGAACTAATGCAAGGCCAACCTTGTTGTTCATCTTGCTGCCATCTGTAAAGAAAACCATATAAAAACTTATTTCAGCAGTCTCTTTATAATCAGAAATTTATGGGTTCTAAAGAAGCGGGATGAGGAAGATCAGTGAAGGGGACAATTCCTTTAATACAGTCTTCCGAAGCATGAGTTGCCAATGACTCAAAAATATTATTCTTATATGCAATTTCAAAATCAATAGGCGGAACTCCTGCAAGAACAAAAGTAGCCTCATAGCTTAAGGTTCTATAACCACTAATAATACGAAGAAGAATTCTCCGTTGAATCTTTCTTAAATTTCTTTTGTTAACCTTCTTGGCAAGAACATGTCCCCAAGCATGGCAGCCGTACGAAATGAAAGGTACAATACACTGCTTATACATGAGTTTCTTAACATCGTAGCTTACTCCAAAAGTATTTTTGGCAATTCGGTGAAAGCCATTAATATTTTTTTCACATTTAGAAGAAAGGAATTCAATGTGCTTTTTCCATGCTAATTTTTGGTCAAGAATGACACCAAGATATTTAACATTTTCTACAAATTCCAACGGAGAATTATCGAGCATCAAAGAAGCAATATTTTGTTCATCAAACGTACTGGGAACAAGCATAGCTTTACTTTTTGAAGGATTGAAAGTGAGTTTATGAGAAATCGCCCAACTGGAGACAAAATCTAGAACTTCTTGTGCTCTCAAAAGAATGTTATTCAAAATCCTTCCTTGGAAAATTAATAGTAAGTCGTCTGCAAATGCAATTTTTAAACAACCGTCGAGATGACTTAAGAGATCATTTAAGATTATGTTCCAAAGAGTAGGTCCGGATACAGAGCCTTGAGGACAGCCTTTTTCTAGAGAATAAACCTTAGCTTCGTTCCCAAGCTGAAACTCAGCAGTCCTCTCGTTCAAGAAGCTTTTAAGAAGGTTATAGATATTATGTGGTATACCAGCATTTTAAAAAATTTTTAAGATAGATGTCCACCAAGCATTATCAAAAGCTCCTTTGAAATACAGGAAAATAAGAAGTGTAGTTTAATTCATTTTCTTTGCACACTGCAAGATATTACAAAGGCGAATAATGGCGTCTTCAGCGGACTTCCGAGGAGTAAATCCGAACTGAGAATCATTATAAAAGCATTTTTGTCTCAAATACCAATTTATTCTGTTAATGAAGAGAGTTTCAAGACATTTTCCCAAAGTAAGCAAAAGACTAATGCATCTAATATTATCAAGATAAGGGGTTCTTGTATCTAAAGTTTTAGGAATCAAAAACAACCCGAGCTCTCTTCCATTGTGCTGGAAAAACTGCTAATTGTAAACAAAGGTTGAAAAGTCTGTGTAGAAATGTGCTATCCACCGCATTAAAGTGCTGTACAATTTCATTAGAAGTGCTCAGACTCAGTGCGCATAGTTCTATGAGAATTTCTATCATCACGCGCATTATCTCTTGGGAAATTCTTTGTCATTATAGCAACAATTGTATCACTCAAATTCGAAGTAACACTGCCATCCGGGAGTTTAATTCCCGAAATCTCAATCCTTTTCGCAAAATTGAATTGGTCTTAACCCCATACTTATATATAGATTTCCAGACATTATGAACAGTAATAGTTGACAATTTCTCCACGACTCAAGCTTAGCATTAGCTAATTTAGCCTTGTACTTATGCCGCAATTCGAAATATTTAATTTTATAAATATTTTTAAGAAGACAGTTTCTTTCTCTCTGGAATCTACGCCTAGCAGCATTTACATGCTTTCTATAACAATCAATTTCCTTAGACCACCAAGGGACCCCCTTCTTCTTAATTTTCTTCATCGGAATTGAAAGTAAAGCACAATTAAAAACAACGGTAGAAAGTCTGTTTACAACAGTTTCAATACATTCAGAGCAACTGTTAAGAAGGATTTTCAAGTTACACAATTCTCTCTTACAAAGTTCAGTAAATAAAAACCAGTTCGCTCTTTTTAAATTAAAAGTACACAAATTAGAAGATATAATCGGACGGCATAAAACAAGTTCAAAGATAATCATTTTATGGTCAGAAAGAGAATCTTCCTCAGAGATATCCCAACCTTGAACGTATTAAAAAGCTTATAAAAGCCAGAAAAAGAACATTACAAGCCCGTACGCACGCAACAATATATATACAAATGCTCCCCAAATTACGAACTTTCGAAAGATGCGATAAAGTAATTCTTTATTTATTTATATGTCCTGTACTGAAAACATAAGAATTATTTATCTGTTGAAGGTTTTCTTTAGTTGTTTATTTGATCGTATCACCTCAGGAAAACCTGTTAAGAGGAAGTGTAACATTTTACGAACCAATTTCATGGTGCGAGCGATCGTTTGGAACGTAACTCATTCATAAAGTGTAATGTAATAATTCATAAAGTGTAGCGCGTGTATATGTAAATCAAAATTTCAATTCACTTTAGCAATAACTCCTTAATTCCTCATTTTTAATTTTGGAATTTCCTCTCTTTATTCTAAAAATAGTTATAACTATTTCTGGCCTGTGTCACTTCTATATCAATCCATATCATATGACTAAATAACGCTGATTACGTAACGAACTTGGAACTTAAACCAAAACTTTTTTTTAATAAGCTCCATACTAAATAATTTCTTACTTTTGCTTCTACTTCTGTTCTCGTTAAGATGCTGCTTCGTTGTTATCTTCCTATCGCAGCAGTATGAAAATATAAATATTCTTGAATAGGCACGATTAGAGTGCGAAGTGAATGTCAATAGAAATAAAGACGAATATTTAATCTGCCTCAGCCGTAAAGTTTGCTTTTCAGTATGGATTAATATTCTACGCCATCAATATGGCTAAGTCGTTTCCATATATATATAAAATATATTACAGATATTACGATAAATTATATTTCTATGCAATACATTGCAACATATTATAGATATTACAATAAATTATATATATACATACTCAAAATAAAAGTAATTAAAATTAAAAAAGCCTATGACTCGCGCTAAAGATACAAAGTAATAAACCAATAATTCATAATAGTTTATAATAAGAAAACTTTCCATACTGTCTTAAAGGATTACAAATTCAATTTAAAACGATGAATGAAAAAAAATTAGTCAGAATTTTAACTAGTATTTAAAATTAGTATTGTCAAGACCTCCAATACAATATATTACAGATAAAAAAAGGCAAAATTAATAATAATTATATATTAATGTCGGCACAAAATTCTGCGAGCTAATTAAATAATCAAGGGATAAATAACACAGCATTAAAATCCTTCCATAGCAGAAAACTTAACTAAGAGGAGGAAAAAAGAAGATTTTCCTTAAATCAAAACTGAAACAGAAGTAAATTAATACAAGAAAATTCATACCATTTTAAATGATAAAAACTGATTTGTCTTATCCAATAAGCAGCAGAAAGAATTTTCAAGACAGTGACGTTCCGGAAGTAAATCTGATTTTTGTGGAGAGTTTTAAAAATTTCATTTCTAAATTAAATAATGAGGCTTACCATTTGAAGGTTGGTTTCGGTTTTCCGCTGAATTTAACTGTAAAGTTAACTGTCTCGTTTTCTTTAACAGTTTGGTCCTTCAAGCCTTGTGTGAATGTTGGCGCAATTTCTTCAGCTGTTGATAAGAATGACAAATTATCAATCAGTCTTATATTTCTCGAATAGGAAATGGCAGCAAATTGACACAGTGTGACTTTAACCGTATTCGAACGCACTATGCTTACCTTCTACTACTAGTTTGCTGCTAGTCTTCTCCGAGCCAGCAGAATTTGTGATAGTACAAGTGTATTTTCCAGAATCTTCTTTCGTGGCTTTGTTCAACACTAGAGTTAAAGAATCTTCCACTTCTTCGTATTGTTGTTCAAAATGTTTACTATCAATAGTCAGCTCGACGCCATCTTTATGCCTAAAATTAATAAAGTCGAAATAAAGTTTCTCATTCTGCAACAACGCCTTCATATATCTAAAATTAGTCAAAATAACAGAAAATTTAAATAAAAGGTTGACCGCATTATGTTTTCAAAACATGCTTTCAAAAGACACTAAAATCATCACAATCCTCATTTTCTCATTTCAAAGTATGAAACAACATTACACCTGACATTCCAAAATGAAATGTTGGGTTGGCAAGAAAGTAAATTTGGTTTGCACAAATAGCTTTTTAACTTGAAGTTCGCGAACGTTCTGGCCAACTTTCTGAAGTTTATAATGACAAAATCAAAGCAATAATAGAATCGAATCCTCATACAATTGTGCAAAATATTGCCAAATGGTTAAGGGTATCACACACAAGAATTCAAAATCACATAAGATGCCTAGGGTTCGTTAAGAAGCACGATATTTGGGTCCCGCATTGATTGAAAGAAATTCACTTAACACAACGAATCAATATTTGAGATACGCATTTCAAACATAACACAGTTGACCATTTTTTGAAAAGAATTATCGCCGGTGATAAAAATGGACCATCTACAATAACAGTAATCAAAACGATCATGATACTAGCATGATGAATCAGCACAAATCACATCCAAAGCATCATCAGAAAAAGATCATACTATCAATTCGTTGGGATTACAAAGGCGTTGTGCATTTTGAGCTGCTTTGTAGCAACAAGCCTCAGATCTTTGCTAACAACAACTTTTCAAAATGGAAGAAGCAATCAAAGAGAAAAGGCTAAAATTGGTAAAACGTAAAGGAATCGTGTTCAACCAAGACATTGCGAGGTCTCATACATTTTTAGAAACACGTAAGAAATTATTGGAGCTACATTGAGAAGTGATGTCGCATCCCCCATATAACCCCGACCTTGCATCATCGGATTATCATTCATTTCAAAGTTTGCAAAACTTCTCAAATGGTAAAAATTTCAATAATATGTATGATCTGAAATCGTCCTTGGTTGAATTTTTGCTAACAAATTCTAAATTCAAAATTCGGGCTTCCAGTTTTGATATGGTAAATCAACATAAAATTCTTCACGAAATTTATAATGGCATAATATGATAATAAGGTTTCTTTGTATTAAACGCATACTATATTTTTAAGGAAATTTAAAGAAATTTTGGACTACTGAGCAAATTTGTTTGGATTAAACACTGTTAATTTTAGATTTTAAATTTACTCATAAATATTTGATACCATTACACCACGCCACGCAAGCATGCGAAAAGCAGGGAGAAAATACCATATAAATCAAAGCAGTAACCTAATTTCATTCCTTGCATTCGAATACGTAATATAAGCAGCATATGTCCCATACTATAGGACACGCGGCAATAATTATCCAGGATGCAATCTACAGTACCTATCTACAGTATGGGATAGAATACTATACGGTAGTGTGCTATTATCTGGACCGGATTCAGAAATGAATGTATGCATGCATGTATGGATGTGTTCGTATATGCATGTATATTATGTTCGTAGGTATGTATATGAGAGTGTACACACATATATACATACCCATGTTCATACACACATTACACTTCTGAATCTGTCCTGATAACAGAAGAGTAACTACTATATTATAGGATAGCATGGGAATCCCATGCATATCCTATTATATGGGATAGAATCAAATACAGTAATGTCCTATAGTATCCTATAGACGGGTGTGTTTTATAGTATGGGACATATGCTGCTAATATGCTTTTGTTAAATGTATTTTAAATCGAAATGCACGACTTGATTGTGTGTGATGCATTTTTAAACTGGTTCGTTCAGTTTTTGAACTTTATATACTTAAGCAAACACACACTTTCAAAATTATCGAATTAACTTTAAATATAAATATATGTATGTACCATTTAACAAGTAAGTCCTTACCATTTGATGGATGGTTTCGGTTTTCCAGTGAATTTAACAGTAAAATTAACAGTTTCGTTTTCTTTCACAGATATATCTCTCAAGCCTTTGGTGAATGATGGAGCATTTTCTTCGGCTGTTTAAATAAAATAATAATGCATTAATCGTAAATTCACATTAATATTTTACTCATCATATAATTTTCAGGTATTAATTAATAAAATTTCAATTTTAGAGCAGTTAAAAACGTTTTTAAAAAATTTGAAAATGTTTCGTACTTTAATGGTCACTCAAAAGGGTTTGTTAAGGTTTATCATGATCTCTTTAAGCTCGTATAGTCTACCAATCTTCTGTTACACTCACTCCTACGAACTTTTTTTCCTTTTTAGCTTAATTACTAAGCATCCGCCATATTCAACAGCAAAATTTCAAAAGCAACATAGTAGTATACTTTCAGAATTCCCGATACAGCATTAAATGTTGGCATACACCTTTTTTTTTTTTTTTTTTCTTCTTTTGCTTTTTTTCAGGTTCATCAGATTAATGAACACTATTTTTACTAAGATTGCTATACAAAACTTTTTTTTGGCTTTTTATTACTAAACTTTTTTGTGTTTACCTTATTTATTAAATATCACGTTCTTGACATTTACGCCTCATAAAATTCGATTCACAGGCAAAATCACAAAGTATTTAAAAACAGCAGATTTTTAGAATTTACCGATTCATCAGAATTTCTTCGTAATTCAGATCGATACACAGTCTCACGCGCAGGAGATAAAAATTTTTCTTCCGTACAGTGTTGCCACTGCTCGCTCTTAAATCGGTGGATTTATTAATAAAAAATTCGTTCAAATTTTAGTAGTTGATGGTAGTAGATATTGAGGTGAATATTAGATGAATTACTTTTAAACAGAACAACCACCTATCTTGAAAAGGAGCGTTTAGAATTTTTCTACAGTAAAAGATAAAAATCCGATTTCTATCTTCTTGTCTTTCTTAATAAGGATACCAGACCTCTCGCATTAGTATCAGTATCAAAGGACGCAGCCCCAATCCACCTAGCCCGTATAAGTCGGCCATATGACTAAAAAGATTATCGGCCAATCTAAAAAAAAAAAAATTGGGAGCCTTCCCCCCGTGTGTGATACATTTTTACAGTCTTGCAAAATCTAGATATTAAGTCATCCTATGAATAATAATTTACTTTATTTTTACTTCCTTGTACGAAGTAAAGGAAGTATTGCAATCGCAAAAAATTTAGACTATCATATTTCAACGGAGTATCCATTTTGACGGATCCCGAATCCACGTTAACTGTATTTTGCATGACTTCTGTACGTACGGACGAGTCTTTAGCTCAAAACGGATTGTAAAATGGATTTTTCCGTGACGTCTGTCCGTAAATGTCCACGTATCACGACGCATAACTCAAAAACGATTAGACATAGAACGATGAAATTTTATGTATGGGTCTGCTACAACATTTGCCTATGCACCTACCTTTTTTTTATTGCAATCGACAGTATCAAACGTGTGCATACATATATATATAAACCAAACAATTTTATTATATTATAATTGCTGGGAAGGGAGTGAGTATATAGATATTATATTGAACTCCCCAAGGAGTGGGTGTATATTATATATTTAACAATTTAATTTAAATTTAACCACACTATAAAATAAAAAGCAAATTTAAGCTAAAAAAATTAAAGCAAATTTTTTTAAAAATTTTAAAAAAAAGTGCAAACAATAAAGTTTAATTTATATATATATATATAACTTCCTCACCCGCAATATTTTCTCATATGTTTGTAGTATATACGTCCATATATATATTCCATATATATGTATTAATCACAGAAGTGTTTAAATGAGAAAATATCGCGTTTTGGCATGCCCAATTTATAAAAAAATTAATTTTTGACCTCTAATGAAATCTAACTTTTAATGCTATTCCGTATTTCTCTGTTAAGTTGGGAAGTATAATCCCTTCGCCTCCCTCCCTGTCCCTTAAATCTCATCTTCTCTCTCCTTTTATTAACCTAAAATAAAATTAGAAATTTGACTCCCGTTTGACAAAATTTGACCGAATTCTTTAATTTCAAAATTTAAAATATTTCTTGTGATTTTCAACTTGTCTTAAGGGATAGGTAAATTAAGTTATAATAATTCGGCAGAGTAAGTTTAAATGATGAGCAGCAGAAAATGTGTAAAATTTAATAGGCCGCAGAAGGAAATCATATGGAGTCCACATCAGATTTTGTTTTTCAAGCTGAACTAAAATTCAAAGGTAGACAGGATAAATCAGCTTGATGTAAAAGCGAGTAGTCATTTAATCTTGTTTTTAGTTCAAATTTTGAAAAACGCAGTTCGACGCTAACGTTTACTTTTTCAAAAGCTAAATGAAAAGAGCCAAGGAACATATTGAGCATATTTTTCTTTACACATTCAATTAAATATTTCATTAGTCGGAATATTAAAGGATTGGACATTAAGCGTAAGCCGGTGTTAGCGTTGGTTCCAGAAATTCCGAGACAAAATGCATAGCCTAAAAGGCTAGAAGAAATGCAGAACTCGACCAGGACGCCCCGAAAACCCTGATAGAATTGAGGAATTATCAGAGAATGAAGAAGAGTACACTTTGTATATATATATGTATATATATATATGTGTGTGTGTGTATGTATTTGAACTTTTGGTCGTTTTTTATTGTACGGGAGTCACCATTTTTATTTTTTCATAACGAGAATAACACTTTTCCAAATATAAGTATCGAAACCGGACACCTCATTAAAAGAAAATTATGTTATTTGTCTAAAATTAATTCTCTTTTAAAGATAATACTGCAAACATGAATATTTTCATCATTTAAAACACTTCAATATTTGGAAATATGACAAAACCGGATTGTGTGCATGTGTTTGGTACAGCCGACTGCAATAAAAATGGTTTACGAATAAGATGTTATAGTATTCTAATATATAGAAGTTCAACATTCTGCGGTAAATAGTTTTTGAGCTATGCGAGATACATTCGTATATATGTGCGAACAGACGTCACGAAAAATCCGTTTTTAATTTATTTCAAATCCATTTTTGTAATCCGTTTTCGAAACATACGTCCATTACTTCGTTCAAGGAAGTAAAAAAGAAAAATATCTGACGATTTTTATTTTTATTAAGCCAGTTATTGTTAATTTCATGGGTTCAGCTAGTAACAAATAAAATATATTTTGTTTAAATCGCAAAGCTTTCTGATTGAATTGGAAACATAAATATCTTATGATTTATGGAATGGCAACACATTGTTTTTAAATGGATGAATTTGTAAATTAAGAATTCAGTAACCTCACACAAAATATGAAGTAAATAAATTTTTTAATATTCAAAACTAAAAATTCGATCTTAATAGTGAATATTTCGGGATAAAACTGGGAGCTGTCTGTATGTGCTGCTTTTGTACACAGTTCGAAGAACATAACAAAATACGCAGCGAACGCTATACGTGAGAATGTGTGTGTAAAACGCTGAATTACGTCCTTTAGCTTCAACGATTACCCGATTACCTCCTACATTTCGTTCCGCACGTGGATAGTCGAAGATCATTGGAATTTATTTTTTGTTTTTTATGTATTTCCGTGCCTAATACCTTCTTATTCTTTCAAAAATTGATTTAAAATTTTAGAACTAAGAAATGAATAAGATTTCGCTGCCGGTTTCACGTTTGCTCTGTCGCGAAGCTCTTTCGCTGTGGAGGAGTGTGTTACCCTCTTATCGACCATAAGTGTTAGTTCGATTGTCCCTAGGGACAACGTTATCTTCTCAAGGCGAGGTTGACAATCGAAGACTTCTTCAGGACATTAAAAATTGAAACAGGGATTTTTTGCATCTGCATCCCACGATGCCCACGAAGCCTTTCGATCCCCACGAAGGCTCCGCTCGCACAAATGCCGTGGAGGATGTAGTAAGTTTTGAAACACTGCTAAAAGCACAAGATAATATTCCGAGCGTGTGAAATAAAGGAGGGTGCTGTTATAAGACAGCAGCTCCCAGCGCATTTCCAATGTGTGCACTATCACTGGCAGATTCGAATTACGTGCAGCTCGAATGTTCTATGAACGTAAAAGAACCACCTGTTTGATCCTGCCAGTAGTCGTATGCTTGTCTAAGATTACGCCATGCCTGTCTAAAAGAACATGCCGTATTAAGGCGAAACCGCGAATGGCTCATTAAATCAGTTATGGTACTTTGGATCGTACCTTACTACTAGGATAACAGTGGCAATTCTAGAGCTAATATTTACAGCAGAGGTCCGACTTTCTGGGGACGAGCGCTTTTGTTAGACCTAAACCAATCGGACATCGTGTCCGTATTATGTGGTGACTCTGTATAACTTTGAACTGATCGCCTGGTCAAATCTGGGTGATGTATCTTCCAAGTGTCTGTCTTATCAACTGTCGATGGTTACGCGCAAGAAAATTGTTTTAACACTAAAATAAAAACTTTAATCGAAAGATTTGACTGACAGCGACGACTTCAGCTGAAACCCTGCTAGACGTCATCGAACAAACGAAATTCGAACGCAGTGATAAAAAGCACTTAAAAAATTCGCAGCGAAATTTGACAAATATTTACACTATTTATGATAGATATGACCAAACATTGGTTCCTGTCGAACAAATATTAGATATTTGATTGCTGTCACGTAACACTCGTTATACATGGTGTCCCACTCCAAACGGGCAAGATTTGTATCGCACTTTTTTCGGGGAAAAATTATTATTAGAGGAAATGAATTATTATTAGAGGAAATTCATCTTATTAGAGGAAATGAAATTAAATTTTTACATGACCTACCTTTATGCTTGAGAAGTGAAAATGCATCACATGAGCTGCTGGAAGTGATCTTCTCCATGCTATATACACAGTTCAACACCGGCACTATATATTCGCATGTGCTGCTAGCAGTGTATGGGACGGCACTGCCTGGATTTCACGGCGGATGTTCCTGACGTAACTCGTGGATGGTGTGTGGTTTGCGCTCCTTCGCATTACGTTTAAGACAACCTCAGAGAAAAAGTCAAGGAAAGTCAAGTCTGGAAAAATGATTCCACCAAAATCATACTCGCTGTAGACGTATGGCATGTTGTCCCTTCTTGATGGTATCAGACAAGTATCAGCTCGTCATCATCTAACTGGTTTACAAATTCTTGAAACTGAGCCTGGTATACTTCACTGGTAACAGTAGTGTAAAATCAAAACTGGCTCTATGATGCAACGATGCGGTAATGCACAGAACACGCCTATCTTCTGTGAATAAACGGGTTCCTCGATGACCGAATGCTTTTTGTCACTACTTCATAAACGAGTGTTTTGTTTAGGTCACGTATCCTAACATGTGGAACCACGCTTCATTATGCCATGTGTACTCTGGCAGCAACCTTTACGAAGTGGTGCACCGTTTTGAACTGTGTATACAGGTGGGGGAGGTCACTTCCACCACCCCTAAAAACTCACTTTCATTTTTCAAACATAAAGGCACATTATGTAAAAACTTGGTTTCATTTCCTCATGTTATAAGACTTTTATGACACTTTTCCGGGACCCTTTGGTGTGGGACATCCTGTATGATTGCTGTTAGCAAATACTGAATATTCCGAATGCAGTTCTGTGTGTTGGGGACGTGCAGAGAAAGGAATACATTTATAAAGACCGTAAACACACTGTGTGTCAAGGGGTCGAGTTGCATTTTATTAACAAAGCTGATTTGAAAATAAAATGAAAGACCTAATGAGAATGAACTAATACCTGTGACGGTAACTTTGCTACTCGTTGATGTAGATCCCGAAGAATTCGTAATGGTGCAGGTGTATTTTCCGCTATCCTCAACTCTGGCGTCTTTGAGAACCAAAGTTAAGGAGTCATCGGCTTCTTCTTTCTTGTACTCGAAGTGCTTGTTGTCGATCTTCAACTCTGCTCCGTCTTTGGTCCTGAAGCACAATGAAAATCGAAATTAAATCGGGAAGAGTTTCTAACTTTTAATATGTTCGCAGCCTAAATATCCCCCTGCTTTTACAATAAATCCAACTCCAGAAAAGCAAATTTCCAAGACGTGCAGAGAAAGGAATACATTTATAAAGACCGTAAATACACTGTGTCCACAAAAATCCTTACCCGGCCTCTATATCCGAAACCGTTGATCGTAGACATATACTTCCAATTAACAAAAACATTTTCAATGACGCAAATATTAATTTTTTGCCATTTTTAAATAAATAAATAAACACATTTTGTAAAATTTCCGAAATCTAACATTTCCTCGTTCCTTACATTTATGTCTAGAAAAGTTTTATACTCATTATAAAAAACAAGACAAACTCTAAGATAAAAATTGATCAGAATGTTTAGCTTTAAATGTGGACATCATATTGTGGTACGGCGCACAAATTGCATAGCGAAGTACTTGCATTCTTCCTTAACTCAAAATAAAATACCAGTTTAGGAGCAGTTACTGATTTTAATAGATTAAGCGACAAGCACAAAACTAAAGTTAACTTTTGGTCAGACTGGATAAAAAGACACAGAAGTTGGTGCACCAACTGAAATAATTCACTGTTCTATTAAGATTTTCAAAATGTAAACAAATGGCGACCTCGTTAGTACCCCTTAAACTTTTAAAGTGCTGATAATTCTACAACTATTGCGTGCAGATTAACTAAAGGTATGAAAATCGTAACTAAAACATAACATAAGAACAACACAATTCAGTCACTTTTAAAGCTAAAAATGTATAATTTACCAGTATATAAGGAAAAAATAACTGAACTCACCGAGCTGGGTAACAGAGTGACAATGTATATATTTACATAAGTTGGTGCTGTCGATGAAAATGTAATGTTCTACGGCTACATGTTTTTGAATTTGAGAAATACATGCATATGTCAGACGTCACAAAGAAATCGTTTCTGAATTCATTTTAGATCCATTTGACGGTCCGTTTTGGAAAAGGAGTCCTTTATTCTGTCCGTACGTATACATGTCATACAAAATCATAGTTCAAATTAATTTGACAACGGTCAAAATGCATATGTTAAGATACATAATTATATATATAAATTCCGAGTCCCACCCACTACCATAAATTACTTCACCCAAGTCTTACCGATTGATATTATTCAAAGCCCCCACTGCCGCTAAGAATTTTCGGACACCCTACACTTATGAGTCAGACACGAAGAGATCACTTTGCCAACTCCCCACTAGAAAGAATGTAAGTTACTTAATACCTTTTCTGGCCTTTTATATCTTCATGTACATTCACTGTTCTTATATATATTTTTATATTATTTTTTATATTATTTTTGATTTGTTTGTTTTTACAAAGTTTGCGTTATTTATTTTATTTTTTGTAATCTTCTATGTTTATTTCACTTTACTTTGAATTCTATTTAATAATGACAATTTTCCAATGTTTAATTTTTACAAATAATATAGAACTCAAATGCATAAACATGAAGGTGTCGGGGACGGTTACTCGAGTTTTTTCGGATTTCTCTAGAGAAATTGATTTTTACTCCAATTGAATTGGCTAAATGCTTCATAAGAATAAGTTCTTTGAGTATCAGCATTGGTTCATAATCCCTTCTATTCGCGGAAATTTTTGGCTTGACTAGAATTGCCGGTTTGGCTTAACCTTATAACTCGAGTAAAGACAAATACCTTCGTATTTACGTATTTTTATTAATTATTGTTCATTGAACGGGAGTTGGTTTGTTCCCCCTTGTAAAGTCACTAATTTCCGATCAATGACAATGTTACATGTTTTTAATTTAATTTTTCCTTTTACAATTGAAATTTTGTTCTTCATGATGATTTAATTCCAGTCCCCGTTAAACATTATTAACATTTTACTTTCAAGTTACTTCAAAACATCTTTCAAAATATAACTTACCAATATGGATTCACTCTTTTAAAATAATTCTGCTTTAATTAAACTTAGGAGATAATATAATCAATTAATCAATATTGTTTAAGAAATAAATTATTATTAACTAACTTTGCAGCAATTGCGCAAGTAGTAGTAACTTGTTTTCGCACTAAATGAATTTAAGATCATACAACATTATATATATGGATTATGTATAATTGAAATATGATACTCGAAAATATTCGCGGTGACAATACTTCCCTTACTTCGTACAGGAAAAAAAAAAAAAAAAAAAAAAAAAAACTGGCATGCTTTGGTATTCGCACATAGCCAACTCGTTATATTATTTGCATAAATTAAAAATTATTAAAAAAAGTGTGTGTGTGTGTGTGATTATGGCAAAGCCTCGAGGGCTATCTGCCTAAGAGGAGGGATGCCTTCGTGGAGGACTTTCTAAGAGAAACTGGCTCGTATACACGTTACACATGGGGAAAACCACGAAAACGCCCATGCAGCCAGCTCGTTCGCGGGATATTAAAAAAAAAAAAGTGAAACCTTTCAGATTTTTAGATTACGTTCAAAAGGGCGTTTCTCTATCATTTTGTGTGTTACCTCTATTTATTAAACATCATGTTTTTCGCACTTAAACCATAAAATTCAGTTCAACAGTAATATCGCAAAATAATTTTAAAATGAGCTATCTTTAGAATTTCCGATACAGAGTCTCGCGCGCTGGAGATAAAAATGTTTTATTTTTCCCTACAGTGCTGCAATTGCTGGCTTGGAAATCGTTTAGTTTGTTAATCAAAAATTTGTTGAACTGTTACAAATATGAAACCGATAATAAAACAAATTTCAGATTCAAATTAAGGCTTCCCATGCCCATATTCTATGGAAGATTACATTCTTCAAATTTTGATGGCTCTAGGTACCGTTGTTTTTTACAATGCGAGATATACATATATTCACGCGATTCTTCATTATTTAATTCTTTAAATATAATATAGGCGATAATTTTGGTGGAAACAATCTGAAAAGTGAAACAACGCTTATCGTGAACGAAGCAAAAATGGCAAAACGATTTGTCCCTGTTGACTAAAATTTTTCTAGTTTAATTAATTTTTTTGCATTATTTTTAGATTAGAATCCGTAGTTTATAAAACTGAAGGAGACTATTATTATGATTTCTAATGTTTTAAAATTTTATAAATTCTTTCAGCATACCAGTTGTAACAAAATTACCAGTAAAAAACATTACACACTGGTATCATAAAAAATCCTTTAATGGCATTTATTGTCAACCTCGAATTATTATAATTTGTTTATCAACCGAACCTTCAATAGAAATACTGTCAAAAATAGCAAATTTTTAAATCCATTTGAAAAAAATATATATATAAGCATAGAATACCCTTTACTTAATCTCTTAACATTAGAAACCTTTTTCTAAACTGATATTATATCTTTAGTTATGTACACATGCAAACATTTGCTCTTCATTTAGGGTAAGGCCCCTAAATATGATCAAGGAATTTAGTACGAATATTTTTTTCAATTTTTGTCTTACGTGAGTCAAATATTTTGTTTTGTGCTTTTTAAATTGAGGATAAAATGTTTTCTAAATATAAAGTTCGGAAAAGTGTTCAGTTTTAATTAAAAAACTCAGCTCTATAGAAACAAGGTACGCGTGGAAGATAAAATACTTTTATCTTTCCCGCGTATTGTCATCCGTAAAGCTTAAAATACTTTCAAATTTAATATTCAAGGTTACTGATCAATAAACTACTAACTAATAAACTAATGAAATAACCCTAGCTGGACTCTTTAATATCATTACATACATTTTCTTTCTTATGATAACTTTTTTAGGCGGCTGACCGCACGAGCGGTTAGCATTTAAAGAAATAATATGGGGAATATAAAGATATGGACGGCAACCTCTAACACTCTGTCAGGAATTATAAAGATATGCTGTTTTTAAATATTTTGTGATTTTAATGTTGAAAAGAATTTTATGCTGCGTCAGTGTGGAGAACATGATATTTAATAGATGAAGTTAACACACCAAACATTAATAGTTAAAAGAAAAAAAAATTTGCATCATACTATAAGAAAACTGAACATTGATACGAAAAGTTAGAAAGACCAAAAAAAAAAAAAAACATAAAAATGTATGCCTATTAAAATGCCTGTTTAATTTTGTTATCATCAGCTTCACAAGGTCTGCCAGAACTTTGGTGAACTTCAAGATACAAATCTCCGGAGCGAACGTTTTTAAACCACTTCTGGCACATGCGTTCTATTAAGCAATCATCACCATAAACCTCGCATATCTCTTTGTCAGCTTCAACTGCCTTCTCACCATTACGAAAATAAAAATTGAAAATATTTCAAAAATGCTTATTTCAGCATCCTATGCTAAATTGACCGCAAACTAACAGTTGCAAAGAAAAATACAGAGAATTTGTTTCCATAGCAGCCTAAAACTGTCAGCTGCCAAATCTCAAAGGAAAAAAAAAATATTAAAAGATTGACAGAAGTATAAAAAATTGAATATAAGCTTATCTATTTCTTCAAACCAAATTTTCTTGCCACCCAATAATAATTTAAAACAAGTTGTTTTTCAGTATAAGAGTGAGAAATGTCGGATAACATAAGAGAGAAATTTATTTGGGAGGTATTTTGAGAACGAAAAGTTCCGAAACTGATGTCTCAAGCACAAGACATTATCTCTTGGAATCACCGCACGCTTATCTCAGAACAAGAGATCTAGGGCTTTCAGGGATATTTTCAAACAAGACAAGCCTAATCTCTTATTATACCAACAGGAAGGCCATTCAGAATAAATTCCTTTCGAGTTGAAAGCTTCTCATTTCTTGAGATTAAATCTAAAAAAAACTAGAAATCTGAAATCTTTCAGATTTTACATTACGCCCAAAATTTTTTTGTTTTGTTTTGTTTTTTACGTTTTGCGTGTTACCTTTATTTATTAAATATCATGTTCTTCGCACTTAAATCATAAAATTTAGTTCAACAGCAATATCGCAATATAATTTTAAAAATGAGCGTATCTTTAGAATTTCGGATACACAGTCTCGCTTTATGGAGATAATTTTTTTTTGTACAATGTTGCCATTGCTCGCTTTGAAATTGTTGAGTTTGTTAATCAAAAATTCGTCAAAGTTTTAAAGTTTTACAAAATATGAAACAGATAGTGAAACAAATTCCAAATTCCACATTTCGGTATATTTTATTCCAGATTTATTATTATTTCTATATTTTATTCCAGATGCCCGTATTCGGGTGGAAACGTAGGTTATTTAAAATTGAATGGTTCTAGGTACCGTTGTTTTATCACAATGCGAGAAACATATTTACATTTATGCAGATTCTTCATTATTTAATTTCTTTAATACATGGCTTTAATATTTGGTGGCGACAGTTTGAAAAGTGAACCGATATTTATAGTGAACCGACGCAAAATGCCGAAACGAAATGAATAGCCCTTTGGGCTAACTCCCTTCTGGGCTAACGCCTTTTGGGCTAATAATTTGTTCTCACTTTCATTTGCAGTAGTTTCCTTTGGATATAGTATTTTATTTTGAGATTATCAATTCTTGTGCACAGAGTCGCTGCACATCAGCAAGTATTTACGGTAAAATGCCCTTTTTGTGAAATAGATATCATTAATTATCAGAATAAATTGACTAATACGTTTAAAAAAAATTACCATTTAGCCTCCGGCTTGCCTGTGAATTTTACTGTGAATTCCACAGTTTCTCCTTCTTTGACGGTCACATCTTTCAATTCTTTAGTGAAAGTTGGTGCTTCCATTTCCGGTTTCTTTTTGGTCTCTTTTTCAGGTTCTTCTTCAGATTCCTCCTCCTCTTCGGATTCCTCTTGAGCTAAAAGGAAAAAATATATATATATATTGTAACAAATAGCTTCTAAATGTGCAATAAATGGAAATTGCGATTCTATACAGATATAAAATAGACTGAATAACAGAAGGACCATTAGCAGATGTAATGCAAAATGGCAAATGGCTTACAGAATTCCATATTCAATTCCTGGTTGTCTGTCGCCATAGCTATAATACCTTAATAACAATGTAATTTATTTAGACTTGTCCAAAGTGACAAACAGAACACCAAAAGTGATAAAGCTTTGAAATATGAAAATATATGGTTGCAAAAATTAAAGATCAGAGTCGATGGAGCTTCACGATGGTAATTAAATAATTGCTAATTGCTTCTAAAACTGCGATGAGTTCAGATGCACTGATTCGAAAAGAGTGCACATTCGCTGAGAAGCCTTCATCACCATTATTCGCATGAGGGCGTTGCAGCTTATAAGTATTGCATTATACCAACGAATGCCAAAATCTCCTTTGGACTAGTGCCTTGTAGGCGTTTGTTGAGTTCCAAGACAATGCACAGGTTGTATGTAACGATGAATCATCCTAGACAATATTTAGGTCTGAAGGTCGTATTTGGACTCGAAGAATGCCAAGAATACGATACATAAACCAAAGAATTGTTCCAACAGTGTTTACAGGAGAAGTTGTCATTGTAACAAGCTGATGCCACGTTGATGATGCACGATTGAAACCACGTTTATGAAGATATTTCATTGAAACAGGTCACGTTAAATCTCACAATGAAATTCCATGGTAACGGGAATTGTACTTTCGATTTTGATTATGGATTCGCCCGTAAATGGAATATTGTTGCAGGAATTTAGGAAAATTAAAACTTTCAGAGTCACTCTAACGTTTCAAGCTTTGAAATGAAATATATTGAAAAATCTGTAAAATAGATTGCTGTAATCTTGTAGTTTTTCTATCAAAGTACGCCGTGATTGAATTAAAAGAGGAATGATCCAGAATTCCAGTTTCAGCTAATGTAAGTATAATTATTATTAAATACCGGTTAAATAGATTCTTAAATTAAATTTAAATAAATTCTTGAAGAACAATGTTTTACGAAATTAATTTCTAATAAAATAGCTCGTGAAATTTCGCTGTGAAACCAAAATGATCGACATAAATAGAGAAATCAAATCTCTTATAGGAATTTTTCTGTAAGTTTTTAAACATTTTAATAGAAAACATATTTGTAAAACCATTTCATAGGAAACATTCATGAAACTTTGAAATATGTTTTTGCACATTCGAACCTCGATGTTCGGGCCTCTGTCTTTCAGATTCCTCGGTATGTTAAAAAAAATGAATTAACTGAAATTATAGATTTTAAATCAATGTGTTGTTTTCCCACAGCTATCTTAAAGCCTTTTCTTTGAAATCCTTGCTACTCCTAATTTTCAGTTTTGCATCGGAGAAATGGATCAGTTGTTAAATTTCTTCTCATTTTTCTGGATTTAACGGATACATATTTAGATGTCAATATATTGAAGTCATAAGCATTAAATAGTCAAAAAATCGAGTATACCCTAAAATTCGGCAAAACATCAGAAATAACTTTAATAAAAATGTGACAGTAATTTCATTTAAGAGATTTTTCCAGCTCTATTTAATTGAAGAGATTTGAAAACAATTAAATTTCTTAGATTTTTATAAGTTCTTTTTTAATTTCCTCGTGGTATTTGTCGCATGGTCAAAATTTGGCATCAGTTTGTAACCTACTTCCAGAATAAGGTATTGAACTCACATTTTGTACTCACACTATTTGCAAACAGTGCAATGTGGTGAAGCGGTTGTTTCAAAATTTGATTTACAGTATTTTTATTCCTTATACGAAGGATTTTATTCCTTATATTATTATTATTATTTATCCTTGTACCAAGTAAAAGGAGTATTGAAATCACTAAAATTTCGAGTATCATATTTCAATGGAAACATCCATTTTGATTGTTTCTGAATCCATTTGGATGACTTATTTGTGTGATGTCTATACATACGGGACAGAATGAATAACTCTCTTTTCCAAAACGGATTGCAAAATGATTTTAAAATGGATTCAGAGGGAGGTTTCCATGAAGTCCGTATGTATGTATGTATGCATCGAGCATAACTCAAAAAAGATTAGCCATAGAGCGTTTAAATTTTATATAAGGGACTACTATAACACCTAGTTGTGTACTTCTCGTTTTTATTCAATCGGCAGTATATGTATACCTGTCTTTTTGTATGTATGCATATATAGCATCAAAAATATTTTTATTTAAAAACATAATTATTCCATGTGTTTCTGCGCAATATGCTTCTGAAATTTTATCAGTATAGCAAAAGGTAAGAAATTTAGAAACAATTTTTCACAAAGACCCAAAAGAAGTGAAATTCAATACCCATAAATTTCAAAACATCCAATAAATATGCAAAATAAGAATTAAAGAGATGCGAAGCGAAAACCTAAAAATTATAAAAACCTGAAAAAATATACCAAAACCAGAAAGAGGAATTCAATTAAATCTGATATAACGTTATCAAGAGGGGGATACATTCGACTCAATTACAGTCTCCTTTCCACTTGAAAACCAGTGCGTTTCTATATTCACAATTAGCTAATGAACTATTCTGAAGTATTTAATTATAGCAGTTCATCTCGTTTTTTTTTTTGTCCTCAAAACTTTCAGATGAATTATTAGAATACATTCCCGGGACTCGAATCCGGACCCTTCGGTACGGCAATCAGACTCGCTAACCACTATCCCAGTTGGGCGGCTACTAACCATTCAAAATTAGGCATGAAAAGCAACCTTAATAAAAATTGACGTCAAATGAAGGCGGCATTTTTTGCCTAATTTTAAATTTTACATTCTCCTGTTTCTCTTCCATTTGATATCTAAACATTATTGAAAACATTATACAGCTCCTATTTTTCATTTAAAAACTCAAAATTAAAATTAAACTTTTTAGAGACATTAGGTATTTTTTGGACGCAGGAGCTCTGAAAAATGAGCAACACTTTTGCCGGGAATCGAAACAGACCCCAGGAATACGCGACCAGCATGCAGACCATTACGCTACGAAGGCACGCTAAGAAGGCGGGAGAAATACCTTATAAATTTACTGAACCTTCATACTTATAATGCAAGATCAATGTTGTTAACTTTGCATGCATCGTCGCTCTAAGATTCATCAGAAATTAAAATCACCGCTTTATCCGTTAAAGTTATTTTCCATTCTCGTGAAATCTCACGAGGTATCTTCTAAACAATTATATCTTTAACAGTCGTCGTCATCGTATATTTTAAACAGACTTTCGGAAAATTTCATTATTAAGAACAAATAAACTGAAGAATGTGGTTTGGCTTGGTTTGTTTGATGACGTCAAAGCACTCGAGAGCTGTCTTCCTTAACGGGTCAGATGCTATCGTGGAAGATTTTTAAGAGAAATTGGCTCGCATACGCGTTACACGTGGGGGAAACACGATAAAATATAATCTAGCATTTTAAGAAACACGGGCATAACAATTGCAATGAAATTACAGATGAAGAGCTCGTCTATTTAGTTCACCTTTTACTACCACTTTGCTAGTAGTTTTTTCAGATCCTTCCGTGTTGTTAATGGTGCAGGCATATTCTCCCGAGTCTTCCGTTGTGCTTTTGTGAATTATGACTGTCAAAGAGTCATCCGATTCATCCGTTTTCACTTCCACGTGTTTGCCATCGATCTTCAGCTCCTTTCCATCCTTTGTCCTAAATTACGTAAGAAAATGTTGGTGACGATAATAAAAATCAATATATGGGAGTTTCTATAAACAAATTGTAATCATTGACAGTATAACACAACAGTTACATGCACTAAGTAAATTAAAATATTTCCTATCTATTCAGAAATACCTTTCTTCATTTGTTTGTACGAAGTAAAGAAAGTATTGTAATTACGAAACATTTCGGGTATCATATTTCAAATCCATTTTGACCACTCTCGAATCCATTTGAACGATTTTTTTGTGTAACATTTGTACGTACGGACGGAATAAAGGATTTTTTTTTAAAAAAAAGAGGATTGTAAAATGGATTCAGGAGAGTTTTTTTTTTTTTTTTTTTTTTTTCCCGTGACGTCTGTACCTACGTATGCATATATCTCGCATAACTCAAAAACGAGTAACCTCAGAACTTTAAATTTTATATATACGACTGCTATAACATGCAGCTGAGCACCTCGTATTTTGGTTGCAATCGGTCGCACCAAACGTATATAAATATATTTATATATATATCCACTCTGTTACCCGGCTCAGTGATATCAGTTTCTTTACTCTTATATGTTTGTAAATTGTACATTTTTTGCTTTAAAAATGATTGAATTATGTTGCTCTTCTCTTCCGGTTAAGGGCCCACCAGCGGCCGAGCGGTAAAGTCGCTGAACATTGGTAGTTCGGTCCGAGGTTCGAATCCCGCGAAAGGGCTGGCTGCATGGGCGTTTTCGTGGTTTTCCCCATGTGTAACGTGTATACAAGCCAGTTTCCCTTAGAAAGTCCTCCACGAAGGCATCCCTCCCCTTAAGCAGATAGCCCTAGTGTGCTTTGCCATAATTAAATACACACACACTTCCGGTTAAGGTTTTTATGTATATGTTTAGTTAATCTGCATGCGATATTTGTAGAATTATCAACAATTCAAAAGCTGTTTCAGTACGGCTAAGCCTAATTATTTTTGCCATGGCGGATATATTTGTTTACTTTTGAAACTTGGCAGAATAGTGGATTCGTTGCCGATCTAGGGAGACTAAGCTTCGCAACAACAAAGATAACGGCTCCTTTTATTATTGTGAATTAAATCATGCTTGATCCGTTCTTGAATTTACTCGAGGAAATAAGTGTTTAAGATTTACTTCATAATTTTTAATACAGATATTTTTAGTTTTTATGGATTTTTGCCTTATCGCGAAGTAAGAACTGAATGATAAATAATGAATCGTCTGTGAAAAAACTGTTTTTTTTTTTTTTTTTTTTTTTTTTTTGTTGTTGTTTGTTTGTTTTATTTTTTTTATATATGGCTTTAGATTTATTATAGTATTTGAATACAACATGCGGCAACGATTAGATCATTTTTCAAATTATATTAATTTTGTGCATTATGCGTTATAATATGAATGAAAGGTAACGCTGTTAAGTGAACCTGGTGCGAGAGTATCGCTATGGTAAAGAATAGAGAATTTTAAACAGTGCATTTATTCTATTGTGGTTTATACGTTATCGACGAAGTAGATTTAATTCAATCCAATAAGTTTAAGTGAAATACAAGAAATAATGTCTATGATTTAATACTCCGTACAACAGGGATGTCAAACTCATAGGTACACTTGGGCCAAACAAACAAGGTTTAACACTTTAGGCGGGCCGAAAAAAAAAAAAAAAAAAAAAATCAATATTCATAGAAACGTAGATTTATTTCGAATAATGCAATAATAAAACATATATATATATTTATATAGAAAAGAACAAGAAAAATTAATGTTTACGTCCTGATACTTGACACCTCTTCTCTGCATTATCTTTCCTATTTCGGGAGAAATTTTGTTTGCAGTGATAACTTTCAACGCTGACCCAAGGTGAGAGCATCAGTAATACGGTTTCTAATAGGAGACTTATTACCTTTCATGACTGAAAATAACTGCTCGCACCGATAAGTGCTACCAAACATGGAAATAATTTCATATGCGAATTTTCAAGTATTTCAAACCTGGCTGGTAAATATTTGTAAAATTCAGGCATGCCCACTTCAATGAATTTTGCTTTCAAATTTGAGTTGCATTGAATCTCGATCACCTCCATTTGCATATGGATGGCTGGGTACTGAGTCAATACTTATTAAGAAATCGAAGAAAACAAAAAAAAAAAAAAAATTGTCTTCGAGGGAACTAAAATCATTAAAACCTCGTTTCAAATTCAGTTAATAATTTGCAATTTTTTCTGCGTTATTTTTGATACGAACAAGTATCATCTAAACTTGATTTGTTCATGCTGCACGTCGGGAAGTGCGTCAAATCTTCATTTTTAAGTTCTTTTTCCCAAAGAACTAGTTGACATTTGAATGCTTTAATTTATGTCAAACATGTTCGTAATGATATGATCTTCTCCTTGTAACGATAAATTTAAATCGTTAAGTGTTTTGGTTATATCAACCAAGAAAGATAAATCTTGTATCCGATATTGGATCGTAAAACAAACTTACGTCTTGATTTTTCGTTTTTAAAAACTGGTATATTTCTTCTTTCAAATCCTGGAATTGTGTGAGAATCTTGGAGCAAGATAACCAACGTACCTCGGTATAGTAGGACAAACCCGAATATTCACTATCTAACTCACTTAAAAAAGTAGTGAATTGACGCTGATTTCTAGAACTAAAGCTACTACTTTCGCTAGAACTACAGCTACTACTGAGATGAGTTGTTTGTTCTCGGCTTTTATAAGCTTTATAATTAATTTCTCGAATATACTGGAAAGATCTATAATTATCTGGATTTTTGTGGATGGCAACAGAAATTACGAGATATTTATTTATTAGGTATTAAAATGCACGCGCTGTTCTATTTTTAACCTTCCAACGCAGCTGTCTTTTCAAAAATCGTCTGCGTTGCTAAGGCAACATGAAGCAAATCTAATTACAATTCTAAATTAAAAAAAAAAAAACTAAATAAATAAATAACTATGAAATCCGTAACAAGAGAATTAAGTAATAATTAATAATAAAGCAAAGTGTATGCACATGCCATGCACCAATATATCGTACAAAACTATGATTGGAAAACTGAGACCATGAGTTCGGCCACATTCGGCTATCGGGGGATGCGTACAAGTTCTGAGTGCACGTGTCCCCCAAAAGCCGAAGGTAGCTGAACGCACGCATTTGTAATTTAAGTAGTGTGTGTGTGTCAGCTCGCTGTGAGTAATCTAACAACACTGAATAAATTATCGTTAATTACTTAGCAGTAAACATTTCATTTTTTTCTTCGTCGATATGTTATTTTATTATTATATATTATTATTTGCCGATATATTGGCCGGGCCGCAAAAATATTTGTTGTGGGCCGCGAGTTTGTCATCCTTGCCGTACAAGGAAGTCATATGATGTACATATCAGATTTTTTATTCTTGTAAATTGCTAAATGGGGCATTTTTTGCTTTAAAATGGTCTGAGTTAAGTTGTTCTTACGCTCCGGTCAAGGCTTTTATGCCTTCACCTGCATGAAACCGTTGCAGAGTTATCAACAATATAAAAGTGGTGCTGAGCCTAACGAGGATTCTATTTATTTATATTGTAATCTTTTAGTAGAATAGTGAATTAAGTCAGTTGGTGCACCAATTTCAGTGTCTTTTTGCCGAGTGGTACAAAAAGTAAACTTTAAATTTCGTGCACCGAAATATCTTCTTCCCGCCCGCTAGCCGAATTCCTTTTTTTTTTTTTTTTCATTAATTTTGATCTTTATTTAGAGTTTTACGTTTTTCTGTATTTGGAAATTTTTACTAAAGATGTTTTAAGTTTTCAGAGATTTATGCCTTGCCGTGAAATGAGAAATGAATTGATTGAATGAGAAATATATCTATAATAAAATTAGAGGAAATACGTTTAAATGAAGTACAGCAAAAAGAAGATATAAATTAATAGGGCGCACAAAGAAGTCACGTGGTGTCTACATCAGATTTTTTATTAAGTTCTGTTAGAACAGTTTCTGAAGACAATAAAAAAAGGATAGTATTTCTATCTATCGCGAAAAAAAAACAAAACTTTATTTGCGTCATTTGCTCGAAATAAATAAAATTGCCAAATAAATAGCATAAAAATACAATAAATCTTGTTACTAGTTCAAGTGTATAAAATGGAACTGAAGAAGGGAATAACACGTCGGATTTAGATGAGCTACCGAATACTTTAACTTGAAACTCAATGTTATTTTGAAACATTGCACTGAATAATCATCTCTTTCCGTATAGCTTCCATAAGAAACTTAACTGCATTTATGTTATTTATGTACAATATTTGCATTCTTATGTATTTTGAAATAGTTTAGTGACTTGCGGTATACCAATAAATGTATGCTTTATGTATAAATAATGTATGTATATAATATAATAAATGTGTGTAATATATTAAATGTTATAATGTAAAACATATATTAAATGTTATAATTAAATTATATAATGTAAAACAGTATAAACATAAAAGAGTAAAAACTTCAATGAAAGTTGAATTTAATATATTAAGTAATATGTACTTTAGGATAGGCTAATTCAGTATAGAAAAGCACATGAGGGCTATGTGTCTAGGGCAAAGGACGCTCTCGTAGAAAACTCGCCTATATACTAATATAATACATGGAGAAAACCACGAAAAACAAACATGCAGTCTATCATCGAGCCCAGGTCGAATTCCCAGTATTCAGCGGACCACTGGTGGGTTACATAAGGGTAACAAAATATATTTTACATGAATATAAATATATATGATGATGTGTAGATGTATGTAATAAAAATAGATAAAGAAAGAAAGAAATAGCTATGTTAAAGAGATTAGCAGTCATACCGATTATAATTTTTCTTTATTTTCTTATACGTATGCAACCCCACATGATTTGGCGCAAAATCCTCTCCTGTTACTGTAGAACTACACTAATATGCAAAGTTAAGGGAATTTTCAAATTATGTCTATTTTTACGAAAAGTATTGAACCAAAGGTACTAATCATACCGCTGAAGAATTCTACAAACATTCAGAGTAGAGTACCTAAGCGTACACGAGCGTGTCTGTGGAGTTGTGACTATGGAGGGGATATAAGTGTATAAGGAGTTTTTGGCGATTTGTCTGCTTGTACTTCTTCACGACATTCGCCGTGTTTCTTGCAAGAGTTAGGTAAATTTGATCAGGTAAAATGTGTAGCCACAAACGTATGGATGACAGGATAAAATGGAGAATTGTCGGTAGATTGAAGACAGATCATTCACAAGGGCAGGGAGCTACAGAGCTCAATGTAATGCCCAGTGGCATCTGGAATTTGTGAAATCAGTTTCAGGACACAGGATCCATATCGAGAAGACAAGGATTAGGTAGACTAAGATTCACAACAACGAATGAGGATATTTATTCGGCACTTTCAGCGCAGCCACGTGGTACTCCTACAGCTTCAAAGCTGTCACGTGAATTGTATGCTGCTACTGGAATCCAAGTTTCATGGTCTACAGTTACCCGAAGGCTTTATGAGGCAGGGATGTATTCCAGAAGACCCACTGTTTGCATCACTCTAGCTGCAGTACACAAGACAGCGCGTTTAACATAGTACAGATAGCATGCGCCTTTGACCAGACTCAAGCGGATCATCCTGCTTTTTCGAGATGAGTCTATATTTAGCCTAGACAATGATACTGAGAGCATCCGTATCTGGAGAGAGCCTGGAAGACGATACCATCCCTCCTTCATCAGGGAAAGGTTTGGTGGAGATGTATAACGGTTAAAGTAAGCATTACGTTGGACGGCCGCACACCCCCTACATGTGTTTGACAAAGGCTTCCTGATTGATATGACATACAGAGAGAAGCTCTTAGAACCTTATCTATATTCGATTTTTTAGGGGAACAGTTGTTAATGGACCACAACGCTCGTCCACATAGGGCTCAGGTGGTCGACAATTGCAAAGAAAGGATTGGTCAGTTACATTTTGTGACCGCCGCAAGGATTGGCCAGTCAGATTTCCTGACCTTAATCCCATACAGCATGTCTGGACGCTCTTGGGAGCTTAATTTCATCTCGTATCGCCCCCCCGCAACCATCTCGGAGTAGAAAACTGCCTCGCTAAAGGAGTCGGATCGACTGCCACAGAGACTCCTCAACTGCCTCCTGTCCTGTATACCCTCGCGCTGCACGACTTGCCTGGCTCTCGGAGGGAACTATACTCCATATTTGACTCATTTTCAGTTCGATATCACAAAGTGGATTTCAGATATCATTTCACATGAGCTTTACTGATAATCATGCCCACTGTAGAGTCATTAGGTTATTTTGATGCTGGAGACGTGAAAAATGAGCAATGCCTTCGCCGGGACTCGAACCAGGACCTCTTGAATATGCGTCGTGTGTGCTACCCTTACAACACGAAGGCATTCAGAAAGGAAGGAAAAAATACTTTAAGTGACTTTTAAATGACAGATCTCTTTCTCTGTTATACATGTATATTCATACCAAATTCTATAACAATCTGTTTATTAGTTTTTCAGAAATTCGATATAATGTAATTTTAAACGTAAGTGGGCTCTTAAATAGAATTGAAGCAGGCACAGCAGGCGTTAGCAGCTCCGTAGTCGAAGCGAGAAAGCGAATATGATGAAATCTCTGTTCGGGGTGATTTAGTTTTGGTTTAGCTTTATTTTGATAGTGAATTTATATCCTGAAGTCCTATCCTGAATTATTATCCTGAAAATATCATTGACTGATTCGTTACGTAAATGTTTGCATTATTAGCGTTTTGCAAGGATCATGTAACAGTGATTAATTTTGAAATAATGCTGTTTAGATAGATTTAGCGCACGCAGCTTCTAATTTTAGGAAAAAGGGAAATGCCAAAATTAAAATGGCTAAAAGATTAATTTGAAATTTAAAGATATAACACTTTGATTTATATACGAGTATATTTTTCTATCTTACACACTCACACACGTATATAGATATCGATGCTTACAAAGATACGGTAGGCTTAGGCGATCCTTCTATTTTGAGGTTAAACACAATATCATCAGTCTCATTAGCTTCAACATCAGTCAATTTTTTCTCAAACTTGGGTTTTTCTGAAAGCAAAAAATATTAATTTGAGCTGCATTTTTAAGACACTACAGCCATGTATAAAACAATACCAGAAGCATTGTCACTTATTTAAAAATGACATACAAACTCGAAATAACACCTCTAAAAGAGTTGCAGATAGTGCCCTTAAATTCCCCGATCAATTTATATCAATAAGAGAATTTTATGTGTATTATATTATTGCATAATTTTATAGAAGCATAGTTGTTGTGTATTATAACTTTCTTTTCAGATGCCAAGTAAAATAGGAATCTGATCACTTTCCCTCATTTCAAATCAGGAAATTCGAAACGCCGAGTTAGTTTAATGAAAAAGATGGTATGACAAATTGCGAGAATTTAAACCCTATTTACAAAGTAAATTATTCCATCTCCTAGAAACAAAACACACGAAAAAGAGGCTTCGGCGCAAAATGATATATTTTATAGCAAATATATAAATTTACAAAATTAATCTTTTTTAGGGGGGGAATAAATTTAAACATTTTATTCAAAATTTCCTAGGATATACATGAAATTACATATATTTAATAAGTGATAATAACGCTAAATGTGGTTTAGGCATTTTTTTCAAATTATTTGAAAAAATGAACAATGACTTTTTTTCCATTCGTTTACAACAACAAAAAAAAAAAAAATAAATAAATAAAAATAAAAAAAATAAAAAAAAAAATAAAAATAAAATAAATGAAAATAAGTTGCTATAAATAAATAAGAAGTTCGCCAAGTGAATTATCTTTGGCGCAAACTGAAAAAATACGCCAAGATAAGTTTTTTGATTTCTCCATAAATTTCGCACCAAATTTTAAGAAATTTAATATTTAGGCATAATTTCAATCGTAGAATCGAAATATGGGAAAAAATGGCATGTCATTTAAAAAAAGTCCGATTTTGTGTCAAAATACCTATATTAGAACAGTGCTATATCCAGCTTGCAAGACTGTTGCCACTCGGAAAAATGAGGGCGAAATTATCGTTTTTCCGTGTTTTAAATTAATATCTCTGATTTTAGATACTTTTTTGCAAAAAGTGGATGTCGACCTTTTCGAGGACTCAGAAAAGAATTGTAGGAAGTTTGGTGACGATAGCTATAGTAGTGGCTGAGTTATTAAAGGACAAACATGTAAACTTTCTTCTTCATATGCATAGGTGTTATCATAATCATTACGTAAAAGTTTGAAATTTTTATAAGAAAATTCGTATGTTACCTTTGATAATCAGTTTTCCTTTCGAGGTGTCCTTTCCATACTTGTTAGCAACTTCGCATTGATATTCACCCTTGTCAGTTATCGTTGTCTTCTTGATGACCAATGTGTAACTGCTCTCACTCTCCTCGCGCTGAATTATTCGAGATCCATCTATCTTCAGCTCAGATCCGTCCTTAGACCTGGAAAAATGTCAATGCAAAAAGTATCATTTGACTGCAAAACTATAGTCGTGATGGTACAATTAATGGGTTAGGTACCCTTGAAATATCCAAACATGCCATAAATACAATGCAATTTAAAGCTCAATATCTTTATAATTAAGCGGTTTATGACTGTGAAATTTTATATCCTTATTTCGATATCTTTAATTCTGTATTTGGTTTTTGCTTTATATTTCGGATATTAAAGAAAGAAAAATCTGAAAGTTTTCAGAATTTAACTGTCGCACAAAACGGTTTGTTAAGTTTTGGTGCTCTCGCTGATCTCGCCGTCTACCACTCTGCTGTTACAGTTCAAGAACAGAGACGCAAACTCGAGAAGGGTTTATTTACCCTTTATTGCTCAAAATAAGATTTAACAGTTTGTCCCTTTCTCAGGGCGTACAGCAAAGCCTCCATTTGGTCTTGAACTTTCTTCATTACTGAGTAATAAAGATGGTAAATAAAACACCATTAGTTGAAATAATGTTGTTAACAAAATAATAAGAAATAAGAACTTAACTAATTCTTAACTAAAGAGACATAGCCGAAGCTATCAAAATTCGAAGTAAAGCGAAGCTATCAAGGGCCTGTAATACGGCCGGGCGTAGTAAAAGCTTAGAGAGACTTAGCCAAAAGGCATACGAGCGCTAGTCAGAAACTCTGAGGCTCTCCCTCGAAGTCAATAGAATTTCGACTTTACTACTCTTATTCATTTGCATTAAACGCGATTCTAAAAACACATTCTGGTAGGAAATCGTAAGCTGAAATTAGGAAGGACAGGAAAGTAGCTTTAACTAAAATTAAGTGTTACAAACTTAGGATAAACGCGGATAGGCTGCTAGGGGTTCATATACCGGTGAAGATGTTTAATAACCACTCTGTATATCTTAATCTTCGCAGAGTAGCAGGGTAAACCTTTTAAATCTATGAGCTTTTTAATCAAAACTTTATTGAATTCGCTCAAAATAAATAAAGAAAATACTCAGAATTAATCAAAGTTCGGGCTCAAAGATACTCATGTTCGGATGGAAAACTGCGTATATTCAAAATGTGGCTCTAGGTGCTGCCGTTTTTCTATAATAGGAGGAACATACTTATATTCATACATGCATTCAGATTCTTCATTACTAAATAACAAAGATGGCAAATAAAGCATCATTAGTTGAAATAATGTTGTTAATTGGTAAACTGAGTGTATTTTCAGATTTCAGATATTTACCATTTGACTTTAGGCGCTGGGTTTCCAGACACTGTGATATTGAAAGCTGCATCTTCTCCGCAACTGGAACCTACATCACTTAGTCCTCTCACAATCTTGGCAGGAGCTGAAAACGTCAAACAAATAAAATTACTTCTTTGCTTTTAGGAGAAAAAAAAAAAAAAAAAAAAAAAAAAAAAAAAAAAAACATTGCATTTCGCTATTGAAATTGCAGGCGTGTTCTCTTTTACACACTTTTGATCAATAAGAATTGCTTTCTAAGATTAAGACAACATCCTTTTCTAAATTTTGCTGTTGCACTGTATAAAGTAATAGCAAATTAAATAGAACTTGATGAGTACAGTTACCTCGAGAAGAAGAGCTTTGTTACGAGACATGCTAGATTTTAAACTACGCTCTCCGAATGAAATCATTATCAGAGACATTTGGTTATTCGAAAAACAAACTCCGCTTGGATATGAAACGTGTTGAGACATTAAATGAATTTCAACATTCAGTCACACACGGTGCATTAACACTGTTAACATTATCAACAGTATTAGTCATGTAAATGGTCAGCATGTCCAGTTGCATGATGGAAGATCCATGGTTCAAATGTCCGGCGCTGATTTTGACTGTTTTTTTCTCTGAAATGTCTAATGTTTTTCACCTGTTTAAGTTGATTATTTTTATTATTATACTAATCCGTGTGGAAGCAGATCTCAGGATTCTAAAAATCAATCGACTAATCATATTCATCGGAGGAAGCCTGTTGAGACGGCCTTGGCCTGTGATATGCTGTAGTTCAACTGAAAAAGTGTGTGTGTGTGTGCTTATGGCAAAGCCTCAAGGGTTATCTGCCTAAGGGGAGGGATGCCTTCGTGGAGGACTTTCTAAGGGAAACTGTCTCGTATACACGTTACACATGGGGAAAACCATGAAAACGCCCATGCAGCCAGCCCGTTCGCGGGATTCGAACCTCGGACCGAACTACCAGTGTTCAGCGACTTTACCGCTCGGCCGCTGGTGGGCTCAACTGAAAAAGAAGACGAAGTTCTACTCATCCTATAATCGTTTTTTGATGGTTTCGCATCCGAAAAACTAATGATCTGAAAAACTTTTACTTTCTGCATAACTTATGGTCTCCATTATGTTGATCTGTTGATACTACACTTGAATTTTGATGTTTTCTAGTCCGAGTTGTCTAATGATGTGAATAACTTTAAAATAGTTTCTGTTGTTTTATTAATTCTATACTTGATTTTTGATATTTCTATTGAAATATGACACACGAAATGTTTCGCGACGACAATACTTCCTTTAAAAAATGCATTCAAAACCTGGCAAAAATGTTTTCATATAATGTGAACCACAGTATAAAAATCTTCATCTGTCATCATTTTTCTAATTACCCCAAAAGTAACATAACATCGTTCCAAGGATAACGTATAACTTATAAAGTATTTCTCCCGACTTTGTAGCATCCTTTCGTGGTGTAATGGAAAGCACACTCAGCGCGTATTAGTGAAGTCCGAGGTTCGAGTCCCGCCGAGGGAATTGCTCATTTTTCATGTCTCCTGCTTCGAAATAACCTAATGTCTCTGCAAACTTCTTCATAATTTTAGCATGCAAAATAAAAGTGTACCCATCAAAAGATGTAAAAGTGCATCGTTTGCTAAAACAACTCATAACCAAAAAATTAATACGAAATAATAGTAAAACTTACAGTTGACTTGTACAGTTCCATATCCGCCTTGACTTCCGTGTTCATTCTTAATTATACAAGAATAATTTCCAGAATCTTCAGTTTGTGCTTTCTTAATAATTAATTTCCTAATTTTTCCATCGGATGTTATTTTGATTCTTTCGGATGGTGTCAATTGCTGTCCATCTTTGCACCTAAAAATAACGTAAGATGTTCACTTTTAATAGTAAAAACTACGAATTTTTTCCCATCATTTTTTTTCTTTCGAGTATTGCTGTGAATACTTTTTCCGATGTCGTTTTCCTTTTACATAAAAAAGCTTTTATTAAGATTTTAAATTTTATTTGCAAATTAATTATGAAACGGCATGCGTTACTTTTATGTATGCAAGAATTATAGTTGAGTTTTAGATTGTTCACATAATTTACATTGTGTTATAGGTTGTTAACTGACCCAGAAAACAATAAAATCTCCCAGAAGATTTAAGGCTTTCGCAGGTTAATTTAAGCATAAACGACGAAAACAGGTGACATTTAATAACGTTTTTAATAATTAACTTATTCGGTTAAATAGTTTGTTAAGGTCATTACTTAAATTAAACACTGTTTATAATTGCAGCCCTTACTATAACTTCTCCTTTCCATTTCCTCACGAATGTAAATGATGTTAGCTAGTATCTAAACTGAGGTTTTAGGATTGTAAGACAGAGCGTGTTTCTGGTCAGCGCGTTCACGCTGTGTTTAGTTCTTATCAGCTCTAATAAGTGGTAATTATTCGACTTTTGCGTTTTATCGCTGCCTATGAATTTGATACGTCGGTATTTTGACTGAGACATCTTAGAGTAAGATTTCAATTGTGTAGTCTTTGACTACTATCCTACGTTGTAACTTGAATTTGACGGGTAAGGATCAGGGAGATGAATGATCCAAAGAAGCAGCTCTTAATCAAAATGGTATTGAAGTCACCTTTCCATGGCCTCGTTATACCTTGCTTCAAAATATTAGCAAGATTTCTGGAATAATGCTTCCAAGGAAAGAACTTCATTTCCAATGTAAATTTCGCCTCTCTGTACTCGAATCCTTTATTAACCCGCGAGCACGCGCACTGGGTCCAAAAGACCCGGCTCGTGTTTTTGGAAGGAAAAACTGTGACTCTTCAGGTAAAAGTGTTACATTTATGCCAAAATTTTAAGATTAAACTTAAAATTTTGCAAACTATAAAAATTAAAATTGTAATTTCAATTTCCATAATATTTATCTGAAAGTAAAATTTTTAAAAGAATATAAAAATGTATTATATTAATATAGAATTTAATAGGAATTCATTATATTATTATTCATGTTATTCAGGAATTATTATTCAGGTTTATCAGGAATATACTGCCTGAAAGAATATATTCCTCGGAAGGCTTCAAGTTTTTCATTAATTGTTATGAACGCACTGACAGAGCAATATTTCTGGCAGTTATTCAAAAAATCTTCAAAAAACTCTCTTATAGGTGCAAGTTTATCTGATTCTTTCTTGATGACGCGAGTTCCTATGTCATCAAAATGCTAAAAAAAGAAATATTTGTAGGACATAGTTTTGTGGAAAATTTCCAAACCGGTTCCGTCTGTTGCCCGCAGATCCCGTACATTTACATGAGATGACTTATGTCACAAAAATCTAAATAATTAAGTGCGAATTTCAGTTAAAGTTGTGTTATGAGCATTTCTCTCTCTCTTTGAAGGCTGTCAGAATTAGATGCAATATAAATATTTGTATAACTAACGACTTTCAGCAACATCTGTTCACACGATTCATTTGGAGTCTACACATATTTTGCCTTACCGATGTTTCCAGGCAATTTAGTAATAATATTATAAGCAGGAATTCTAACATCAGCTTTAGGCTTTTTTTACCATTGGGTTTTTTGTCCTTTTCAATAAAGCAATAAATGTAATTCTCATTTTCGTTTTCAGAATGCATCTCAATTTCTGAATCAGTATCATGAGAACTAAAAAATTCGTTATAACTTTCATTATCAGTTACTTCAATGGAGTCTTCAATAGTTGATACATCTAATAATTTTTGCAAACGTAACATTTCTTCCTTATAGGATAAATTACGAGACATGTTTGCAGCTTTCTGTGCTACCACAAATGAAGTACCTTAAAGCAATGCGAATAGGCACGCTGGGTCTGAAAGATCCGATCCGATTAAAGCAAAACTCCAAATAAAATTTCCGGCGAAAAACTTCGGAAAGATAAAGAGGATGGCCTTTGGAGGAGACTATACTGAACCACCACCACTTGAGAAAAATAGAGGCGTTTTCAGAAAGGTTTCTTTAATCGGACGGGTCTATTGGTCTCAGCGCGCATGGACCCGCGCGCTGGTCGCGGGTTAAATTACTGTATAATAGGACACGGACCCTTCCCCACATATTTCTACGCAAGAAATATGGCGAATTTTGACATCTGTACATGAGGGTGACAGGGAACACCTGATTTCATACCCCTTATTTGAGGATAATCACATAAGACGGAAAGACTTAGCCCGAAGGCAAACACGACATTCCCATGTCTCTCTCTTGGAAGTAAATCGAACCTTCCTTTAACACTACTTCTTACTCATTTGCATTCAAAATTATTTTAAATCTCATTTTGGTAGGGAGTTATAAGTTGAAACGAGGAAACTTAGAAAAGCACAATTAAATTAAAATAACTGTTATAAAATTCAAATATACCTTACAACCTCTTTAGTATTGCTATTACAACTCATTATAACATTACGCTCACTGTACTTATTACATCAATCTCATTATGTTTATCTGTTGCTTATTACGTTTATCTGTTCTTTTTGTTACATCAAAACCGATATTCAATTTAATTTGTGAATTTCAAATTGTATTGAAACTATATTGTAATTTCTTTCTATTCTAAATTATTATTTTTAATAAATACTGGACTAGGGGTGTTCGGTGGGATTGCACGATATACCGTAATAGGGAAAATATAAATTACTTGGAATGCTGCAGTTTCTCATTTCCCCAAAGTTTCTTTGTAAACCCTTATAAAGGCTGCATTTTTAAGAGTTAGTATGGAAAGGCATTACCAGCTGACCCACAGTACATCGCTGGCGTCTCCCATACTTTTGCCTGTACCTGTGGTTGATATTGTTAGCACAAGAACGCGCATTTATGTTCTACGTTCTGTTTAAATACAAAGGTTTATTTAAACCTTTCCCTGACTTTATAGTTAGTTTCAGAATCCAACCCCCAAAGCGGCTAAGGAAACGTTAACCAATACTTCTCTTGTCATGCATGGCATTCGTAAAAATGCTTCAATTTTGTTTTAAAAACGTTGCTGGCTCCCAAATAATAAATAAGAAAGGAATTACAATTTTAACAATGATAGAAATTTAAAGACACAAGTGGGTTTCAATATCATTGGTTATTAAATAGCAGGACAGAACAGGACTAAGTGTGGGAAGCACCAACACATCGCCATTGGCAGAATTGGTGTCGCTCCTTCACACTAACCGTCTTCAGAAGAACAGCTCCACAAAGCGTACTTACGCCCCGCATCGATGTTAATTGAAAAGTTATCATTAGGGCATAGAGAACTTGTGGTACAGAGTATGGCCGGGAGATACAGTTGCTGATGACAATGAAATTACAATACAATACCATACATTACAGTTGATGGTGAGTTATCAAATAGCAGAAGACCTAGACCTTGTTCGAGAAATGACTGTAATGACTTCTGCGTATGTCTTGAACTTGACGAAAAATGTGATAAGAGTGAGATGCTCACTGCCCAGATCAGAGCCATTACTTATGAAACTATCGAGAGTTATTATCCTATTAACCCATTTTTATACCGACCCATTGGATCCATGATTGAACGAGGTACTGGACCTGGTGCAGGAATTTATTGTAACCATTTTGCGTTTTATCAGGCAGTGAGAAGAGATACTACCAATTTTTATCGTGAAGTTCAGGCTATATTTATTGCTGTGAATCAATTAAGAGTAATTTCCCTCCAGTTGTTATATTGTCCGATAACAAAGGCTCTTTGCAAAGCAATATGATTGTTCGATAGCATAGTTATCTCCAACGATAAATTTTTCATTTCTAAACGAATTTATGAACGTAGGATGATTCTCAACACTCTAGCTGACTGAACTGGCTGGCAGTGGATTCCTGCTCATTGTGCCATCGAGGAGAATGAAAGAGCCGATTTCCTGCAAAGAAAGGAATGACTCCACTAAAATCTACACGACTTTTAATTCTGAAAAACCTCTAATTAAATCAGAATTTAAGATGAGGTTGCCTCCTACCTCTCAACTGAAGCTAAGGAACGGCCTGAGAGTGTCTCACTAGTTCAAAGCCAGTTATTCCAGATTTTCCTTGTCCTATAGCCGTGGCGTTATTTCGCCTTTTGACTGAGCACGATTGTCTGAATGCCCATCTTTTTAAAATTCAATTTTAAGACTCTTCAGACTGTACTCTTGTAATTCTGGACAGTCCATGGGTAAGGAGCCATACTGAAGAATGCACTACACTACTATTTTTTAATTCTATTGTTCTTAAGTATCGGGAAGCAAGATAAAGACTAACGGCTTAGTGGCCAAATGGCTGGCATTTGTATAAATAAATAGTTGCTTTCAGAATATAGGGATAGCACGTGTCACATCTTGTAAGGGTTTTTCGACTGATTAACATTTACCAGATCAAGGAAAACTCCATAATATCGTTAATTCAAATTCTATTGGCATCTTCCTTCGTTTGGTCAAATGAAAATAAAATACGAGAGTTAAGAGCTACACTTATTACATTTATTTGAAATATTTTTTATTACATTTTGAACAATATCTCCCCACAGAGGACTTCCGAATTATTTTATGCAACTCGATACTAAGTAATGCAAAAATAAGTATGTCTTAAGCTAATTTACTCGATGATTAACAGCACTAAAACCCTATACATATAAAGAATAAGGAAACTACATATACAGAGAGACAGATAGGTAGATAAACATTATTTAAATGAAAATATGTTTATTTAATAACAATTAAAAAAGCTAAAAATTTATTAGCATTTTTTTACAATGAATACTTAATTCTTGCAGACCATTTTGCCTAGCATTTTGTTAAAGAAACAAATGCATGTATAAATTTCACACTCTAAGCTTAAATCTAGAAAAAACTACAGGTATTCAATAATATTATTAGTAAGATTTATTAGTAAATATTTTCATTTTATTACTAAATATTCTATGATTTTCATTAGTGATATTTATTAGCAATTTTATTAGTAAATAAGCCACGAATGACAGCCCAAAATTTGTAAATTCCTCATTTAAAGGCGATCTTAAGTTCGGCGAATTGCGACGTAGGCACATAAATGAAGTAGATGATCACAGTTTAATAAAGCTCTTGAATCATTTGTGATTCTCAAGTAATACACTTCAAAATATTATGGCAAGTCTAACATTAGGTTGTCATGTCTTCACTTACCAGGAAACGGATGGTTCCGGTGATCCTTCAATTTCAACCACAAATTCAATATCCTCGTTGATCATGACATTAGCATCTTTCATCAATTTCGTGAACTTGGGTGGACCTACATTAAATGAAGTGGCAGTCCGTATTACAGGAAAATAAGACGTTCAGGTTTATTGTAAATATATACGTGTGCTTATTACTAAAATGACAGTTATAGAAAAATATTTTACAGCATTCAAAACATATTGATTTTCGAAACGACATACCGGAATTTTCAGAAAAAAAGTCAAACGGAAAATACTTTTTTCAGAGGGATTTTAGTTCATATAATGCATGGTGTTTCTTGGAGAAGATTTTTATTTATTTGGAAGTATTTATAATTATTATAAAAAGAAAAAATAGATGTGGAGACCCCATGATTTCCATGTAGCTTATTAAATCAAACACATTTTTTGATGAACTTCATTTCAAATTACTTCCTCGACTTAATCTAAATTAACCAGCACCTCGAGGCAAATCGAAAATGACATCAAAAACTGCAAATTTTGAAATCAAATATCCCAGTCAATTTTTGTCATACGGGATTCAAATTTCTTTTAATTTAATTTTTTATAGCAAGGGTAAAACTATCTCAAGTAAAAGTATAGGAATAGTGAGACCGCATTTAAAGTTAGATTTAGGTAGTTGTCAAAAATTAATTCTTTTTTAAATTTGGCATTTCCAAAATGTTAATATTTTCGTCATTCAAAACACATCTGTAATTGGAAGTATGCGACCAACGGTGAACTATCGAAATGGATATTTCCGTGGAAATACGATACTCGAAAGTTTTCGCGATTAACAGCGTTTCCTTCATACAAAGAAATAAATATAGCATTATTGTTTTCTGGAATTGTCATGTTTACTTTTTAGTCCAAGGGGCCTTTGTCTCTGAGAGACTATTGTTTTCGCTTCGCGATTTTGCATCGAATCATTCTGAATGTCCGTTATACTTTTTAAACTGTTGCCACGAAATATTATCGCCCTGTATTATATTTGAAGAAATTAAATAATGAGGAATCTGCATAAAAGTATGTATGTTTCTAGCTTTGTGATAAAATGTTGTTTTATCACCAAGAGCCATCCAATCTTGAATGACGTAATCCTCTTGCAAATATGGTCCTCTGGAAGCCCAAATCTGAAATTTGGTACTTGTTTTATTATTGATTTCATATTCTGTAAAACTTTAAGGAATTTCTTATTAACAAACTCAAGGATTTCAAAGCGCAACGTTGTGTAAAAAAAAAAAAAATATTATCTTTAGCGCTTGAGACTGTGTATCGTAAATTCTAAAGATAGGCTCAATTTTAAAATTATTTTGCGATCTTGCTTTTGAACTGAATTTTATGGTTTACGTGCGAAGAACATGATATTTAATAAATAATGGTAACATACAAAATGTTAAAAAAAAACGCCTCTTTGGACGTAATTACCTTTCAGATATTTTTTTTATTTTATTTTAGTTTTGGTATAGTTTAACTTCCATTAAATGACAAATCAGCAAATTTTTTCACGTTTTATAAAATAGCTTTAACATTTAATTCAGATAAATTTCATCTTCTATGAGAAAACAGTGACACTATTACAATATTAATAAAACAGAAATCTCAATAATCTTTGTTAATCAATGGTATTTTTTAGCATGGAGGTCAGTCTTTGAAATTCAAACTGATATTCTGAACTTAGGTGCATAAAACTGATTTCAGATTTCAAATTATCACCCCTTCATTTTATTTTCATTTGCAGCACGAGTCATCATGCTAACATTACTGTACAAAATGTGCTTACTTGTAACTACTAGATCGTAAGCTACTTCGTCTTTTCCTAAGTCATTTATGGCTTCAGCAACATACTTTCCGCTGTCCTCTGGCGCGACATTTGAAATAGCCATTGTATATGTCTCATCATCTTCTTGAAGTACTTTGTACTTGTCTCCTATTTTCAGTTCTTCTCCATCCTTTGTCCTGCAATAGAACGAAAGAATTGAATATATTGTTGAAAATTTAAGCACATTGTGAACAGAATTTTAACACTTATATTGCTTTCTTCGTTTATGTTAGGAAAAAGTATCAGTTCAAAATGTACGCCAAAAAGCTTCAGCGTTTGAAGAATGAATAGAAAGAAAAGATCTGCGATATCATGTGCATTAAAAATGAGTTTTTTTTTCTCTGCTTTGAGCTATTTTCCAATCGACGTTGAGAAAGTTCCAGCCTATTGACAGATCAAATTCAGCGGGACTCAAATTCAACGAAGCAAACATTCAATCAGGTTAAGTGTCACCACATTTTACAGATATTCGCCTGCACAATTTCTAGGAAGCCGCACCATTTTCATTTTATGTGATTTCTATGATTAGTAGTATGTATAAATGTGAAAAACGTTTCTCTCTTATGAAAAAGAACAATTTCCCAGCAAGATCCAGGCTAGCAGACATTCGTCTGACCTCTGTTCTGAAAAGCTCTAAAGCCAGCATCATGTCTTCAGGCAGCCGAAAACTGGTTGCAAGGAAAAGATTCCAGTTGTGAGGAAAGGAACAATAGGCCACTAACAGCGAACTTCCTTATCCTCCAACTAGTTCAAGAATTAAAGTATCAGGTAATATGTTATGAATTTTACACTTCTCCTTGTTGTAAATACATTTGAATACATCATTAAGCATGAAAAATGGCCTTTTTCTTTTGGCCCGCACTATTGTACGTTGACCCATTTAAGATAGTATTTGGCCCATTCGAGATACTGTTTGGCCTCACGTCTCACTTGAAGGACTATTTGGTCTCACTATTTTGGCCCACTTGAGGTACTATTTGGCACTTCAGGTACTATTGACCCATGTGCAACAAAACCTCAAGTGGCAAATACAATCATTGCTTAAGCCACTTTACAACCAACCTCAAGTACCACCTTTCGAACATTACTCAAGGTACTTTGGCCTCATTCGAGGTACTATTTGGCCCACTTGAGATAATAAGTTTGACTTGCCTGTTCTGGAGATATGTAAAAGGCGTTGAGTACGCACTCCCCTTAACTGAAGATCTTTTCACATACATTATCGTACTCAGATCAGTAGAAAGAAATAACAATATTCCTACTCCTTCTGTAAGGTGCATAACTTTGCCTAAAATCTTTTTTACCTTTTTTCTAGTAATAGGCACATTTCTCCCTTCAAACTGAGTTATAAGGTCAGAATTCTTTATTGCAATCTTAAGCACGATTTAAGCATATTTTTCGATAAAATTGTGTCTTATATTTAATTCAGATTATAAGGTATTTCTCCCTTTTTTTGCATGTCTTCGTGGTATAACGGTAGCACACTCGGTGCGTATTCGAGAAATACAGGTTCGAGTCCCGGCGAGGGCATATCTCATTTTTCATGTCTTATGCTTCAAAATAATCTCATGACGCTACAAGATATGTTATACAAAATCATTTTAAACGGCTTACCAAGTAATGACAGGCTTGGGAAATCCTGTTGCTGTAAGTTCCAAAAGAGCAGAATTTCCCTCTTTAACATCAATTTTTTGTGTCGGTGCAGATACTTTTGGTGCCTCGGGTTCTCGGGGCACACCACCTGAAATGACACAATAAATTCAATATGAATGAACATAAGAATTAATTCCGCTAAATGCATGCTGGAAGGAAAATGAACTCTCGCTTGTTTTCTGCTGGATGCAGAAAATTTGAAGAGTATCATACTATTATTAGAAATCCAAACAACAGTAATCAGTGCTAATTTTTAAAATCCTCAAATTCTAAAAACTAACGCTGATTACTGTTGTTTGAACTTCTAATAATTGCTACTCTGCATGTTACTTTTACTTTTATTAGTATTACACTATTCAAATAGTTTTTTTCTGCTCTTCAAAATTTAAAAAAATATTAATAAAAATTTCTAATGGCTCCGCTAATTTAATATAATGCTTTTAATTGCAGTTTTTATTTAAAAAAATAGAAAACAACGTAAGTCCATTAATTCTTCGTCTTGCGACGGACAACACAGAGATAAGTAAATCGTGTATGCTGTCCCTTCAATTCATTGCTCCTAGCCTTTAAAATGTGTCACTTGACATGTTTTTGACATCGCAATGACATAACTCCATGACAAGTGTCAGGATATTTTTAACAATTTGCACCGTGTCCGTCTTCAAAGCCTCTCAATTTCAGGAGGGGGGACGAATCAATGATCTGATTTTTCCTCTGATATCTCGAATAATATATAACGAATCAGAGGATGTAAAATGCTATTGTAAAATTAAGGATCCGTGGCTAATTCAGTTTGAAGATTTTCGCCATCGGAGTAACATCAGGAGAACGCTCCTGAACTCTCGACGATAGAGACCTAAAATGCTCTTAAGCTCTCGACTAGAGAGACCTTCGTTAGCAGACTCCTCACACTATGAGGACTATAATTCATTTAAATACTTGTCTGTGCTATCTGTACATACATATGTGTAAAGGGTTTCTCGTAATTGTAATAAATATGTTTGAGTTTAAAATGCAGTAGGAGTACGTAACCTCGCAACCTTACCCAATCATTATAAGGAGTCACATACGCTACCTGCAGCCACTCAACACAGAGTAACCTGACAGTCACTTCCACAGTAGTGACCAAAACATGCCAGTCTTTTCGAACTGATTCGTTGCTAAGAGCAGTTCGTAAAGTGCAGTCCTAAACATCAGCTATGATTGTTAATTCTGAATTCTGTCTCTCAAATATAACGCTGCTATGGCAATGATAAGTTCCAAGCTGACTGTAGGGCGTTAAATGAAAATTTTGAAAAATTATCAATATTTTTTTAACTAAACAAACTATTTTTTTTTAAATATTAAATCACAATTCTGAAGTTTCGCAAAGTGGATGTTCATAATGACGCGTATTAAATTATGTTTCATTTCCGTAAAAATTACCCCATCATTTCTTTGTTAAACTCGTACATAATAAATATATTAAGAATAATTTTAATAAATGATTATTAATATATTTATTACGATATTATATTTAAATATTATTATTTTATTATAATATATATATTTAATTTTTATTTAATATTTATAAAAATATCTGAGTGCGAATATTCAGATTTCTTTCAAACTTTAAAAGTTACAGGAGAAGTTGAGAAGCTTCTTCAATAATTCTGAGATATCAAAATTTATTATTCCTAAATAAGCTTCACATATTGTTTCGTCTATCTGTAAATATTTAAAATTCTTTTTGGTAGTAATTTTGATTTTCCTAATTTTTTTTTATGCTGTATATTGCTTTATGCAATTATTTGTCGCTTTTAAAATAATAATTTTAGGGTTTATTGTGTGTTTAATCAAATGCCTGGTCACATGTTTTATATTTAAGGCATATTTCATATTTAGAATTTTAAATCTTTCAATTCGAATGCAACAGCATTTGAATTGTAAAAATAGCTCGTGCAGAACGCGATATGTTGAAATCCCTTTCCGGTGGTGCTTGGTGGCAAATATTGTCGACTATTCGGTTACATTGGCAATTTTCCACCAATTTGTCGACTTTTTCCAAGATTCAGAAAAACACGTTTCCGAAACCCTGTAGAGACATTAGGTATTTTTGGAAGTAGGCATGTTGAAAAATGAGCAACCGCCTTCGCCGGGAATCGAACCACGGACCTCTGGAATACCGGCCCAGCGTGCTACCGTTACACCACAAAGGCACGCTAGAGAAGTGGGAGAAATACCTAATAACCCTAAGACCTATTTTTCCAGAAGCTTCCAAAGCCTATGTTACAATATATAAATAGGGGTCCGAGAACCAGGAAATCAGTTCCGAATCAACTGTGAGACTTAGCGGTTAGTTGAATTCCACTTTAGAGTTTGCTTACCGAATTGACCGTATTTGTCTTGCGTTAAGGGGTAACTGCTTAATATCCGCATTCTTCTTGAGCTGTTTTCAGCTATTTATTTTGTTGCATCATTTTCTAATTAAAAATCAAATTTATAATTTCGTACTCATCATAAATTTTTTATTGGAAGAACTGGTTTCTGACCATTTATATAAACTATAAAAGGAAGAACAATTATATTTCTTACAAAATGAAGGGAAATTTCGAATTCCTTTTTCGGAGTTATAGAAGGTGATTCCAATTCATTGAATATAGAAACTTTGCAAAGCAAAGGCACTTTGCCATTTTAGGAAAGAGAACCAATGCGGTGATCGTGAGAAAAAGACCGTTAGTCCTTGACGGTTGCGGAGGAAGACAGAGAGAGGAGTGTGGACGAACAACAATGGTTATGTCCTCGGTGAACTAACGTTCATTTGTAGCGGTTTCCTGGGCATAGCCTTATCCTAGTATAGTAATTGTATCTTTTCTCGAACGTTGAAAATAGCGTTGGACATGTTCGTAGAAAATAGTAATTCAGTGAGCAATTGAGGAGTGAAGAGATAGTAGTTTTGACATATTCAGAAGTAATGGCAGAGTTCATAGCAATTATTGAGTTCATGGCAATTATTAAGTTGACGAGAAGTCCTGAAAAAGTTGAACAAGCGGTGAAGACCCGGAACTTGTTCATCAGTCTGGGAGTAACCAGGAGCTTGCAAGTCTGCTATTAGCTGCGGAGGAGGAGTCTTATTAGGTAAGGTGAGATCTACTGTGTGCTAATCTCTTTTTAGTTTCATACTAATTTAGACGGATGGCCGAATGAATGAGGGTGTGCAGGCAGATGAAAAAGATAAATTAAGCCTGCTATATGTTTAATGAACAGGAAGGATTAAAAGTTTATAAGTTTTTCAAATTATCAGTGATCATGTGAGAACGAGAAGGACACGAAATTGTTGGGGGGTAATAACTCCAAATACCCCCATTTCTGCGAGAGGACCGGAGTGAATATAGTAACGGCAGTGGACTCAGAGAACCGAGATGGATGGCTGAACGCTTTCGAAACCCCTGCTTAGCTGAGTGGAGTTAACAATAGGAAAGGATTAGCAGAAGACAGCAGCAGTATACAAAAAGGGGTATTCCAAAAAGCTCCGCTTCGACAATCGATGTTCATCGAGAGTTAATCAGAGGCTGAAGTGAAAGTTTCTTCACCCCGGCAAGTATTCTGAAGAATCAACCAAATCCTTCCTGAACAAAGACCGAAACTTACAACGGAACGGAAAACTGGAGAGATCTTCTCTGACATCCTTAGAATGGGAATAGGATTAGTGTACCTGTAATCTGTGTCGAAAATCCATGTTCTAATCTTGCTTTTCGCTAAGGACATTTTGGACTATCCATTCGTTGGACTTTCTGAGGTCATGAGCTTAACATTACTTGCAGGTATGAGACTTTATTTTACCCCTTATTTAAATAAACCTTTTTTTTAAATAAACGAATGTTAAACCAATTTGAATTGGAAGTTCCACTGACGCGTTGTTCGGAGAGTTTTAGCTAAAACTGACTTATACTTATACTGATGCTTTTGTACTAACTACTAAAATACGGAATAGTTATTAATCCTTATTTTTAATTTAAATTTAAAGAATTATAATTTAATTTCTTTTTTATTTTAAAATGGCAGTTAAATTTTCTGCATAACAAATTGGTACTGTGACTAAACAAATTGGTGCCGTGGTCTTCTATAGAACAGTTTTATCTATTTATTGGACTGCAGGTAATTTTTATGACAAATTACACATTTCATTATAAATTACCCATTTTATGAACTATTTCTGTTTCGATTTGATATTCTTCATAGAACCTATATCGCAAATAGAAATAAAATTAATTATTAAAAGTGCATAACATTCTGTTAAATGCAGTTCATTACGAATTGCTGTAAGAAAACAACTGAAAGAGAAGCAACGTTTGAAAATACATATTACAGTGTTAGTAAAAACAGAATAACATGTTTCAGACAAATTGCAACAAATTTAAAAATATTTTACTATAGCTGCAAATATATCTAGAACAATATAGTAGCATTATTAGCCAAAGCCATGCTAAAGAGATCTGTTAATTTCAACAACGAGCATTCATTTGAAATAACATCATAGAAACAAATTATAACAATTAATTTTGCAAAACATAGATAATATTCAAATTAATTCTATATATTTCATAAAACCATATTGTTTACAGATGATTCAGTTAAAAGAAAGTAAATAACTTCAAGAATGTTTAAATGTAGATGGAAGAAGAAAATTAGCAACTGCAGTTCTATTGTTAATAACATGATACCTGATGCTAGGACAGTGCATTTCATTGACTCAGCTCTGAGTTTCTAGACGTTATAACTGTTGCTAGCATATTGTTGCGTTCTACGGGTTCGTGGATTTCGGGTGATTCATAACAACACTCGATGAAGAATCAAAATACAATTTATTCGCCAGTATTACTCAGGACAGTTCCAAAAACACATTAAACACGTTTACAGTCGTCCAAAAGGCTACGTTAAACACGCTGACACAATCAGCAACACAGCCTTCAGGCTATCAGGCAGTAACACTGAAGACAGCTTCACGGCAAAGCACTAAAGTACAGCTCCCGACTCGGTTTGGTCGCTCTCGAGCTAATGTCTGAACTCAAAACACTACTACTGAAGTCAACATACTCAAGGTACTCCTCACGATACACTGCTATTGCGCGTACAGGAAAGGTATTTATAGCTTTTCACCTGCCTTCGAGATCATTCTTGGGAAAACCGGTAAGAATTCGTTCTAGAAAGATCTCGCTCCATCTGTGGCATATCACCTATTTTGTCACCAAATGAGCGATTTTGCGCCAAATTTGGCAGCCGTACTTTCCTTGCAATTTTTAGGAAACCCTAAACCCGCTTTCGAGGAAGCTATCTTACCGCAGCTGGGCATTTCGCAACAATATTAATAATAATTTTCAGAGAAATTAAAATATACTTAATAGATTTCGCATTTATTACATTTTCGTAATTCTTTCCCTTTTCTGACATTTTTCATATTTGAGAATTTGCAATTATTTTGCTACCTATAACTGCCGGTTTGGGCAACGTAACTTTAAACTCTTCCCATTCTACGTAGTCCAAGCTATGGGATAAAATTAACAGAAGCAGAACATAAAATATAAAAAAAATTCTATATGCAACTGAAGTAAAACTACAGATATTTTGCAATGTATTTTATTTGAATAATTTTCAAAATAATGTTGAAAATACATTTGTTTTCAAAAATATACCCAAAATATTTTATTTATTAAATAGATCATATTCATGTTTTAATAACTTTGTTTTAGTACATCGTTCTTTAGAAATCTATTTATCATTTCCAGAGTATAAAGACATATAAAATGTTCTGAAGTTTCATCATGATTGTACTAAACGCATGGGCAATCTCATAAACATTAATAAATATACTCGTATTTAAAACAATCGGTGTCAGTAAAAGGATCTGGAAGTGTAATAGCTGAAATACTGTTGCGGCATAAATATCATTTCCGTAAATAATACTTTAAAATGATTTGTGAAACAAAAGTCACTACGGCATCTAGAGGCGAAAGAAACGCATTAATTTCCTTTCGATCTGATTCTTTAAACAGATCACGTGGTAAAAGGCCACTTCTAGATCCACTAATTTTTTAAATCTCTACATAGAATAAAAGGAAAAGTCTGTCAGTGTGTGTTTGTGTCTTTCGTTCGTGTTGCGCGTAAGCTAACAGACTCAGGGCTACGAAACTTGGTACATAGGGTGCATGCAGACAAGAGCCAGTGCCCCTCGAAGCGATTTTTTCAAAATTCTAATGTTTTTTTTTTTTTTTTTTTTTTTTTTTTTTTTTTTTAAATTTTTATGTTTTTTGAGGAAATCGCATCAAATCAATGGCACGCAGCAACAATGGCACGTAGCCATGGCTGCTGATAATCACTGTTGTTAGTGTTGCTGATACCAACATTGTTGCCACTGGGGAAAATGAGGGCCGATGATTCCGTGCAGTTTTTTAATTTAATGTTTCTCTTGGACACTGGACGTTTGTCGAGAGGTGCTTGGATACGACGTGTGTTTTCCGGTACATTTAAAAGCCAGACGAAGGCTGGCGGCATAGCGGCTATTTATTAATAAAATAATAATTATTCTAGTTAAAAAGAAGTTCATATTGGACTAAACATTGGGGGCTTTTCTATCACGAAACTTAACGCCAGAGGAGGAAACACTTCCAATGAAATAGCTAGATTATAATTTCAAAACTTAATTGTTTCCTTTGCTTTTATTTTAATCATAAATTTTATTTTTGTAAACTAACAGCCTTGGTTAGAATCCCTACTTTTCTTCTTTATACAAAAAGTAAAACTATTTGCAGACAACCATAAAAACTGAGGTGCTACTTTTATGAAATGAATGAAACATGTATCTTTTTCTACAAATGATTTCCATTCGGTTCTTCTAGCAGATGTCCGAAAATTTGCTTGCTCACGACTGCATACGATTCATTTATGAATATTCAATGGCATCGGATAGTTTCGTGACAAGACTGCTATCCTGTCTTAACCTTTACTTAAATTACGAAACGAGTTTTTGTGACTTTCAGAAAATTCTGATGAAGGAGAATCGATTTATAAGGATTTCGTAACATTTATCTGAGCTTAGAGTGAAAAAAGCTGCAATTTTTCCAACTAGAATAATACTGTCCTTTTTAATTAATTTTCAAGATTTTCGTGAGATGTTACTAAAAAGGATCCATTATTTGTATTCCTAGTTAGCAGCAGGAATATTATATATAAATACAAATTCCATCAACTGATAAATTTACACATTAACTTCAGCGATAAAACTGAATTTCTAAACATTTTGGATAATTCTAAAGCAACAAGAGTCATTTTAAGTTCCATATATTTTCAGGATTAGATCTGAAAGCTTGAAGAGAGCTTTGAACCTCTCGAATACGCGCCGAGTGTCCTACCGTTACACCACAAAAACTTAACGGAAAGGAGGGAAACAAATACCTTATAAACTTCTTCTTTTAAAGAACGACTGGGGATTAAGACATCCAGTCGCCAAATCTTGTTGGTAACGAACGTACCTTTTAGTTCGGGCGCCACTGTAGAGTAATTAGGTTTTCTGAAGCTGGAGAAGTGAAAAATAAGCAATGCTGTCGCCGAGACTCGAAATGGACCTCTCAAATGCACGTCGAGTATGCTTCTAATAACAACACGAAGGCGTGCAGGAGGGAGGGAGAAAATTCCTTATAACTTCTTTAGTTTCAGTATACACTATAAATTTCACTCAAAGTATATAGGCTTTATTTGTATTAACCGTATTTTTTAGGTATCTCTTCTTCGCCTTACGAATAATTAGGAATGCAGTTTTATTAATGTGACAAGATTTTGAATTTTTCTTCTGTAATATATATAAATGCAAGTAACTTAGTGGGCCTACAAGTGTGGTATCAAAGAAACTTTATATAAATAATCATGCATTATATTATGGGGCAAGAATGAACTATAATTATTAATAAATTATTGGTGTAAGCCTTTATACTATTGACGGAAATGAATTCTTCAGAGTTTTAGAAACACGGCATACAACTTATTATTTCAGTTCAAGTATTTATTCAGTTCAAGTAAAATAAGCTGATGAAAAGGTATTGAATGTGATGTAATAAGTAACTCTAAAGGAAGACGTGATTGTACAGTAGATAATAACACTTTTATTCCCTCAACCGTTAAGGGAGTAGTAATGATAGTATATTTATTTTAAAATTGATACAGTAAGAATAGAAGGTATTTTTCCCCCTTCTTCCAGCATGTCTTCGTTGTGTAACGGTTAGCACACTCAGCGCGTATTCGAGAAGTCCAGGTTCGAGTTTCGGCGAAGGTATTGCTCATTTTTCATGTGTTCTGCTTTAAAAAATTCCTATTACCTCTACAGTGGCGCAAACGAAGACTCTACAGTGGCGGTGGATGATGTTTTTTCACCACCAGGACTTGGCGATTGGGTCCCCTAATTCCCAGTCGCCATTTAAAAGGGAAATATATGAGGTATTTTCTCCCGCCTTCCAGCATGCCTATGGCGAAGGCGACGCATGTGCTCACGTGATAACAAAAGACCCCAAAATTCGAAATTTAATTCCCTCGAGGAAAGAAGCAAAGCTACTGTCACCATCTGTTGATGAAAGGGTAAACAATTCTGAAATAATTTTCTTAAAAGCTGAAGGTAAAGACGGATAGGAATTTAGATTGCGAACTAGAACTGAAATATTTATTGTTACTGCAAAGAGAAATAGCTTCAGTTGCAGAGAGTTTCACTCCTTGCAGCCGAAGAAAAAAATTTTGTTTAAATCTTCGAACCAGTCTTGCAACTTTACGCAACTTATGCTGGTTCTTGATTTATTATCTCAAACATTTGTTCTTCAGAATGTTATTTTAGAATAAAGATTGGTTCATTGCGATTACGTGTATGTGCAGAAAGACATTTCATCTATATTTAAGCAGTAAGGTCTTTCTCACAATTTGTGGTGGATTAGGAAGAGTTACAACAATTCATTTAGTTTTACTAACCATTTATTTTATATTAAATTCCTTTGCTCTCTTTCTCGTCTTTCATTTTCCTACCAGAATGCAAATTTCTAGTTCGCGTGTATTCGAATGAGGCAGAAAGGGCATAGTATTTAAAGGAAGGTTTTAGAGGGTAGAATCAGAGCCTGTTCCGCCTGCTGAAAGCCACGTTTGTCAACTGATTCTTTTGAGAGCCGTATTTCGCGGCCGTTGCGTTATTTTCGCCATCACGCCGACTTTAAGTCAGTACCAACTGGCGTCTTTTGTGTTTGTGTATTAACTTAGTTTTAATTATAAATTCCTTACTTTTGATTTAAGCCATAAATACTGGCTGATCTGTTACTTCTATGTCACAGAGCTATCCGCAAGTCCACTTCTATGTATGAACAGAGCAGTTCCTTCTGTTAAACTTTTATTTGCATTTTTGTTATTTAAAAATTTCTTTTACATCCTCTCTGTCTCTGTGGTACTGTACAAGACATATTGGTAATTCCTTTTTAGGCTTAAAACCTTTAGTCATATGGTACAAAATTCCAGGCATCGTTCTGTAAATTTCGCCAGTAAATGTATGTCAAGCATTATAGCTTAATACTTCTGTTGTAGATAGGATGCCCATTTCCTGTTTTTGCCTGTATCTGATTCTATTCTCAATGCACAGTCTATATGTGGAACATAAGACATGTATATCATTATTTATGTTTGCGAAATATGCACCTGAGTAACCATCAGCAACTCCATTTCCTTACCTTGAACCGTCAGTTCAGCACTGCACGAGATCTTACCACTGCTAGTGCTGGCAACGCAAGTATACATGCCAGCGTCATCTGGCGTGACATGCTGGAATACGAGCTCTACAGTGTCTTGCGATTCATCTATCGACACTTGGAATCTTTCACTCGCTTCCACTTCCTTGCATGTACCGTCCTTGTTCCTGCAAAACAAAAGTTTTTCATCGAATTGGTGTTATATTTCATTTTTTACAAATCTTAAATGAAATATTGAATAAAAGTATCTGATTCTGTTCTACGTACGACAGCACTTTCTTGCAAAGTCTAAGTATAGCTCTAATTAACTTAAATTACTTATTGACTAGATTCTTAACCAACATAGGGTCCACCAATGGTCGAGCGGTAAAGACGCTGAACACTGGTAGTTCGTTTCGAACCCCGAACCGAACTACCAGTGTTCAGCGTCTTTCAGGGAACCGAAGGACCAGCGTTCAGAGACAAACGGGTTCGCTAGATGGACGTTTTCGTGGTTTTTCCCATCAAGCAGCAGAAATCAAGCAGAATTCTCATCAAACCTCTCAGAAGCTTGCATACAGGTTTTGAAGTATCTGATGAAACCATTCGATATCACTTCTTCATAACCTAGGGATGACATAGAAACTAAGCAAGTAAGTTGTTCATTTCCTATCCGAGGAGAATAAGCTCCAGCGGTTGAACATCTGCTTGTCTTTGCTGTCACGCCATAATAAAGCCTCGTTCCGGAACGAAATCGTGACACGGGATGAAAAGTGGATCATGTGTGATAACCGGATGTATAAACATCATTGTTCGACTTCTGGTTCGGTCTCATTGGCCGCTAAGCCAGAAATTCATTAAAAGAAGGTAATGCAGTGTTTGGTGGACCTGCTCTGGCATATTCCACTACATTTAGAAGTATAATGGCATATCCCACTCTATTTAGAATATTTAGAAAGCAGAAAAAACATAACAGCCGAAGTCAACTGGCCAAAACTGCAAAGAGTTTCAGCTGCACTGCACCAGAATCAACCAGCAAAGGTCAACCAACAGAAGAGAAGTTCTCCTCTTCCATGATAATGCCACACATACGGCAAAAGCGACAAAACAGGTGATGAAACCACTAGGCTGAGAAGTTCTGCTTCAGCTAACCTATTTTCCGGACATCGCCCCATCTGACTACTACCCATTTTAGGGGCATGGATTTCGGGTACCCTGCGGGAACAGCAGTTCCGAAAACGCGACGATGTCACAAGAGCTGTATCACAATTTATCACAATTCTTGGACTCCAGAAAAGCGATATTTTCAGGAAGATCATTTTTAAAAACTTGTGTATCGTTGGGAACGTGTAATTGAAGCCAAAACTGATTATTTCGAAAAATGAAATGGGTGTTTAGGATTTTCGTGGGCCGTTTTTTATGAGTGACGAAAACCGCAAGAAATTTCTTGGTATCCTGGTAAATAACTTATAATAATTCGAGGTTCAATACCATTCGATGATATTCTTTTGAGACTTACTTTGTGATTACTTTTGTGGCATTCTTTAATTTATAATTTTATTAAAACTGACACACCAAAAGAAATTTCACACAAGTAATTTTTAAGTTTTCAAGCGCTATAAATAGTTGTTAATATTCTAATAAAGTTTTATGACTTATGAGATCTCTTTTATGTGAATAACCATTTATTTTATACTTTGAATCTTTACTATCACTTCTCTCTTCCCGTTTTCAGCCAGAATGCAAATGAGTTTGCATGCATTAAAGTGATGTTTAAAACTGCCGAGACGGAACGTGTTCTGTCTCTTGAAAGCCACTTTATTAGGTTTGCTATTCAAAGATAAGAGTTCCTTCTTGTCTTCGGCCTTGCATTATTCTTACCGATAGTTAAATTCATGCGAGTGAAGTCTGAGCCAATTTCGCCTTAATTTGCTCTGTGGAGCTTTTGGCTATTTGTTATTTAAACTGAGCTTTACATGTGAGTTTCTACTTTCATTTTTCGTAAATAAATGCTGGCAGAGTCGTAAGCACCAGGTGTCCCTTTTGGACATCTTATTAAGTTTTAAATAAAGGGTCTTTTACACCCTTCCCAAGTCTCAGTTGTACTTCAGACATAGCAAAAGTCGCCTATGGTCTACCAAAAGATTAGTAACAGATTCCAATAGCGAAAGACTTAAAACTTATTGTTGTTGTAACTAATCTCGCTTGTCTGATATCAGAGCAAGCCTACGAAATTCACCGTTGCAAGAAAAGTGGCAGGAACCTTAAGGCAGAATACGCATCAGACGACTATGCTAAGATGCACTCCCAATTTTGAAGGAGAGCACCTCAGAAGGCCGGGGCCGAGGATATTCTACCCCTCTTTCCTTACCATCAACCTCTCGAGAGAAGTTTCGACTCACCGCATATTTAGAGTGCCCTCATGCAGCACAGATACTACATATTTACATACATGAATTCTTTCTCCGGCATTCGAAGGCAGGCCCGGTACGACAGTCAGCGTCGCTAACCACTATCTCGTTTGGGCGGCAATTTAAACTCGAATCATGTAAATAGGTATTATTCATTTCTCATTTATGCATATGATTTTACGAGTTAGCTGTGTGATAATAATGTCAGTTTATAAGTGTTTATAATATTCTGAATATAAAATCTCGATTTTTAAAAAATTTATTCATCAAATTTTTTTTCCGAAAATCTGAATAAAAACTTTCATCACTTAATTTATTAATATCAGAACATTTTTATACTTATATTTTAGCTATAAATGTATAGAAACATTCGCTCCTCAGTATGTGTACCGCCCGTGAATATGCTGTCCAACGTTTAGCTGGGTTACTGGGTTAGTTTTTGTCAAACAAAAAGCACGCGTTTAGCATTTTATTTTTATAATAAATAAAAACTTTTCTAAATATAAAAAAATAATATATGAAATAGGAAAACTTATAAAACGTTTCCTTTCGTAATTTTTCAAAATTGATATTTTAAAATTAAAAGCGCTAAAATATGAATATTTGAGTAAATAATTTGATTTGCATTTAAAACAATTTTGCAATCGGAAGTACTTAACGATTAAGGGTTGCGGAAATAAAGGCCAGACAAAGGACTTTCGTAGACAAAGTATATCTGTGCGTGCGCTTTGAATTAAAAATGGGCGATTGACATTTACAATATTTTTAGAACACTTAACCTTTTTGTTAAAACCTAAAAATCTATCACTGAAACGTTAGAACTGTTGAAAATGCCCTGAAATGTGAAAAGAATGTTTGAGTTAGAGATTCAAAGATATTCAAGAAGAGGATAACCAAACTAACAGAGTGATAGATGCAGTAAGATCCAACAAACAATTAATTTGTAATTCCTCAAGTACCAATGATTTAGGTTAGATTGAAATCTGAGTAATTTAAAATTAATCTCTTTAAAATTATTTCAATTAATTTTTCAATCAATCTTTCAATTATTTCAATTAATCTGATTCAATATAAACAAAAAATTGGACGCTGATTCAATTTATTCTAAAATGTTCTGTGATTCCCAAGTGTCGTTCTTCTTGTACATTTTTCTGATTAAAAAGAGTGATTATCCAATTAGATAAGCTTCCATTTTTCAACTAAATCTGTGTCATTTCATTTGAATTAAAAGATTATTTAAATCTTTCCTTTATGCCTCACTTCTTCACGTACTCGCTCAGTCAAGAGATGTATGTGGATTTTATAAGCGGTGTAGCATAAACTGAGGGAACGGAATTGTAAAACCTCTTTGTAAATCAACATTTGGCTCTGTGAATAGCTGAACCAGAATGGCCTCTGCTCGATTGAGAGAACTGCCGGACACTTGCTGAATTATGAGTGAAAATTATTTAGACTTAAGGTTGCCCGATCCTGAATGTTACTGCTTTCACTAGAAGTAATTGTACTGTATCCAGCTGGCTGATAAGTTCTAGTCGACTGCTGCGCAGTCCGGGAAACTTAATTTTGGTTTTGCAATATTTTATTTGAGAATTCACAAGTGGTCAGACAGAATAAACGGAATAAATATTAAGTTACGTTAATAGACAGAATAAATAATAAGTTACGTTTTCCTTGCTCGTGCAAACGCACAACGGAACACAGTGCGTCTTAAATGTTCAGAGTTATATTTGTATGTTCACATTGAGTTTTGTTTGTTAAGCTACAGACAGGAACTCGCATCATAGTCCTAAATTAGCATTTATGGTTGAGATATTGATTTAGGTACTTAGATTAGTAAAAAGATCCCACAGTTGCTATAATTTAATTACTATTCTTAGGGCTGTTTCCAAACTTAGAACCTACTATGTTGGAGGGGCTAAGATTTCTAATATAATTAATGTCCAAAAGAATGCAAGATAGATACTCTATAATACCTTCGTGCCTGGTATATGCAGTTGAAGTAACCTATCGTTACATACAAAAAAATATAACTTAAAAACATATATTTTATTTTAAAATTATTTCTTAGCTTTTATTAATTTATATTTATTGTTACTTAACTCCTGCAGTAAAGCAAATTGTCAAAAATAAGTTGACGCATTTGATTTAATCCTTTGAAGGCCGAAACGCGCTGAGACGACCTTTCATTTAAACGACCGCGATCATTCGAAGCGGCCGAGATTGCGATGTTGTTTTCTTCCTTCTTCCTAGAGTATGTAGCAGCAGGTGCATTTTCGCCACAATCAATGTATCAGTTTATTGCAGACAGCTTATCCAAAAAGGCTGATGGAGGCTTCTTTGTTAGAAAGAAGAAAGGATGTCATTTGAAATCTTCACATCTCTTTGAGCGTTGATGGAAGGGGACGGGAGGAAACGGACGAGACGAACGTTTTTCGGTATTCTAAGCATACAGGTTAGCAAAGGCACCGGTTTTTTTAAGAGTTAAGTATTCCTATTTCAAAAATCTGATGTAGAGACCACATGACTTCCTTGTAAGGCCTCTTAAATTACACTTATTTTTTGCTGCACTGCATTTAAACTTATCTTCTTGAATTATTCTAGCCTGAATAACCGATGTGTTTAGGAACCCAATTCCCATTGTTTAAGCAACGCTCCCACATCTCTCATTCCACATATTCTCGAAGAGAAATTATTACTGTACTATCTTTAGTTAAACAGTGTTGATTATTTAGCTTCTTATCTGCCGTTCGTCATACGCCATTTTTCAACATCGGCGGGCAGTTTATTAAAACGAGCACATTCATTTTATCTTTTCTTTAGACTCTAACTATTTTTAACGTATAGCTTTAGTGAGGAGTTGTAGGGTTGCTTTTAATCTGAACACGAAGTAAAGTCCTGCAGAACCTGTTACACAGCAAGATATCACTACAAGCAAGTTAGCAAGAAGTTAGCAAGATATCACTACGTCTTAAATATTCTCAAAGGTTTTAAATAATCTTTTATTTTAATCTAATATGAATAGAAGCTCGCAACTTGTGCTGCAGACAAGAAACTACCATTTATGGCTAAATTAAATTAAGCCATAGTAGCAATAGTAAATTCAAACACAGATAACGTTGTCTAAGACTATACACTCATTAAAATAAGCTGTAAGCTGTTTCAATTATTCTACTTGTATACCGCACTGCTGACTAGCCTCTGGAGTCAAGAATGAGAAGAAACATTTTTAGATTTACCAATATTCGAAAACTATCCGCAAAACAGTCAAACATCGAATGGGTATGAGAACATGAATAAGTTCTAAATTTAGATAATTTTGCGCAGGCTATATTTCATAATACATTCTATTGTAATTCAAAAAACAAGCTATAAACAATTATATAAATATTTATCTTTATGAGAAAAAATTACATTCTGTTATTCATTAAAATTTTCGTGTCAAACTAGGCTAAGAAGTTAACACGTTCGCTGTCATCTACGAGAATAACGCGTAGTTGGCAAAGTGAGTTTACTTGCCAGCTACGAGAAAACTCATTATCAATCGCTTTACCTAAATCACCGAGCATGGTGGTGGTGTGGTGTATTTAATTATGGCAAAACACACTAGGGCTATCTGCCTAAGGGGAGGGATGCCTTCGTGGAGGACTTTCTAAGGGAAATTGGCTCGGATACACGTTACACATGGGGAAAACCACGAAAACACCACACCGAGTATGAGCATTATTTACCACCCGTAGTAAATGCACGCAGTGTTTAGTTGTTTAGCGTACAGGAAGAGATTAGATAATACACTTGGCGAACTGAAATGGATCATTAACTTCTTAAAACTTAGATACAATAACTAAACGTTTAGAACTCAAATCCATTTATTGGGGAAGGGGGTTGTTATCCACTTATTATCGGAAGCGCAGTTTTGCGCAGAAAGGGTGAGTCTTCTTTGTTTAGTTCCGAGTTTTATCTCGTAATTGGCACAGGGAGCAAAAATATTATATCATATGCCAACTATGTGTATACTCGTGTGAATTTATTTACTGCTAAAAGTAATGTTCATATTTATATTTAAATAATAAAACAACAGAAAACAATTTATGAGTATAAAAACGCAAGTAGGATCTTGGGCATGTGTGAGCGTACATCTACCATTTCAGCTAGGGCAGCGAACGTGTTAAGAAAAATGATTTAAATTGGTTTATTTGATTATGGCAAAGCACTCGAGGGCTAACTGTCTAAAGGAAGGGCATGCCTTCGTGGAAGACTCTTCGTGGAAGACTCGTGGTCTTCGTGGAAGACCTAAGGTAAACTAGCTCTTATACTCGTTACACATTGGGGAAAACCACGAAAACGCCCATGTAGCCAGCTCATTCGCCGGGGAATCGAACCCCGGATCGACCTGTTGCTGTTGTTGTTTATGCTGCTTGTCTGACGTAGTCAGCCCAAGCCCACAAAATACCTCGCGGCAAGGAGCACTAGAATACACCTGCTGTTGGCAATAGCCTTGAGCTACATTCAGGTGACAGTGCGATTTTGCTCAGTTCCGCCCCAATTTTGATGGGGAGCACCCCATGGGGAAAGGGACCGAGGATCTTCCACCCCTCTCCCCTTCCACCAAACCACACGAGAGAGAATTCGGCTCGCCCCATATTTAGAGTGCCGCCATGACGCCTTCCATGCCTTCTTCGGGATTTGAACCCGGGCCCTTCCGCTCAGCAGTCAGCGACGCTAACCACTATACCGGTTATGCGGCCCGGATCGACCTACCAGTTTTCAGCGGTTTTAGCGCCCGGCCGTTGGTAGGTCTGGAACCATTGGTTACTGATAGTTCGACCAGGATTCAAACCCAGGCAAATGGATAAATTACATTGTTGGATTTCGTGGTTTTTCCTCATGTATAATGAGAATATGAGCCAGTTTCCTTTAAAACATTCTCCATGAAGGCATCCTTAGGCAGATATCACTTTTCATGTGCAATTGCCACATTCAAACAAACTTACCAAATTCAGCAAAATTTCAAATTTTAAAGGGGAAATTGCAGAAAATTAAACTTACCACTGTAGACCATCATCCAAAATGTCAGGTGTAGATGTTTTATCTGCATCTTCATCAACTTTCACAGTCACCTTTGCGCCTGGATGGGATAAGAGTTTTTGCAAATCATCATGCAAAACAAAAAACAATGCAGCAAGCTGCTTGTTACAGAGCTGCATAAGCTAGTAGTTACAAATAAACTGCAAGACGCAAATTGTGAAACATGAAATTATATAAATTGCGCTAGTTATGGGTGATAATAAAAACATCTTATATATTTTGCAATTAAATTCTACATCTCACAGCCTTGTCACTTTCATTCATTTTAACTAAAAGTGTATACTTCTGATGTTAAAGACCCTGTTTATTGATTATGATGGTGCCGAAGTTCTAAAATTCCACATTTTTATGGTCCAGATATGAATAATATTGCATAGATGACTTCAAAGTTGAAAATTCGTGTCATTTGCAGAAGGCATGTTTCTCCCCTTAAAATATTTGTTCATCACTGATGGAGTATATGAATAAATTTTGTCTTATTGAGCTATGTTCGACAATTGTTTTTCATGAGAGAATTTCATGTTCCGTCTCTTTAAAGCTGTAAACACCGCGAAATTTCATTTACAAAATAAAAACTATTACGAATTTTGTACATATATAAATAATTTTAGGGAAATTATATGTGAAATTGTAATATTTTATTGTCTAATATAACATGAAAAATCTAAAGAATCGAATCTTTCCCGTAACACTAAGAATACGGGGAGCATGTGCATTCAATCCTGTGGGAATTTGAAAGTTTTCATTTTTTTAATGACTTTTTGTATATTTTTCACCACACTTTTTTTCCTTCACTTCATTGTAATACTTATAGTTCACTTTCACGCTCTAAATGCATGCTTTGTTTGAAGCACTATATATATTTTTTGTAATTTTTTAGTTATTTATTATTCCCTTTGCGACCACGGGGATTTTATTAATAAGGTGAAATTACTAATTGTTTCTTTATTAAGCTATAGGTAATTAATTGTTTCCTCTAAGACATTCTCTGTATCAAAAGATAAGCACTTTGGGCATTTTTTTTCCCTAAGTTTTTCTAATTTTTTCTTTAAACAATGTTTCTGTTTTCTGCTGTTTAAGTCTTATTTTATCTTTTGCTGTTATACTATCTTTTGCTGTTTATATGATGTTTAATTCTTCTCTGTTATCTTTTATTAGTGTATTTTGAATTAAAATTAGATTTAAATTATCCTTACATTTTGCATATGTAATTATCTTAGTTATTTTGGTGTTAGCAACCGTAATTTATTCATAATTTTTCATTTTACATCGGTATAATTTGTGTATGCACGTTACAAGCATATTTGTGCACTTCGTCTTGCAATTCATAATCCTTAGTTTTGCACTTTCGTGAAAAAGCTTTTTCAAAACCAAACAATAATGGATGAACAAAGGTGAAAACGGGAAGCATGCGTGTCAGGCATAAAAATAAAACTATGTATTTTAAAATGCAAATAGTTGCATACATTTCTAAAGCATTCCAAAATCTTCAAAAAAAAATTTCAGTTTCAACATCATCATTCATAAAAAGCTGTTGCCAAAATGCCAAACACATTGTAATGCTTATCAGATTTTAGTTTCTCTAAATTTAATTACTTTTGATTTAAATAATATTGGAATACTAAAAAGTATGAAGATTTTTTTTTTCTTTTTTTCTCCTCCACTTCTTTTTCTTTTTTTCTCTTTTACCCCTCTGGTGATTTTATCGTTTTGATCGTTTTTCAAATTCAGCAGAAGATTGTTACATTAATCTGCATTTGGATGATTTAAGGTCTTCGGAATTGAAATCGCAATAATATTAAGATTAATCTTTGGAATAAATAGCGCTAATTTTAACATGCTAAGCTTCTATTTTTAGCCCTTTCTTTTACGCTTGCTATTTATTTTAACTTATGCACAATAAACAAATCCCATTCATAAAACATTTATGTAAAAATGGCACAAAATCTTAGTTCTGTGTTTCATGAAACAACCTGCAGTTATGCTATAAAACTTCAATGTTAAGACTTTCAAAGAGTGAATAGAATTTAATGTACTTAACTTTTTATGCAGATTTGCCAGTTAACTTAAAACCCCTATTTTAAAATTTTACTTTTTCAAATTTTACTATAACAATGTCTTCTAAGTGGATGAGCAGGTATCTGTAATAAATATAGGAATTTATCACAAGATAAATTATAAAATAATCTTTTCTTGCATTTTGATATATAAAATTAGGTAACTTTGAACATGGTTGCCGTCCAGTTACAACGAAGTGACAAAATTTTAATACGTTTCCGAAACATGACATTATAGATAATGGTAATTTCGGAAACATTACTGAACAGAAGTGGTAAATACTGCAAATTGGTATTTTCACCAAAACAGCATTTCTAAATTTATTGTACATAACTATATGAATAAAAGTTTTATTCATAGAATTCACCGAGATAATTTTAGAATTCGATTACCGTCTAACTGATAATAAAAGTCGAATTTTAATAAAAATAAAAAATAGTAACAAATAAAGAATAAAAAATTATACTTTTCGCATGAAGAAAAGTTTGCCTTTCTTTCGTTTTAATTTAAATTTATATTTGAGTTTGAGGGAAATATGTCATTGCAATTGTATACATATGTACGTACCTACACCGTGTTCACAGAAGTTCTTACCTAGGCTTTGTTGGTCTTAAATGTATACTTCCAATTACGGAGATCTTTTAAATGACACAAATCTACGCCAAAACAAGCAATTTGGCCAGCGGGCAGGAAGAAATAGTTTTCGGTGCACAAAACTGAAAGTTGACTTTTGGTCACACTGCGCAAAATGACATTGAAGCTAGTGTACCAAATGACTAAATTCACTATTCTACTAGCAGTTTCAAATGTAAACAAATGACGGTCTCGTTAGGCTTAGCGCCATTTAAACTTTTCAATTGTTGATAATTCCACAGCTATTAACTAAAGACATAAAAACCTTAATGGGAGCATAAGAAAAAAATTACTCAGTCACTTTTCAAGCAAAAAATGAACAATTTAACAATATATATGAATACAAAAATGACCTCTGTCAAATTCTATTTATAACTAGGATAATACTGCTGACTCGATAACTATAGAACTTCTACTTGATAAAACGAAATTTTGAGTTAATTTTATTTGAAATGCATACTATATGTATGACGAAGATAACACCTGCAAAGAGTTTATATAGTTTGCAAAATCTGAACAGAATTGTCCAGCTCATGTGCTTTCAGTATAAACTGTTTAATATTATTTTAAAAGTCAAGATTTGTGATGATTTTTACGAGGATTTATGTATATTAAAGATACATTAAGCGAGTATGTTAGGTGACTATTCAGTAAGTAGGTGCCTAGAGTACAAGTAAATCCATGATTTAGAAACGACAGAGATTTGGGTGGTCATGAAAGTAATTTCGGTTTTTGAGTGTAAAATAAAACTCAGTTTTTCTATACAAGAAAAATTAACTTACTTTTTGTCCTTTTGTCGTCTTTCTAGGAACTTCATGATCTCGCGCTCATAGAACGACTACTGGTTTTTATTAGCAAAAACTTCAACCAAGTGCGATTTTAGGTCATCGTTATTACTGAAATCTTCAAGAGTTAAGGCGTTTTGTAAACTTTAAAATAAACGATAATCCAATAGCGCAAGGTCGGGTCTATACGAGGGATGCGACATCATTCCCCAAACGAGCTCCAGGTATTTAGTACGTGTTTTTAAACATGTTTGAGGCCTCGTATTGTCGTGATGGAACACGATTGCTTTACGATTTGCCAATTCTGACCTTTTCTCTTTGTTTATTCCCTGCAATTTCATAAGATGTTGGCAGTAAACCTCTGAGTTTACTGCAAATTTTACCTTTGAGTTTACTTAAGCAACCAAACAATTGGAAGCAGCCCAAAATGCACAAAACCTTCGTAATCCCACCGTATCGAGAGCGTGATCTTTTTCTGATGCAATTCAGCACACGATATTATTCACCATGCTTGAACCATGATCTTAAAAAAGATCATGGTTCAAGCATGATAATTTGTTATTACAGATGATTCATTTTTCAGCGCCATTGATAATTCAAAAATGGGCATTACATTTGAAATGCAAATCGCAAATAGCGATTAGTTAAGTGAATTTCTTTCAGTTTATGCGGAACCCAAATATCGAATTTTGTTAACGAGTCCAAGATAGCTTATGTGATTTTAAAATGGCTTGTATGATACACTTGATCTTTTTACAATCGCTCCACATAGTTATAGGATGACTGGATTCAATTATGGCTTTCATTTTGTCTTCATCAGCTTCAGAAGACAGGCCCCAACGCTGGTCACCTTCGAGTAAAAACTCTCCAGAATGAAATTTTTTAACTCACTTCTGACACATGCGTTCTGTTAAGCCGATTGGTACCATAAACTTCACATATTTCTTTGTGAGCCTCAGATGCTTTCTCGCCTTTGTGAAATTAAAAAGTAAAATATGGCGAAAGTGTTTCTTTTTGCACTCTATGTTAAAACTGACCGTAAACTAACAATTATAAATAAAAAAAATACATAGAATCTGCTTTTATAGCAACCTAAAACTATCAGCTGCGAAATCTCAAAAGATAAAATATAATAAGTTCGACAGAAGAATAACCAAAGGTAACATAAACGCTAAATATTTGTGCAAACCGAAATTACTTTCTTGCCAACCCAAGAGTAAGTTTCGAACTAATGTAAACATTATCCTGTTATCGAGTTATTCCATGTTTTGAATATCAAAATAAGCTTACTAAAATGATGCAGATCTTCGGCGGGTATTAAAAATGCAGAACTGAAATGATAAAAATGATCATTTGACTCACTCGTGACAGTGACATCACAGGAAGTGACGTTCTGCCCCGCAGAGCTATTGGCGACGCAAGAATATTTTCCGGCATCCTCGGACATGACATTGTCAATTATGAGTTCGTAGCACTCTTTATTTTCTTGATTATACCGGACCCTTCCAACTGTTCCAATCTCCTTGTCATCTTTGTAACTGAGGAATAATAACAGAAAGATAAATATTATCAAAATAAAACAATCTAAAAGCTTTCAGATTTTATATTACGTCTGAAGGCACGTTTTATTCATTTACACATACATACGTCTTTAAAGCGGATTTGCGATAATGCCCTTTGGGCTAAAAATATTTGAAAACAGCATATCTTTAGAATTTCCCATAGGCAGTCTTGCACCCTGAAGATAAAAATATTTTATTATGTACAGTGCGTTGCCACTGCTTGCTTTGAAATCGTTGAGCTTCTTAATCAAAAAATCGTTAAAGCTTAAAAAATATGAAAATGGTAATAAAACAGTTTCGAAATTCAAGATTCGGGCTTCCAGATGCCCATATTAGGGTGGAGGACTACGTTATTGAAAATTGGATGACACTAGGTATCTTTTTTTCACATTGCGAGAAACATACATATATTCTTGCAGATTCTTCATTATTTACATTCTTTGAATATATACAAAACGATAATATTTGGTGGCAACAATTTGAAAAGCGATACGCCGTATCGTTGATTCGATGCAAAATGTCGTTTCGAGACTAATAGCCCTTTTGGGCTAATAATTCGTTAAAACATGTTCATACTAACGGACTGCACTTTTGTAAATTTGTATAAACGGAATTGCATTGTAACTAAATATTTCTCTTTTTTCCCCTCTTTCACGTTTGTTACACTGTGAAAAAGGAATATTTTTGGTCACAGTAAAAAGTATCGAATGTAAATTTTGAATTTTATTACCATGAAATCGCAGTTGGAGAGATTAAAAGGCAAAATCTACATTGTTTTGAAATCGCATTTTTTATCGAAAAATATCACCGCCCGTAAGCTGATTTTGTTATATTTATTATCAATTAAAAACAAATTTCTCAGAAAATATCAGTAAACGATTTTTCCAATTTTTTACGTGGAGTTAAAAATTGAATGTTTATATTATGTTTTAAAAAGCTCCATCTATAATTTTATATTAGAAACAATAAATTTCTTAAATGTTTGAAATTTCCCATATAAAAGCTGAATCTCGTGCTTGAAAAGTGGAAATAATAAATATTTCATCGTTATTTTTCCCCAATAAATTGTAATAGTCAAATAAAAATTTCAGTTGTTAAGCTGAATTGTTTTGAAGCCTTGCACATTACATAAAAGTACACGAAATTATTTATGGACTTAAGTTCTAATATTTCTATTTGAAAACTTTTAAATTCTTTTCTTTATTTAAAATTATTCAAAATAACAACCTTACTTTAGTATAAAGTTTGAATAAAGCCATATCGATTTCAAAAGCGATCAGACATAGGTCCCTCTTCTTCAAGAGCAAAATGAGTTGAGCGACGACGTTTCTTAAACCGAAGTAATTGGCGAAGCAAAGCGAGGATCGTATTTAAATCGAACAAACGGCCGGAGTAAAGCAAAAAGCAGCTTCATCCGTCGACGAAAATAGTAATGAAAGCTTGAAAAACTATTGTCGCTCATCCCGTTTTGCATATTTTGTTTTCTCCTCTGAAGAAGAAGGACTTGCTTCGAATCGCCCTAAAAATCAATGAAATTTGATTTTTTAACCAGAATGATGTTACGGTTTTGACTAATTCAAGATTTTACATTGGCGTGTTTCTTGCAATTAATATATCTACTGCCTTATGATTTCTTTTAATTTTGGGTCAACTAAGAACGACTATGCGTCTGAAATGAGAAAACAGATCAACTTGCATATAATAACTTGACTTTTAAGAAAGAAAACCTTTTGCTGTTCGGTCGAAATACATTGGCACTACCAAACTGAAATTTAATAACGATGGCAGTGTACCGGGAGCTTCTGCATCAGACCAATGTTGAAATAAGCGAATTGTTACTAGATAAGTTTCCATGTAGTTAACAAATTAAAAATATTTTAGCATGAAAATTTTAATAAAAATATTAAATGCTTACAATTTCAGATCCGGTTTCGGCTGTCCTTCCACGATGACACAAACACGGAAATCTGTTCCCTGCTGCAACTCGAAATTCCTAAGCTTCTCTTTGAAGATAGGTCCATAGGTCACCGATGATCCATCGGGTGAAGTTGATGGCACTGTATCGGGTGCTAAAGAATTTGAAAATTCCAGAATTACCTCATATTTATTATGTAGTAAATAGTCATATAAGTGGCCACATAGTTGAACTGTGTACCTAGCGGCGTTATTTCGCGTGGTAGGACTTTCAGATTTCGTTGATATGACAGGAGAAATCTGGTTTAAAGCAGTTAGAGGCGGTGTATCATAAGAAGTCAGAAGTGACATAACAAGCAATGTTGGGCCACGGATTCATCTAAAAAGGCTCAGTGGTTAGTAATCCAATTTTTGTTCGGTGAAGTACTTAGTGTAAGAGACATTTACAATCGATTGAAGAATGTTTATGGGACTATAATGTATGTCAGTGGAATACGTGCAATGTTTCAATGGCGCAGTGATTTTAATCATGGGCATTTTGACTGCAGCTGATATGCCACGGCCAGGTCACACATACATAATCATGAATGAAGTATCAGTTGCTGCAGATGAGTCGCTTGTGAAGAAGAATCGTCGGATAACCAACCGGAATTTGCAGACAGCTTTCTCTCAGCAAGAGAAGAGTTAACACTATTCTACATGAAAATTTGCAATTACAGCAATGTTTGTTCAAAATGAGTCTCAAAGCATATATCTGAGATCCAGAAAGAATGGACAATTGCTTTCAGCATCATTACCAGCACATATAATATCACCTACATATCATAATTACCGTATTTTCCGGCGCATAAAGCGCACCGGTTTCAAACGCTTATCTATAATTTCAAGCTACACTTTTTAATTTTTAGGTATATTTGTCATATAACGCGCATTCAATTCTTCTCGAAGAAACCTCAAAGCTGCATGTGCAATGGGTCTTATCTTTTGAGGTTACTTATTCGAACATTTGTCCTAAACATATGTGTGTGAGTTAAATGCTTAAGAGAGTAAACATTCCGCCAAAGAGGGTGGATTGTATTCAATGCAGATGTCCAAAAGAATGCTATTGTAGAATACTTCCACCCTGAATGAATTTGTGAAATTAGGAGGTAGGTGTTTTTTCTTTCTGTAGTCATTTGAAGCCGAGATTTTGAAGTGAAAATCGAAGGCTTCACTCAATCGAAACTGCTTTAGTTGAAGTATAGTTGATATAGAGCTCATTTTTAGTAGTAAATATGGCTCGCGCGAAAAGAAACAAACACAGTGCTGGTTTCAAATGCAAACCCATTCAGTTTGCTAAGGAAAATGGTAATCGTGCTGCAGCAATGATGTTTGGTGTTGATGAAAGAAAGAATGGATAATGATTATTTACTTCTGGATCAAAATAACAATGATGATGAAGATGAAACAAAATTCGATGATAACGCCTGAAGATATAATAGAAGATGAACATGACGAACTCTTCATGCTATAAGATAATGAAAATGTTTAATTTCGTAAGTTATGTCATTTCTTTTAAATAAGCAGCATTTTGGTGCATGTAAAAATATACTTTTTTTCCTTAATTTTAAGCTATTATTTTTATAAACCAGTGTATGACACGCACACGTAAATTTCATTCCTATTTTTTGTATTAAACGTGCATGTTATACAACGAAATATACGATATGTAGTATTATACCATTGTGCAAGAATATATAAAATCAAACTAATAAATTATTGCGGTAATTTGTCACATTTCTACTTTCATTTGAGCAAGGTTTACATATTGGAACAATTTTAATACTTTTTAACAAATGAAGCAAAATCAAAACGTTATGCTTCAACTAGAACTAATTTAATTGTATAATGTTCAGAGTTAATTAAAATATAGCAACAGAAATAATAGAATCTTCATTTCTCTCAATTTATTGTAATATAAATATTATGTTCGTAATTTTTTAATGATCAGTTTGTTTTCTAAGTATATACTTCGCATAATGCTTACTTCCAAGCATGTATGAACCATCCTTCCTGAATATAGTGTTAATGGACGGTAGATTTAAAACATAAATAGAAAAATTACATTTCATGTTATAAATCATGTATAAAATTCTACAGTAGAGTCAAAAATATGTAAAATATTTTAAATTTTGCATCTGTATTGAACTTCATTAATACAACTTCATTTTCTATGTTTCGAGAACTTTCAGAGTCGCCAAACTAATGCTGAAGATACTAAAACTTGTGTTAACATTTTCAGTTTTAATGACAAAATACATAAAATAGAAATGCATTCAGAATTCTATAGAAAAAATAAAAATTTTCAAAAATGTTATAGGGTTTTTATTATTTTTTGGACCATTGCTGTCACTTCTTCCTTCCATTTTCATGCCAGAATGTAAGTTAGCTCGCGTATATTTAAATTGAATTTTTTAGATTCTGAGACAAAGCGTGTTCTGCTTGTCCAGGTCATGCTACTAAATTGCTGCGAGCTCACATAAAATTTGTAGTCCTTGGCCTTGCATTATAATTGCTGATGTTTGACTGCAAGTCGACTTCATGTTAAACTGATTTGTACAGTCTTCGGCTACTGAACTTATTTCACTGTTACTCTAAGTAATATCTCCACAGGTGGATGGAGAAGTTGTAAGCACCAGATGGGCCTTCTAAAAAGGGTTTTTTACACTCTTCTCAAGACTCGGATGTTATTTTAGACTTAGTGACAATACGCCGTCAGTCTTTTTAAAGTTTGGGTAGAATTTATGATAGCAAAAAGAATAAAACTTTGTAAAATTGTAAAAGAAATTTGCTTCATATTATTTGATATTCCATCATTCAAATTTGTTTTAAATTCAAAAGAAATTTGCTTTGGCTCTTATTGAAGCCAAATATTTAATTGTCATTCGATAAAATATATTTTACGAGAAACTGTTTGAAATATTTCTTTTTTAATGAGTTCAGTCAGAAATTAAAATGATATTTTAATTGTATTAAATAATTACTTCGAATTAAACGTGCCTTTATTTAATTAAAATGTGTCCTATTTTGCGATGAATTCAGATTTCGAGAAAAACCAGATTTTCTACAATGAATTTAATATGATGGAACTAGGTTATTATTTTCAGCTATAAAAGCGAAGGGAAAATATTTGATCATGGGAATGAAATTGTTCCCACATCTAGAATTTACCAGCAAATTTATCAACAGGGGGAAAATCTTAAAGGTTTCAGATTTTAACGGTCTCCCAGAAGGATTTGTTAAGGTTTTCGCGTTCTCGTTGAGCTCTTAGGCTACTAATCAGCTGTTGTACTTACTTGTGCTAACCATTTTTTTTTTTTTTTTTTTTTTTTTTTTTTTTTTTTTGTGTGTCTATTTAGTTTTATATTTGAGCATGATATTCGTTACACTTACGCCATATACTATTCAACAGAAAACATTTTAAAAGCAGCATATATTTAGAATTAAGAACGATGCAGAGTTAAGTATTGGAATATATTTCTTCTATTTTTTCAGTTTTTTTGTCAGTTCATCATTTGAATATTCAGTTTGCTTAGTAAGATGGCAAACAAGAAATTTTGTTTTGTCTTTTTATTATTAACTCTATGTGTGTTAAAGTTATTTAAATATCACTCTCTTCGCACTTTGCTACATAAAATTCAGTTCAACAGCAAAATCACGAAATATATAAAATCACTATATCTATAGTAGACAGTAAGATATAAGGTAATAAAAATGTTTTATTCCGTACTGTGTTTCCACTGCTTGTTTTCAGATCGTCGAGTTTGCTTATCAAAAATGCCTTAAAGTTTTACAAAATACGAAATAAATAATAAGAATATCTAACGTCATTCTATAGCGATACTGAACATTTTTAATTAGATAGATCATGAATTAATTACATTTTTATTATTATCAATTTGATTCAAAAGTAAGAAACGAATATTCTTAAGAAGGGCAACTGTTGCTTTCAGGCAACTCAGTTTGTTAATTCGCAACATACAGATTCCATTTAAAAGACAAATATCTTAAATTTTTGCCGAATTGCAACATATTCGAATGAAAAGTGAAACGACGGATTTATTGTGGTTGGAAGCAAAATCCCATTTCCAAACCTTTTGAGTCAAAAATAGAAGGAGAAGGCGAAACATTTCCACTTTAAAACTTTTATGTGACGTTCAGCTTTCTCGCCATTTTGATAAAGCTTGACTGAAAGCTGCTTGAGTGCTTTTGTTTATTATGCCTACCAAAGTGCTAATATTTTATACTATACTTGTTTTTCTATTACTTAATATTCCTGATTTTTATGCTTTCTGTACTTTCATACGTTTCATAAAATACAAATGAACTTCAGTACCACAATATATGTTGAAGATTTTTTTTTATTTTTAACAGATTTAGAACATTTAATTAAATAGTTAGAGATAATGATCAGTTAATATTTTAAAATAATACTTAGTTAATTGTTTTGGTGGACAAAATGAAGAGATGGAAAACATTTTCCCACATATCTCTAAAAATTCCACACAAAACCTGGACAGTTGGTTGTCATAAAATATCACTACGGTGCTGGTGTCACAGATATTAGTTTACGTATTCCTATGGGCGTCGCTAGGCTAGAAGGAAGTACAAAAGTCCACGGCCTGCTGCTCAGTTCATGCCGCTCTGCAACACAAAATTGATTGTTATAGTCTTCCTTTAATAATCTTGTTGTTTTCTGCTTCTTTTTAGGTGAAATGAGTACACATTATTACTTATACGAAGATATGAGATGGAGAATCGTGGGTAGGCTTAAGGCGCGGCCAGTCCCAAGCTCAAGTTGCCTGAGAACTGGATGTAACGCCAAGTGTCATCTCTAATTTGTGGAACCAGTTAAAAAGCAGCGGGGCAGTGTCCAGGAAACCAGGACCATGTTGCCCGAGAGCCACAATGACCAATGCCGACCGGTGTTTGGTATTTTCAGCCAAGCACCAGATGACCTCTACAATCAGAAAACTGTCTCGTGACCACGCTGCTGCCACAGGAACATCAGTTTCAAGAAAGACAGTTGCCAAACTGCGGGAGTTACGAGAGTAGGCTGTTTCTACGAAGCTCCGGCATTTTCCTCAGCAGAAGCGGAAATATTCAGCGGATTGTC